CGCGAATGAAGAGCGTCCGCTGCACTTCCTGCACATGTGCGGATCCTTCCGCGTTTTGGGGTTGGGAGCGCTCGTTTCGAGCGTTTTTCTTTCGACGGCTCACGTGGCTGTGCTTGTCTCATCCTATTACCAAGCCACCAAGGGCGTGGGAGGGTTGCGAGCATCATTGGTCATCAACGCTCGCGAACGAAGAGCGCCAGCTGCACTTCCTGCACATGTGCGGATCCTTCCGCGTTCTGGGGCTGGGAGCGCTCGTTTCGAGCGTTTCTCTTCCGCCGGGTCTCGTGGCTGCGCTTGTCTGGTTCTATTACCAAGCTAGCAAGGACATGGGAGGGTTGCGAGCATCATCGGTCATCGCCGCTCCCGAATGAAGAACGCCCGCTGCACTTCCTGCACATGTGCGGATCCTTCCGCGTTTTGGGGCTGGGAGCACTCGTTTCGAGCGTTTCTCTTCCGCTGGCTCACGTGCTGCGCTTGTCTGGTCCTATTGCCAAGCCAGCAAGAGCGTGGGAGGGTTGCAAGCATCATCGGTCATCGGCGCTCGCGAATGAAGAGCGCCCGCTGCACTTCCTGCACATTTGCGGATCCTTCCGCGTTTTGGGGGTGGGAGCGCTCGTTTCGAGCGTTTCTCTTCCGCCGACTCACGTGGCTGCGTTTGTCTGGTCCTATTACCAAGCCAGCAAGGGCGTGGGAGGGTTGCGAGCATCATCGGCCATCGGCGCTCGCGAATGACGAGCGCCTGCTGCACTTCCTGCACATGTGCGGATCCTTCCGCGTTTTGGTGGTGGGAGCGCTCGTTTCGTGCGTTTTTCTTCCGCCAGATCACGTGGCTGCGCTTGTCTGTGCCTATTACTAAGCCAGCAAGGGCGGGGGAGGGTTGCGAGCATCATCGGTCATCGGCGTTCGCGAATGAAGAGCGCCCGCTGCACTTCCTGCACATGTGCGGATCCTTCCGCGTTTTGTGGGTGGGAGCGCTCGTTTCGAACGTTTTTCTTCCGCCGGCTCACGTGGTTGTGCTTTTCTGGTCCTATTACCAAGCCAGCAAGGGCACGGGAGGGTTGCGAGCATCATCGGTCATCGGCGCTCGCGAATGAAGAGCGCCCGCTGCACTTCCTGCACATGTGCGGATCCTTCCGCGTTTTGGGGCTGGGAGCGCTCGTTTCAAGAGTTTCTCTTCCGCCGGGTCACGTAGCTGCACTTGTCTGGTCCTATTACCAAGCCAGCAAGGGCGTGGGAGGGTTGCGAGCATCATCGGCCATCGGCGCTCGCGAATGAAGAGCGCCTGCTACACTTCCTGCACATGTGCGGATCCTTCCGCGTTTTGGGGTTGGGAGCGCTCGTTTCGAGCGCTTTCTTCCGCCGGCTCACGTGGCTGCGCTTGTCTGGTCCTATTACCAAGCCAGGAAAGGCGTGGGAGGGTTGCGAGCATCATCGGCCATCGGCGCTCGCTAATGAAGAGCGCCCGCTGCACTTCCTGCACATGTGCGGATCCTTCCGCGTTTTGGGGGTGGGAGCGCTCGTTTCGAGCGTTTTTCTTCCGTCGGCTCACGTGGCTGCGCTTGTCTGGTCCTATTGTCAAGCCAGCAAGGGCATGGGAGGGTTGCGAGCATCATCGATCATCGGCGCTCGCGAATGAAGAGCGCCCGCTGCACTTCCTGCACATGTGCGGATCCTTCCGCGTTTTGGGGGTGGGAGCGCTCGTTTCGAGCGTTTTTCTACCGCCGGCTCACGTGGCTGCGCTTGTCTAGTCCTATTGCCAAGCCAGCAAGGGCGTGGGAGGGTTGCGGGCATCATCGATCATCGGCGCTCGCGAATGAAGAGCGCCCGCTGCACTTTTCGCACATGGGCGGATCCTTCCGCGTTTTGGGGGTGGGAGCACCCGTTTCGAGAGTTTCTCTTCCGCCGGGTCACGTAGCTGCACTTTTCTAGTCCTATTACCAAGCCAGAAAGAGCGTGTGAGGGTTGCGAGCATCATCGGCCATCGGCGCTCGCGAATGAAGAGCGCCCGCTGCACTTCCTGCACATGTGCGGATCCTTCCGCGTTTTGGGGTTGGGAGCGCTCGTTTCGAGCGTTTCTCTTCCGCCAGGTCATGTGGCAGCACTTTTCTTGTCCTCTTACCAAGCCAGCAAGGGCGTGGGAGGGTTGCGAGCATCATCGGCCATCGGCGCTCGCGAATGACGAGCGCCTGCTGCACTTCCTGCACATGTGCGGATCCTTCCGCGTTTTGGTGGTGGGAGCGCTCGTTTCGTGCGTTTTTCTTCCGCCAGATCACGTGGCTGCGCTTGTCTGTGCCTATTACTAAGCCAGCAAGGGCGGGGGAGGGTTGCGAGCATCATCGGTCATCGGCGTTCGCGAATGAAGAGCGCCCGCTGCACTTCCTGCACATGTGCGGATCCTTCCGCGTTTTGTGGGTGGGAGCGCTCGTTTCGAACGTTTTTCTTCCGCCGGCTCACGTGGTTGTGCTTTTCTGGTCCTATTACCAAGCCAGCAAGGGCACGGGAGGGTTGCGAGCATCATCGGTCATCGGCGCTCGCGAATGAAGAGCGCCCGCTGCACTTCCTGCACATGTGCGGATCCTTCCGCGTTTTGGGGCTGGGAGCGCTCGTTTCAAGAGTTTCTCTTCCGCCGGGTCACGTAGCTGCACTTGTCTGGTCCTATTACCAAGCCAGCAAGGGCGTGGGAGGGTTGCGAGCATCATCGGCCATCGGCGCTCGCGAATGAAGAGCGCCTGCTACACTTCCTGCACATGTGCGGATCCTTCCGCGTTTTGGGGTTGGGAGCGCTCGTTTCGAGCGCTTTCTTCCGCCGGCTCACGTGGCTGCGCTTGTCTGGTCCTATTACCAAGCCAGGAAAGGCGTGGGAGGGTTGCGAGCATCATCGGCCATCGGCGCTCGCTAATGAAGAGCGCCCGCTGCACTTCCTGCACATGTGCGGATCCTTCCGCGTTTTGGGGGTGGGAGCGCTCGTTTCGAGCGTTTTTCTTCCGTCGGCTCACGTGGCTGCGCTTGTCTGGTCCTATTGTCAAGCCAGCAAGGGCATGGGAGGGTTGCGAGCATCATCGATCATCGGCGCTCGCGAATGAAGAGCGCCCGCTGCACTTCCTGCACATGTGCGGATCCTTCCGCGTTTTGGGGGTGGGAGCGCTCGTTTCGAGCGTTTTTCTACCGCCGGCTCACGTGGCTGCGCTTGTCTAGTCCTATTGCCAAGCCAGCAAGGGCGTGGGAGGGTTGCGGGCATCATCGATCATCGGCGCTCGCGAATGAAGAGCGCCCGCTGCACTTTTCGCACATGGGCGGATCCTTCCGCGTTTTGGGGGTGGGAGCACCCGTTTCGAGAGTTTCTCTTCCGCCGGGTCACGTAGCTGCACTTGTCTAGTCCTATTACCAAGCCAGAAAGAGCGTGTGAGGGTTGCGAGCATCATCGGCCATCGGCGCTCGCGAATGAAGAGCGCCCGCTGCACTTCCTGCACATGTGCGGATCCTTCCGCGTTTTGGGGTTGGGAGCGCTCGTTTCGAGCGTTTCTCTTCCGCCAGGTCATGTGGCAGCACTTTTCTTGTCCTCTTACCAAGCCAGCAAGGGCGTGGGAGGGTTGCGAGCATCATCGGCCACCGGCGCTCGCTACTGAACAGCGCCCGCTGCACTTCCTGCACATGTGCGGATGCTTCCGCGCTTTGGGGGTGGGAGCGCTCGTTTCGAGCGTTTTTCTTCCGCCGGCTCACTTGGCTGCGCTTGTCTGGTCTTATTGCCAAGCCAGCAAGGGCGTGGGAGGGTTGCGAGCATCATCGGTCATCGGCGCTCGCGAATGAAGAGCGCCCGCTGCACTTCCTGCACATGTGCGGATCCTTCCGCGTTTTGGGGGTTGGAGTGCTCGTTTCGAGCGTTTTTCTTCCGCCGGACAACGTGGCTGCGCTTGTCTGGGCCTATTACCAAGCCAGCAAGGGCGTGGGAGGGTTGCGAACATCATAGATCATCGGAGCTCGCGAATGAAGAGCGCCCGCTGCACTTCCTGCACATGTGCGGATCCTTCCTTGTTTTGGGGCTGGGAGCGCTCGTTTCGAGCGTTTCTCTTCCGCCGGGTCATGTGGCTGCGCTTGTCTGGTCCTATTACCAAGCCAGCAAGGGCGTGGGAGGGTTGCGAGCATCATCGGTCATCGGCGCTCGCGAATGACGAGCGCCTGCTGCACTTCCTGCACATGTGCGGATCCTTCCGCGTTTTGGTGGTGGGAGCGCTCGTTTCGTGCGTTTTTCTTCCGCCAGATCACGTGGCTGCGCTTGTCTGGGCCTATTACTAAGCCAGCAAGGGCGTGGGAGGGTTGCGAGCATCATCGGTCATCGGCGTTCGCGAATGAAGAGCGCCCGCTGCACTTCCTGCACATGTGCGGATCCTTCCGCGTTTTGGGGCTGGGAGCGCTTGTTTCGAGCGTTTTTCTTCCGTCGGCTCACCTGGTTGCGCTTGTCTGGTCCTATTACCAAGCCTGCAAGGGCGTGGGAGGGTTGCGAGCATCATCGGTCATCGGCGCTCGCGAATGAAAAGCGCCCGCTGCACTTCCTGCACATGTGTCGTTATTCGCCCGTTACCGCTAACGGCGCTTCGCCAACTTCACGCGCACTGTTTCACCAAACCATGCACTGCTGGCCCAGCCGAGTCGGCCTACGCTTCGGGACTAGCCTGAACCTCCACGCAAGCGTAGCACTAGCTAGCTCGCACGCACCGCGTAACTGTTGCATGTTTCTGCACATAAGTATTCGCTCATGCCTTCTTTCATAATTAGTACTTTTGACCCACATAGTGCATTTTTTGCTACCTTGTTCAATTTGCACCCGTAACATAGGCAAACATGTACAACATCTCAACATCTTTAGTGTAGGGTTTGTTTTAGTGTAGGGTTTCTCCTTTCGCCCAACCACTTTGTTTTCAATAGAACAACACACTCCCGCCACGCAACCACATGTTTCTTGCAACGAGGTAGCGACGGACACACCCTGTTCTTCACGAGAAATGCCGACGGGAGCGGCGTTTGCGGAAGAGATGGCGAATGGCGGAGCGGCAGAGCCGTCGGGTGATCGCATCGCGCAGCACGACGGTGAGCACGCGGTGTGCAAAGTGGTGCGAGGGGTAGAAGGGTCGGTGCAAGCAGATGTGGGGGGGGCAGGAGATGGCAGCATGTGCGCTGATGGCCGAGGCTGCCTTTAGGCACGCGCGACGACGCGTGGTGCGGGTGGCGTGGACACCCGGCATGGCGCAGGTCAAGGCGATGCACGGGTGGGCGCAGCGCTGGAGCGCGAGCAGAGTTGAGTGCAGCGGGAGCAGCGCGACGCTGGATGTGGCATCTTCTCTGATCCCCGCCTTGCACGTTCCCCGCTCTCTCCCGCATGGGCGTTGCGCTCCCGCGCATGGGCGTTGCTCTCCCCCGCATGGGCGTTGCGCTCCCGCGCATGGGCGTTGCTCTCTCCCGGATGGGCGTTGCGCTCCCGCGCATGGGCGTTGCTCTCCCCCGCATGGGCGCTGCGCTCCCGCGCATGGGCGTTGCGCTCCCCCGCATGGGCGTTGCACTCCCCGGGCGTTGCGCTCCCCCTCGCATCTCATGCGTGGGCGTCTCCGTTTCGCCTCGCGCTTCTGCCGCTCCTTCTCCGCGTGCTGACGCATTGTGTGCTGCGCCCGTGTGTGCCGCGCCCGTGTGTGTTGCGCCGGCCCGTGTGTGCTGCAGGTGCGGAGGTGGCGCGGCTGGCGGGGGAAGTGGCGGCGCTGAAGAAGGAGATGGCTGTCAAGTGAGCGCCATGCAAGGGGGGGGGGGGGTGTGCACTGCACTGCACCCCCATGAGGGGTGCGCTGCACTGGTCCAGTATGGGGGTTGCAGCAGCATCGCAAAAACACACATATATCAACTTTTATCATGCCACATGCCACATGCCACATGCCACATGGCCCATTGGTTCATTGGTTCCTCGCTCTGCGCCCTTGCTCTGAATCCCACTCGTCTTCTGCCTCCCCCTCCCCGTGCATGTGTGTGCGCCACAGAGTGAAGCACTACGAGAACAAGCTGCTCACCCACTCTGTCATCAACGGCGCGCTTCAGGTCAGGCCGCCCTCCTCCACCCCCCTTTAGGTCACGTCACCCTCCCCCACCCCCCGTGCCATGCATCGTGCCATGTGCTGGATGCATCGTGCCATGTGCTGCATGCATCGTGCCATGTGCTGCATGCATCGTGCCATGTGCTGCATGCATCGTGCCATGTGCTGCATGCATCGTGCCATGTGCTGCATGCATCGTGCCATGTGCTGCATGCATCGTGCCATGTGCTGCATGCATCGTGCCATGTGCTGCATGCATCGTGCCATGTGCTGCATGCATCGTGCCATGTGCTGCATGCATCGTGCCATCGCTCTCTCCCTGTTGTTCCAGCAGCCATCCTCCTCCGCCATGTCTGTGCTCGCCCGCCATCCTCCTCCGCCATGTCTGTGCTCGCCCGCCATCCTCCTCCGCCATGTCTGAGCTCGCCCGCCATCCTCCTCCGCCATGTCTGTGCTCGCCCGCCATCATCCTCCGCCATGTCTGAGCTCGCCCGCCATCATCCTCCGCCATGTCTGAGCTCGCCCGCCATCCTCCTCCGCCATGTCTGTGCTCGCCCGCCATCCTCCTCCTCCATGTCTGAGCTCGCCCGCCATCCTCCTCCTCCATGTCTGAGCTCGCCCGCTCACACCAATGAGTACAACAGCAACCCCATTTCTATCCGCGTGCCCATGTCCACCGCCTCCTCTTCCTGCCCTTTGCCCATCCGCCCTCTCTGTCTCTCAGCTTCTTGTTCCTTCCCCTGCCTCTCTCTCCCCCCCCACCCCCGCCCCCTGGCGGTGGCAGGCGGAGAACGAGCGCCTGAAGGAGGATCTGCAGCGCGCGCTGGAGGGCGCGCAGGGGGGCGGGGGAGGGGGCGGGGGGGGCGCGGGTGGGCGCACTTTGGAGGAGGCGGAGCAGGAGCTGCGCGAGCTGCATGAGGAATTCACCCGCCGCCTCAACGCCGCTGAGAAGGGCGTGAGTGCCACGCGGCTGACAAGGGCGTGAGCCCACAGAATTGCTTCACAAGCACACATGAATAGTTTAGTGCGCCCCCCTCTATGCCCGCCCGCGACTCACCATCCAGGCACCCAGCGTCTCATTTGCCTTAACGCGCCCGCTGCTGCCCACCTGCGTTTGTGCATGGTGTGCATGGTGTGCATGGTGTGCATGGTGTGCATGGTGTGCATGGTGCGTGTGGTGTGTGGGCCCCGTGCAGGTGCATGCGTTCAGGGAGGAGTGTTTTGGGTTGAGGCGGCTGGTGGAGGAGCAGAGGCAGGCAGCAGCGAGGATGGAGGGGGAGATGGCGGAGAGGGACGCTCAGCTGCACCAGGTGGGACCACCGCCCCCCCAACATGGGCTCTGCTTGCCTTCTCACTGCGCGTCTTGCCTCTGCATCACTCATCATCCCTCTACTCACTTGTTGCGTGCTCCATGCCTTTCTGCTTCAGCCGTTGTGCCTACCCTCATGCCTTCCTCTCCCCTCCTCCATCCCTTCCCCCTTCTCTCCACTGCACACCAACCATCCCCCCGTCCATCCTCCCCCGCCCCGCTACCACTGGCACGGGCATCAGAGCGAGCGGGAGAGTGAGGCGCTGCGGCAGGCGGTGGAGGAGAGGGAGGCGGTGCTGGCGAGGCAGCGCCAGGACCTGACACGCGTGGAGGCGGACAGAGACAGGCTGCTCGCCACAAAGCAGGTCATCTGCTCCTCCCTCTTTGAATTCCCCTCTCTACTTTCCTTCTGCAGCCTTCCTTGTGTCGCTCCACCCTTGTCTCGTCTCTCTACCGCCGCTACGGCCGCCCGCACAGCCCCTGTAACGTGCATGTGTGTGTGTGTGCTCCGCCGCTCTGCCCTGCTGCAGGCGCTGGAGGCGGCAGCCCAGAGCGCAGACGCCACCAGGTCCGCCCCCAACCTCATCCTCCTCGTCCCACATGAGCTCTCACCTCACGCCCATCAACACATTATGTTCACTTCATCTCTCCTTAACGTGCCCATTCTCTGCACTGCAATCTCTCTCATCCCGTCCTTCTGTATCGATGTTTCTTTCTTACGTATTGTTTGTGCCTGGCCATGTCTGCTAGTGCATGTTTCAGTGCATACAGGCTTGCATAATTTTGTGTCTGTGTGCGTGCATGCATGTGTGCCCCCCTTACTGGCTGTCTCTCCCCCCCCACCCGTGCGTGGCAGGTCGTCGCTACTGGAGGAGGCCAACGAGGCGCTGGCAGCCACCAGGCAGGCGCTGCAGCACCACAAGGACCAGCTGCTGCGGGTGAGGACCAGCTGCTGCGGGTGAGGCTCAGGTGCTCAGGGCGAGGCTCAGGTGCTCAGGGTGAGCTCAGGTGCTTCGGGTGAGGCTCAGGTGCTCAGGGTGAGGCTCAGGTGCTCAGAGTGAGGCTCAGATGCTCAGGGTGAGGCTCAGGTGCTCTGCTCTTGGATAATCTGCTTTGGTTGGATGCGCCCGTGCCTGCTGTCTCTTAATGCCTCTGCTGCCCCTCACTGCCTCTGCTGCCTCTCACTGCATACTGCCTCTACTACTGTGCCCCTGTGTGGGGTGGAGGGCAGGTGGTGGCGGAGGGAGCGCAGGAGAGGGCAGCAGCGGTGGAGGCGGTGAGGGAGGAGATGCGGCAGCAGCGGGCGGCGCTGGAGGCACAGGCGGCGGACAAGGAGAGCCACCTCACAGCTGCTCTCGCTGCCCTCGCCCAGGTGCCCCCCTTACTCCCCTCCACGCCTTGCCTCACTCGTGTCTTGTGCTGTCGTCCGCCATGCCGTGTTGCCTTGCCTTTCCTTGCCTTTCCTTTCCTTGCCTTGCCTTTCCTTGCCTTGCCTTTCCTTGCCTTGCCTTTCCTTGCCTTGCCTTTCCTTGCCTTGCCTTTCCTTGCCTTGCCTTTCCTTGCCTTGCCTTTCCTTGCCTTGCCTTTCCTTGCCTTGCCTTTCCTTGCCTTGCCTTTCCTTGCCTTGCCTTTCCTTGCCTTGCCTTTCCTTGCCTTGCCTTTCCTTGCCTTGCCTTTCCTTGCCTTGCCTTTCCTTGCCTTGCCTTTCCTTGCCTTGCCTTTCCTTGCCTTGCCTTTCCTTGCCTTGCCTTTCCTTGCCTTGCCTTTCCTTGCCTTGCCTTTCCTTGCCTTGCCTTTCCTTGCCTTGCCTTTCCTTGCCTTGCCTTTCCTTGCCTTGCCTTTCCTTGCCTTGCCTTGCCTTTCCTTTCCTTGCCTTGCCTTTCCTTGCCTTGCCTTTCCTTGCCTTGCCTTTCCTTTCCTTTCCTTGCCTTGCCTTTCCTTGCCTTGCCTTTCCTTTCCTTTCCTTTCCTTGCCTTGCCTTTCCTTGCCTTTCCTTTCCTTGCCTTGCCTTTCCTTTCCTTTCCTTGCCTTTCCTTTCCTTGCCTTTCCTTTCCTTGCCTTGCCTTTCCTTTCCTTTCCTTGCCTTTCCTTTCCTTGCCTTGCCTTTCCTTTCCTTTCCTTTCCTTGCCTTTCCTTTCCTTGCCTTTCCTTGCCTTTCCTTTCCTTTCCTTTCCTTTCCTTTCCTTTCCTTGCCTTTCCTTTCCTTTCCTTTCCTTTCCTTGCCTTGCCTTGCCTTGCCTTGCCTTTCCTTTCCTTTCCTTTCCTTGCCTTGCCTTGCCTTTCCTTGCCTTGCCTTGCCTTTCCTTTCCTTTCCTTTCCTTGCCTTGCCTTGCCTTGCCTTTCCTTTCCTTGCCTTGCCTTTCCTTGCCTTGCCTTTCCTTTCCTTTCCTTTCCTTTCCTTGCCTTTCCTTTCCTTGCCTTGCCTTTCCTTTCCTTGCCTTGCCTTTCCTTTCCTTTCCTTGCCTTGCCTTTCCTTGCCTTGCCTTGCCTTGCCTTTCCTTTCCTTTCCTTTCCTTGCCTTTCCTTGCCTTTCCTTTCCTTTCCTTGCCTTTCCTTTCCTTGCCTTGCCTTTCCTTTCCTTTCCTTTCCTTTCCTTGCCTTTCCTTTCCTTTCCTTTCCTTGCCTTGCCTTGCCTTTCCTTTCCTTTCCTTTCCTTGCCTTTCCTTTCCTTTCCTTTCCTTTCCTTTCCTTTCCTTTCCTTTCCTTTCCTTTCCTTGCCTTGCCTTGCCTTGCCTTGCCTTGCCTTGCCTTGCCTTGCCTTGCCTTGCCTTGCCTTGCCTTGCTTTGTCTTGCCTTGCCTTGCCTTTCCTTTCCTTTCCTTGCCTTGCCTTGCCTTTCCTTGCCTTTCCTTTCCTTTCCTTTCCTTGCCTTTCCTTTCCTTTCCTTGCCTTGCCTTGCCTTTCCTTTCCTTTCCTTTCCTTTCCTTTCCTTTCCTTTCCTTTCCTTTCCTTGCCTTGCCTTGCCTTGCCTTGCCTTGCCTTTCCTTTCCTTTCCTTTCCTTTCCTTTCCTTTCCTTGCCTTGCCTTGCCTTGCCTTGCCTTGCCTTTCCTTGCCTTTCCTTTCCTTTCCTTTCCGTTCCTTTCCTTTCCTTGCCTTGCCTTGCCTTGCCTTGCCTTGCCTTGCCTTGCCTTGCCTTGCCTTTCCTTGCCTTTCCTTTCCTTTCCTTTCCTTTCCTTTCCTTTCCTTTCCTTTCCTTTCCTGCCAGTCACGCTCCTTGTGTCAAGTGTCTCTTTCATTCATGTTTCTATCTTGGTCCTCATATCTGTTCCTCGTAGCAAAGATGTGTTGTGGAATCTGCAGTACTCTCAGCACGCGTGTGTCCTTCCATTGGGCAGAGGGCAACGGAGGCAGAGAGGGAGGCAGTGCAGCGAGAAGAGAAGCTGATGCAAGAGGTATGCTGGTCGCTGGTGCAAGAGGTATGCTGGTCGCTGGTGCAAGGCACATGGGAGACGCATGTATGTGAGAGATCTGGCACATTCTGAGTATGTGTCAAGGAGGCAGTAGGAGGGTGTGTGTAGTGCAAGTAACCCGGAACTCTCTGTGACACCCACCATGTGCTATGTAGGAACGTGCACATCTGTGCATGCAACCGTGCCAAGCAGCTGCTCGCCTCACAGTCGCTCTGAAGGTCGCTGTGAGGGTTGCTCTGGAGCCGCTCTGGTGTTTTCTCTCATGCTTTGTGGCGCCTCTGGCCACTCATCTCCTCGCTCTCGCCCTGCCCTCCCCCTCTGCCATCAGATAGCGGCTCTCAAGAATCGGTGCCAGCTGGCGGAGACAGCTCATGGTGACGTCAGCACGCACATCACGGCAGCAACTCAACCTCTTTTGAGGCAGGCAAGTTTCCTGTCACAGTCACTGTCAGTCACAGTCTCAGTCACAGTCATTCACAGTCAGTCGCAGTCACAGTCAGCCACAGTCACGGGCACAGTTTCTTTCAACCACGTCCCTCTCTCCCGCTCTCTCATGGCTTCCTAACCGTCTCCCTGTGTGTCGTTCCGCCCTGCTTTCCCTGCTTCCCCCGTGTCCGCATCAGGTGGAGGGCATGGCGGCGCAGGTGAGGCGGATGGAGCAGGAGGAGGAGCAGCGCGAGCGCGTGCACCAGGAGCAGCAGCAGCAGTGGGAGCAGCGGTGGCGCCACGCAGAGGAGGGGCGCAGGAGGGCGGAGGAGAGGGCGCAGCAGGCGGAGAGGGGGGCAGGTGAGGCAGCGAGGGGACGGGAGGAGGCAGAGAGGCAGGCGCAGGCTGCAGTGAAGCGACTGCAGGAGTTGCAGCAGCAGCAAGAGGTGGGTGGGTGGGGGGGGCCCGCCCATGGGTCAGCAAAGAGGGTTGCTGTGAGTGTGCCGGCCCCTTGCCGCCATCTTCTTGCATCACACCCACCCGCCTGTGTGCCATTCAGCTGAGCCCAATTTACCCTCCTCCACCCACCTCTTCTCACCTCCCTCCCTCTCCTCCCCCCCCCCCCCACGGCCGTGCATGTGTGCAGGAACTGCGGGAGGCGGCGCAGGCGGCGGGGGAGAGGGAGGGCATCGCGGAGCATGCGAGGGCGGAGGCAGCAGCAGCGCTGCAGGCGGCACGTGAGGCGAGAGACAACGCTCTCAGACGCATTCAGGACATGGAGCGGGCGGGCTGGGGGCGAGGGGCAGAGGGCGATGACACGGCTGGGGAAGGGGGGCGAGACGGCAAGGGCAGTGGCGGGAGCGAGGGGCAGCAGCAGCAGCAAGAAGGGGCTGAGATGCCGGTAAGTCGATGGAACCAAACGCCCCAATATGGAAACCTATTCCCTCCTGCTATGCCCATGCGGTGGCCTCAACTCATCACCGCACCTCTGCTGCTCTTGCTTCATCCAAAGTTGCGTCCCCCTCTCCCCCCCGTGTCTGGTGCGCCCCCCTTCCTCCCAGGTCGTGCCCCTCCCAGCAGCAGCAGCAGCGCCCCACAACACAGCCGTGGCAGCATCGCCTGCCCCCTCGTCCCCAACCCCGCTGCCACCCCTCTCAGCCCTCTCCCTCTCGCACTCCCCTCGCCCGCCCAGCCCCCGGGGCAGCAGTGCAGGCAGCAGCGGGCGGGCGGCAGGAGGGGATGAGGGGCTGGCGGGCAACAGCAGGCCAGGCGGTGGGGGGGGGAGTGCTAGGGGTGGGACGGGGGGGGGCAGTGCGGTAGGCGTGGGAGGGGCGAAGGCGGGGGAGGGGTTGGGAGGCAGTGCGGTGCGGCTGGGCGACCTGGACGTGGGGGGGTGGGGCATGGCAGCGGGCGGGGTGGGCTTGGAGCGACTGCGCGCCAAAGTCAGGTGGGCCTGCTGTGTGCTGGGCTTCCCTCCCTCTCCCTCTTCACTGCCGCCTCTCATGCCCTCTCTGCCTCCTGCCTTGTCACTCAAAAGTTGTTTTCAGTTCCACACCTGTGCTTTCACCTGGGCTGCTGCCTTCGCACTGCAGCATGGTATAAGCATGAAGGGCGAGCGTAGGGTGAATGGGGGGATGGAGCCACAAGCATAGCAACCAGGGGCCCGTGTCACACACTTCACTGCTGCCCCCCTGCCTGCCCTGCTGGTGGTGCAGCATGCAGTGCGTGCAGGGAAGCGCACCCACGCTGTCGCCACTCAAGCATGATCTCGCACTGTCACATCCTAACCCCTCTCCCTTCGCCCCCACTTCCCTGGTGGCGGGCAGGCAGCAGGAGGGGGAGGTGCGGCAGCTGCAGCGGGAGGTGCAGGAGGCGCGCGCAGCCAGGGACGCCACGGCGGACGAGCTGCTGCGCGTGTCCCAGCGTCTCCTGGCGCTTGAGAAGGTGGGGGGAATGGGGGATGGGGGAGAGGGGCCGCGGAAGCGAGGGAAGTAGTGGGTGGTGGGGCAGAGTGCGTGAGTGTTGGATGGAAGTGGAGGGGCATTTGGTGGTGGTGCGTTGGAGGAACGCGGAGAGGGCTTGAGAAGGTTTGGGAAGCAGTGGGAATGCAAGCATTGCTGCTCCGCACCAGCACCATGCTCACAGCATTCCCTCTCTCCTCAACCCGTCCCTGTGCTCTCTCCCCTCCCCCCACCAGGAGCGAGTGGCGGTGCCGGCACTGGAAGCGGAGCTGGCGGGGTTGAGGGCGCGGCACGAGGTGGCGCTGGTGATGGTGGGCGAGCGCAACGAGCGCGTGGAGGAGCTCGAGGCCGACCTCGCAGATGTCAGGGCGCTCTACAAGGAGCAGGTCGCTCTGCTGGCGGGGCAGGTGCGTGGCGGCAGGCACAGAGGGGCGTGGCGGCAGGCACAGAGGGGCGTGGTGTGAGGCACGGAGAGGCGTGGTGTGAGGCACGGAGAGGCGTGGTGTGAGGCACGGAGAGGCGTGGTGTGAGGCACGGAGAGGCGTGGTGGTGCACGGGCAGGGGAGTGTGATGAGTGGGCGAGTGGAGGGGCACAAAGGCGGCAGTGCGGCCCCACGGCAGTGGCTGGGGCATGCATGGCTGTTGCTGGAGCATGCATGGCTGTTGCTGGGGCATGCATGGCTGTTGCTGGGGCATGCATGGCTGTTGCTGGGGCATGCATGGCTGTTGCTGGGGCATGCATGGCTGTTGCTGGGGCATGCATGGCTGTTGCTGGGGCATGCATGGCTGTTGCTGGGGCATGGATGGCTGTTGCTGGGGTATGCATGGCTGTTGCTGGGGCATGCATGGCTGTTGCTGGGGCATGCATGGCTGTTGCTGGCTCGCACTGCCATCACAGCCACCCTCGTCTGCTGGCTCGCACTGCCATCACAGCCACCCTCGTCTGCTGGCTCGCACTGCCATCACAGCCACCCTCGTCTGCTGGCTCGCACTGCCATCACAGCCACCCTCGTCTGCTGGCTCGCACTGCCATCACAGCCACCCTCGTCTGCTGGCTCGCACTGCCATCACAGCCACCCTCGTCTGCTGGCTCGCACTGCCATCACAGCCACCCTCGTCTGCTGACAGCATTCGCAAGCTCCCTTTCTCGCAACACTTCTGTACCCTTGTCCAGCAATGGCCCCCCCCCTGCCCTGTGCTCTGTGCCAATCCCTTGTCAATCCCACCGCCCGCTTCCCCATGCTGCCCTGTATGTCAGGTGGACCCAGCCAAGTGGCCACAGGGCTACCGCATCTGCCTCTTCTGCCCGCACTGCGCCAAGACCCAGCGCTCTCACCCCAAATAGCTTCCCCGTGGCGGTGTTTCATTCCTCGTTCTGGATGTTCCATGTTATGAAACAAATGTATGATGCCTGTGGTGGTGCTGTGATGCAAGGGTTAATCAATGCAAAGGCTCATTCAAAAGAACAGCATTGTGCCTTGATTTGGTTGTGCACACTCTGGAGAAACAAATAATGCATTGGCAACACGAGAACCTGTGACACGAGCGCCAACAGTAGCAAGTGCGTTTTTTTTTTATCAGGGCTGCCAACAGCTGCTTGCACTGGGAGCTGCCCTTGTATCGTGCTGATGCTGTCGCTTCACAACGGCACATGAGAGGCACGCCGGCAGGGCGTTTCTCTATCCACGCGCCACTCACCCCCTCACATGTCCTTCCTCTTCTTGCCTTTGCCCTTGCCCTTCCCCTTGCCCTTGTCCTGTGCACCACTCCACTCCCTCTTCCTCTCCTGCACCTCCACCTGCTTCTGTGCCCTCGCTGCTGCTGCCCTCGCCCTTCTGCTCAGCTCCGCCTTCCGCCCCACCCCCTCCTGCTGCTGCCCCCCACCCCCCTTACCCCCTCTGCCCGCGGGGCGCTGCTGCTCTGTTTTTCCTTGGCCCCCCTGGGCCGGCTGCGGTACTGTTCGCCCCACACCCGACACCAGCTCCTCCCATGAAACCTCCTCCCCTGCTAACCCTCCTCTGCCTCCCCCCACCTCCTCCTCTTCTCTCCCTTCGTCTGCCTCCCCTTCCTTCTCTGAATCCTCTGATCCCTCTGCACTTGCCTCTACCTCCTCTCCTTCCTCTCTCTCCTCTCCTTCCTCTCTCTCCTCTCCTTCCTCTACTTCCTCCCCCTCCTCCCGCTCCTCGCCCTCCTCATCCTCTTCTTCCTCCTCCTCCAACTCCTCCTCCTCCCCCTCCTCTCCTTCTCCCTCCCCCGCACCCTTCCGCTTCACCCGCCTGCCTGTCTTGCCCTGTCCCCGAGCGTCCTCCTCATCAAAAGCCAGCCCAGCATTGGTGGGAACGCGCATGTTCTGCTGCCGCCGCGCCACCTCGCGCAGCACCTCAGTCATCTTCTCCATCTGCTCACTCACCTGCCGCCGCTCCGCACTCTCCCCCTCCCCTGCCTCCCCATCCGCCCCTACCCCTTCCGCCCCCTCCGCATCATCCCCCCCCTCAGAGCCCTGCTTCCCCGCGGCCTTGCCCCCAGCGGCCTTGTGAGGGAGCGCGTCGGAGTGGGGCGGCGGGGTGAAGAAGGGGATCTTGCCGCGCTGCCAGTCGTGCAGCACCATCTTCGCCGCCGTCTGCACGTCCGGCTCCCCGCCCTGAAATTTGGTTTCAGATTTAGCGTTTAGGGTTGGATGGGGGAGAACACAGTGGAGAGGGAGGGGGGGGAAGGGGCAAGAGTGAGGAAGAATTGTGGGGTTGAAAAGAGGAGTGTGGCCGCAAGACGCTTGCAGAGCGTGGGCAAGGTAATCTCTTATGGAGCGGACGTGTGTGGGCGGCCATGTGTGACCCTGTTGTCTCACCTTGAGCAGCTTGCCGGTGCGTTTGGCCATCTGGGAGAGGAAGTCCGTGGCGTCCTCCCTGGTGGGCCACGGGGCACGGCGGCGCGCAGGCAGAGCAACAGGCAGGGGATGAAATGATTCTGCAGTGAGGCACCAGAGGCAAGGCGCTGCATCCAAGAGGCGCATCAAGCAGCATGCAGCATGCCCACACGCAAAGGAGCAGCAGAACAAGACAGGCAGGGACCGCAGTGACACAGGAAAGGGGGCAGTGAGAGCGAGGCAGGGCACGGACCATTTCTCGATGCCATAGGCGCGGGTGAGATAGGCGGGTTTGACGCGGGTGAGCACGTCGGGGATGTGCTGGTCGGCGTCCTCCAGGTTGGCCACCCTCACCACGCCCTTGAGCACGGCGTTGGTCTCGCTGTCGCGCGCGTCCGCGTACACCACGCCCGGGCAGTCGATCAGGAAGATGCGCTTCATCAGTGTGATGTACTGCCACACCTTCGTCTCCCCTGGCACTGGCGCCACCGAACACACCTGTTGGGGCGGGGTACCGGGGTGGGGCAGAGGGGTGAGAGGGGTGGAGAGGGCAGTTGAGTGAGGGGAATGCGGCGACTTGTTCACACAAGCTGGGGGGGCAGCCGAGGGCAACAAGGGAAGTGTTGATGGGTGAGGCGAGGGACGGCTTACCTTTTTGGTGCGCAGCGTGTTGATGACGGACGACTTGCCGACGTTGGGGTAGCCGATGAACCCCACGCTGATGGCCTGCTTGTCGCTCTTCAGCCTCGCCACCTGCCGCAGCAGCGACAGCAGCGACCCCTGCTCGCGCCCACAGGGGGACGCATAAGGGGAGGCGCACAGAGAGGAAGAATAAGTTTCACATGGCGCTTTCGCAGGGCATGACGCGGCACGCACGACTCACACACAGGCAGCAGCGGCAGCAACAATGCAGAGCGCGAGGCGGCTAACGTTCCCACACACGCCCAGCCTGCCTGCCATGGCACCTGGCCCAAGCGCTCAAGGCGGGGGTTACCTACCTTGCCAAAGGGGTTGGTGATGGAGGCGTGGAAGGCGAGTGTGGGGTACTCGCGGGACAGCGCTCTGAGCCACCCCTTGGCCACCCACGATGGCACCAGGTCGCACTGCACGGGGCGGTGCACCACGGGGAGGGTGGGTGGAGGACAGGCAGGGGGGGCAGGCGGGAGACAGGCAGGGGATGGCACGTGATTGTGCAGTGGGTTGTGGATGATGGCACGTGAGGGTGTGGGACACTGAAGTGGCAGGGGGGCAGTGGGGCAGCACCTCACACCACTCCACACACACGCACACCAGTGCCAACCGCTGGTCGACGCGCACTGGTGGCGTGACTGACCTTGTTGAGCAGCAGCAGCAGGTGCTTGTGAGGGCACTTGTCGCGGAGGTGCCTTTCGAGGTAGGTGCAGCGCGTGCCCATGGGGTCGCGCGCGTCCAGCACCTGCACCACCACGTCGCTCGAGTCCAGCACCTTGAACAGCTCGCCCCAGATGCGCCGGCTCTGCCCCTTGTCGAACATGCTGTGCCGCACCACCGCCCTCACCCCGTCCTCCGCGTCCTGCGCGCGCGTCACCGCCTCGCTGCCGCCCGCCTTGCCCTCAAACGACTCTGAGCGCCCCATGTGAGAGAGGGGAGAAGGGGAGAAGGAGGGGGGTAGGGGAACGGGGAGAGTCGGTGAGCAGGGAAAAGGGGGAGAAGACAAGGGAGCAACAGCTATCAGCAATATCTAGCCCTAACCCCTGCCCCAAACTCCCCCTCCGCCCCCTCCCCCTGCCCTACTTCTCCGCCCCCCCCTTTCCCCTACCCTGTTTCTCCGCGCTGTGCTGCAGCAGCGACTCGTAGCCCTCAGCGGCGGCGCCCAGCTTGGGGCGGCGGCGCTTGGCGCCCGGCCCGAACGTGTCCTGGAAGGGCTCCGTCTCCACTATGTGCACGCGCGCCTTGCCCTGGGGGAGGGAGGGGGGGAGTTGGGGGGGGGGAGGGGGCGGAGAAAGGGGGTGAGCTCGAGGGTGGGGGAGGGGGATATAGGGCAGAGGGGAGGAGATGATAGTGGCGGGCGGAAAACAAAGTAGAATGGGAACAGGGGGAAAGAAGGAGCGAAGCTTGAGCGGGAGGGGAGGGCAGGAAGGTTAGGAGACGGGGCGGGGCGGGGCGCACCTGCGGCTGGTGGTTGAGGAGCGAGAGCGGCAGCGTGCGGTGTTTGAGCACGACGGTGTACGCGTCCGACACCTTGCTGCCCAGCTCCTCGCGAAACCGCTCCAGCTCGCGCTGCCCCACCACGCGCGTGTTGCCTGCGCCAACCCGTGCAAGGGTTTTGGGTACGCGGGGGGGGTATATAGACGGAGTTAGGGCTACCACGCGGGTGAATGTTCGGTTGTGGGCAACGAAATCGCTGTAAGGCTTGAATACCGCGCGCAAATCTAGGGTTTGAGGTTTCGGGTTTCCAGTTTCGAAGCACATAAGCGGAGCGCGGACAAACGAAGAGTTGCAAGTCACGACGCGTTACAGGGCACGTCAGCTTCAACCTGACTGCCCGCACGCAAATCCGTAAAACCGACTATTCGCCTTCAACAGTCACTCTACAGCACTCCGCGCGTGTCACACAGCTGACGTCAGCACGACGAACAGATAGCGGAGGGCGGACGGGAGGGGGGAGGGAGGAGCGGGAGGGGCGCCGGGAGAGGTGCTGACCGAACCAGCGGCGGTCGGGTTTGATGCGCGTGTTGGGGAGCGCCTTGGACTGCAGGTCCGTATGCAGCACATGGCCCTTGCTGTTGCGCCACGGCCGCGTCTTGTACATCGCCAGCCGCCGCACCGTCGCCGCCGACCGCATCGACGACCCCGGCCCGGTCGACGACTTGCCCATGCCCTCGCGGCGCGTGGCGTCCATGGAGTGGCCCGGCTTGCCCTTATTGGGCGTCGCCTCCTTCTTCTTCGCCATCGCCTCTCGCAACCGTTGAACCCGTCGCTGCGGTGCGGTGGGAAGGTGACGCGTGTAGGGCAAATGGAGTGGTGTGGAGCGAACGGGAGAGCTGAGATCAAACGTGTGGGGAGATGGGGAGACGACACGGAAAGGCGTGGCTTGGTTGGAGAAAGGAAGTGTGGGTGGGAGAGTGTTGAGCTTTTGTGTGTATATTCCGCGTTTGAGAAAGACTCGTACCTAGCAGAGTGGATCCTACAGCTGTGGTTGAACCTCCGCGTAAAATTGTGTGCGACTGGTTGCGAAATTTTGATGTGCGCGTTCCTCGATATAGGGCAACTCTAACGGAACTATTGTTGCTTGGATGGTGCAGAGCTAGGCTAGGACATTTTGCTCTAGACGAGCAAAATCGCGAATCTCGATGTCCTGAATGCTTTGCGAAATCATGGCCAATGGTTTCCCGACTGATTGCCCCTCAAATTTCCTCTCCCGTCATTGGCGCACGTAACCGCACGTTATCTGCTCACTGCCCCATCCTCTGCCCGCAGCCACATCATTGGCCCATCCTGCCCCGTCAGCTGCCCCCCGTCCCCACCATCCCCAAGTCACCAATCCGTCCCGCACATTGGGATTGTTGCAGTTGAGGCGAAGGAAAGGTGCGAAACGGAAACCTTAGGAGTTATCGTCTCCTACGGTGGTTTTTTTCCTTGCGTCCTTGGTCACCTCACACCGCCCGCTACCACGCACCTTGGGATTGCGCATTTCCTTCCTCGGCGTGTCGCGCCCAAATTCGTTGCCGTGACCTCTCTCTTTTCGGCTGCTTTCCCCGTGCCTCGGGAATATCAGAACAGCACCACGCGTGCATATTCGCGGCTGCTGTGTCTTGCGCTGTTCCGTGTCGTGCACGCCTTGCCCATTCCGCTTTGAGACGAATCGAAATGGCGTCGCTCGCCGCGTCCAAGGCGCTACTCGCCAGACCATCCAGCGGCCTCGCGGCCCGCTGCGCGCCGATGTCGTCCTCACACTCGACGGCCGCCGCCGCGCGCCAACTGGCGCTCGCCACCCCACAGAGCGCGTCAGTGCGGCCGCAACGTCGGAGAGCGGCGATGCGCGTGGCGGCCAAGGCTGTGGAGGAGGTGCAGGTAGAAGAGCAGGCTGCTGTGCCAGGTCAGTCGCGCTTCGTCAGCCGCTGTTCTCTCGTCACGCAATTGGGCTGTACGGTCAGGAAAACTCGGCATTTTTAAGAATAAAACCTAGCGAGTTCTTGCCACGAGTAATTTCGGTTGCTGGATGACGTAGATGATATAGCTGCTGTTCATTTGTCGAGTTTGAATAGGTCAGGCCGCGCGGGCGTGCAGGCTCCGCATGTCTCCTTGCGGTTCATCGACTTCCCTGATCACAGCAACACCTTCTTGCTTTCCCCTTGCCTTCCCCTTGCTTACCGCTTGCTTTCCCCTTGCTTTTCTGTTGCCTTTTCCGTGCTTCCCGCCGTCCGGCGCCATTCCCTATCCTCCCGTCACGCCCTTTCCCCGCGTGTTCCGCCGTGCCCCATCTCGCCCGCGCAGCGCCCTTCAACTTCGAGGCGTACATGTATGCCAAGGCCAAGGCGGTCAACGCGGCGCTGGACGCGGCGGTGCCGCTGCAGTACCCGGAGCGCATCCACGAGGCCATGCGCTACTCGCTGCTCGCCGGCGGCAAGCGCGTGCGCCCGTGCCTGTGCCTGGCGGCGTGCGAGCTGGTGGGCGGCAGCGACTCGGTGGCGATGGCGGCGGCGTGCGCGATGGAGATGATCCACACGATGTCGCTCATCCACGACGACCTGCCCTGCATGGACAACGACGACTTCCGCCGCGGCAAACCCACCAACCACAAGGTCCGCCGCTCCACTGCACACGCTCTCGGGCCGACCACACGGTCTCGTGCCGAGAGAGTTCGCTTACGGGGATTTAGGGAGAGGCGGGGGTTGGGAATAGGGGATTCTTACGGGATGGGGTTGGAAGTAAGAAATTCACCTCGGTCGAACGGAGTGGCTGAAAGGAAACCAGCCACGAAAGGGTCGCCGTGCCAGCTTTTCCTTCGTCCAGCCGCCCTTTCTCTTCCATCATCTCGCGCCCTCACCGCCCCCATGTTTCCCCCCTCTCTATCTCCCCTCCCTCCTTCTCCCCCCTTCCTCCGCCCGCTGCCAGGTGTACGGGGAGGACGTGGCGGTGCTGGCGGGCGACGCGCTGCTGTCGTTCGCCTTCGAGCACGTCGCGCGCGCCACGCCCGCGTCCGTGCCGGCGGAGCGCGTGGTGCGCGTGATCGCCGACATGGGCAAGGCCGTCGGCTCCGAGGGGCTCGTCGCGGGCCAGGTGCGCGCACAGGGGGCGGGGAGGGCGGGGAAAGGGGGAGAGGGAGGGGGTCGCGGGGGGGCGCGTGGATTGAAGTTTGAGATGGTGTGTTTGAAGTGCAATCGTCGCGGACTTTCCAGCGGCCCTACAAGCAGCGGCCCATTGAAATGGGTATAAAGGGTACTCGAGAGTAAGGTTCCGCTTAGACGTTTGGCGGTAGAATCAAGTCAGACGCTTCCATGAACGGAGCAGAGCCCAAGGGAGGAGCGAATGGAACTCGAGGCACGAGTGTGAGATGGAACATAGGGGAATCAAGGTTGTCTTACCCCCATGCCCTCCCCTCCTGCTCCCCCCTCACCCTCCATCGCAACCGCCCTGATGCGCGCTTGGCAGATCGTGGATCTAGACAGCGAGAGCGACCCGTCGGTGGGCGTGGAGACGCTGGAGTACATCCACGTGCACAAGACCGCTTCTGAGTCGACTCAAAAGCCATCCCTCCCCCTTGTGCGCGCGGCAGATCGTTGATTTGGAGAGTGCAACTAACCCCGTGGGCGTGGAGACGCTGGAGTACATCCACGTGCACAAGACGGCCGCGCTGCTGGAAGTGTCGGTGGTGGCGGGCGCCGTGCTGGGCGGCGCCAACGACGACCAGGTGGAGCGCCTCCGCAAGTACGCCCAGTTCGTTGGGCTCGGCTTCCAGGTGAGCCAGTTCGTTGGGCTCGGCTTCCAGGTCAGTCTCACACACTCACGCGGGACTGCCTTGCAGGTCAGTCGCTCATGGGGGGCTTGCCTTGCAAGTGGGGTGTTTCCCAAGTTACTCTTGCCATTTTTGCGAGGGGAGGAGAGTCCTGCGTTCAGATGGCAGTGGGTGAGCCTCAGGTGGGATTCTGAATTGGGGGGGGTTTGGGGTTGAGGCTGTTGCAGTGAGGCCAAAGAATGTGCGCATCGGCAATTGGATAGTATGAGTCTGACCAGGAGTTTGTCCTGCCATAGATAGCAGCACGCAGTATGGTGTGTGGCACACGTGCCACTGCATCCGCTTCGGAATTACGGAATCGTCATCTTCCCCATGCAATCAATCCCGCACATCTCATCGTTGGTTCCCCCAGCAACACTGGAGGCCCCCCAGCAATCTCACCCTTCCCTCCTTTCCCCACCTTGTCCTCCACTCGTCTGCGCCGTGCGTGGCGGTGCGCCCAGGTGGTGGACGACATTCTGGACGTGACCAAGTCCACGGAGGAGCTCGGCAAGACGGCCGGCAAGGACCTCGCACAGGACAAAACCACCTACCCCAAGTGAGACAAAATTTCCCACCCCATGTGAGACAAAACCATCAAACTCAAGTGAGACAAAGCCACCCACCTTGAGACAAAATCACCAGCCCCAAGTCGGGGAAAACCACCCACCTACACCAAGTGAGACGAAACCACCTACCCTATGTGGGACCTAACCACCTACCCTATGTGGGACGTAACCACCTACCCTACGTGAGCCAAAACCACCTACCCTACGTGAGCCAAAACCACCTACCCTACGTGAGCCAAAACCACCTACCCTACGTGAGCCAAAACCACCTATCCTAAGTGGGATGTAGTTACCTACCTAAGTGGGATGTAACCACCTGCCTAAGTGAGCCCTTGATAAGAACCCGGTGAGCCCACTTCTTTCGGGCGCATGCTGACTCCCTTGTTGCTGTCCTATTTTATGCAGAGTTTAGGCAAATGCTCTCTGCTATCTTAGCCTTCCTTTCCACCAGCCCTCTACCCTGTCCCCATCACTCCCCCATTCCCCACTCTGTCCCTCATCTCGTGAAGGTTACTGGGGCTGGAGAAGTCCAAGGAGCTGGCAGAGGAGCTGATTAGGAAGGCCAAGGAGCAGCTGAGCACATTCGACCAGCACAAGGCGGCTCCCCTCATCGGCCTTGCTGACTTCATTGCTTATCGTCAAAATTGACAAGCTAGGGAGGGTTAGGCGAAAGATAAAAAATTAGCTCACAGATTCTTTTAGGGGACGCTTCAAGTTTAGCTGTGAAAGGAAGGAAACTGAAGTTAATAATAGCAGTGAGTTGTGTAATATATCATGTTACTCGTCACCAATTGCGCCAGCTCGTCTTCGCGAGCTCGTCGATAACCAACCATCTCGAATATTGAGAGAAGGTTCCAAATATCTGGTTACCACACACACTAATTCGCGAACCCGAATCAACAAAGTTCTCCTCGGTGTGGTTCCACCATCCTCACACAATCCCCGCGATTCTCGTATTTCAGCCCACATTCGTGCATTTCCACAATACGCCTAATTCCCGTCCTCTGCGCATTACTGCGTGCACGGCACCGTTTCCATCACTTTACTTCAACGCTCCGCAAGCGACAGGCAGTCCGGCGCGTCCGCGTGTGCGGAGCATGGCTCGCGTCGTGCCTTGCCCGCACATCGCCAACCGTGCTACTGCGTCTCCGCACTGCCCCGCGTTGCGCTCCTCAATCGCGCCGACATGGAACTCCACTCCGTCCTCCGTCTCGCCTTTCGCCTCCGCGCTACGGCCCGCAGCCACGCTTCCGCGATTGACGTTGAATTTGCAAAATCGCGCGCGTGTACCGCTTCGTACACAGCTAGCGAGGCGGCGTGCGCCCGTGGTGCGCGCGGCGGGGCAGGAGGGCGGGGAGAAGGACGAAGACAAGCCCAAGGCCGTCGGCACCCTGCCCGACGGCGAAGCCGGCAGTAAACCGCCCGAATCCTCCTCTCCGCCTCCGCCGCCGTCCGCCGCCCCGCCGTCATCCCCCGCGCCCGTGCAGCTGGACTCGTACGCGGTGGTGGCGCTGCTGGGGCCCGAGAAGGTCGACGCGGACGACGTGGCGCTGCTGCGCGCCAAGCTCTTCGGCTACTCCACCTTCTTCGTCACCGGCCAGGAGCCCTTTGGCGAGGCGGGCGAAGCAGTGTTGTTACAGGGTAACCTGCGCGGCCCCAAGGAGGAGGTGTTCGCGAAGCTGCGCGCGGGCATGCGGCTCCTGTTCGGCGCAAAGTACGAGCTGCTCATGGTGCAGGAGCCGCGGAAGCCGGGCGCGGCACCGAGCGAGGGGGAGGGGAAGGAGGAGCGCGTGGCGATGGTGGTGGTGCGCGCGGAGCAGCTGCAGGACCGCGCCACCTCCGCGTGGCAGTACGCGCTCGCCGCGCTGCTGCTCGCGCTCACCGGGGGCGCGTGCCTTGAGCTGGGCCTCGCCAGCCAGGTGAAGGGATTTTTTTGGGGAAGGGGGGTTGGAGAGAAGAGGGAAGGGGAGAAGAGGGGATAGAATTTGGGAAGAGTGGATTGTTGGAGCTGGAAGGAAGTGAGAGGAGAAAGCGAGGCGTTTCATTGGCGGAGGGTGTTCTGGAGGGGTTGGGAGGGGTGTGGTGCGATGGTGCAGATCACTAGCACTCATTGGACAGCGTGGGGAGGGCAGAGCACGAGTACAATAGTGCAGGGGTGAGCTGAAGCGGCATTATTTCAATCAACCAATCCCCCACGCCCACCCCCTTCCCCTTTGCGTGCCGCCCAGATCTCCAAGGTGTCGCCCGATGTGATTCGCTACTTCACGTCACCCAATCCCGAGGAGCTGACCCCGCCGGACGTGACGGTGCTGGCACCGTTGGTGCGCAACGCCCTGCCCATCGCCTACGGGGTCTTTGGTGTGCAAGTCTTCCACGTGAGTGCTGCTCTTCCACGTGAGTGCTGCTCTTCCACGTGAGTGCTGCTCTTCCACGTGAGTGCTGCTCTTCCACGTGAGTGCTGCTCTTCCACGTGAGTGCTGCTCTTCCACGTGAGTGCTGCTCTTCCACGTGAGTGCTGCTCTTCCACGTGAGTGCAGGCACGGTTCCCTTACATACAGATGCAGGGCTGGTGTGTCGTTTACGTGAGTGGGGAGACGGCTTCTCTCAGAGAGGGGTAGGTGCAGGTGGGTGTTGCGCACCCACGCATGCACATGCCATGTCTCCGACTCCCTCACATCACATCAGATGCCCCTGGTGTAGCTCAACGGAGCTACCTCACTCCCTCACCTCACTTCCTCACCTCCAGCTTCCACGTGCCCATGTGTCCACTTCACCCCACGTAACCACCCCAGGAGGTGGCCCACTGGCTGACGGCAGCACAGAAGCGGGTCAGGCTCGGCATCCCGTACCTCATCCCCAACATCACCATTGGGAGCTTCGGGGCCATCACTCAGGTGCAGTGCACCTAGACAGGCCGTCCTAGCCGCCCCGTTCTCCTCTGCCTTACCAGCATGCACTTTGCGCTTTTTTCTTGTGCTCCTCCCTTCCCCCTCCTGCCTTCATGCCTCACTCGCTTCCCCCTCATTCCATCTCTCCCCACGCGCCCTCTCTCCAATATAATCTCTCCCCGTTCTTCTCCTCCCCTCCAGATCAAGAGTCCCTGTCCCGACCGCACTGCTCTCTTTGACATTGCCTTGGCCGGCCCGCTAGCCGGTGCCACCTTGTCGCTCGCCATGTTTGCGGCGGGCCTGGCCCTCTCGCTACCGCCATCTGGCCCGCTGGCAGCGCTGCCGGGGCTGCAGGAGTCGCTCGTGCAGGTGCCCTCGCAGCTCTTCCAGGGCTCCCTGCTGCTCGGCGCACTCTGCCGTGCTGTGCTGGGATACGAGTGAGTGCAGAGCGGTGCTGTGATACGAGTGGGAGTTTTCTTATAGTGTTTTGAAAAGAGGGTGAATAACTAGTAGGCCTCTCCTCACGCTCCGCCTTTGCGGTATAATGCCTACATTGCAGTCCAATATGCCCCAACGGTGTCCTGTATCCTGTGCCCCTCTCCTCTGTGCTCCCACTCAGCTTGATGCACGTGCAGGCAATCACCATCCACCCACTCGTGATTGTTGGATGGTACGTGCCTCTGCTCAGCCGTTTCTTCTCGCATTCGATCGCCATCCCCCTCAAGTGCCCCACTTTGCTTGCCATACGTGCATTTCAGAACCTTGCCACTCTGTGGTTCATCCTCCTGCTCCATTGCCTCACCATGCAAGCGCACACTTCCCCTCCACCACTCTGCCATTTCCCTGCTGCCACAGGTGTGGCCTGACCACCTCTGCTCTCAACCTGTTGCCAGCAGGCCGGATTGACGGGGGGCGAGCCACACAGGTATGGCTCCCAGTGCCTATCGCTTCATGGCTGAACATCTGTTGATACAGGTCGGCCGCTCCTTTCTTTCCGTCCTTGCATTTACCTCACATGCGTTCTCTAAATGCTCTCTTGTATATGCATGCACTCAGGCTGCATTTGGGCGTGACACGGTGGGCATCACTAGCCTTGTGACGTATGGACTTCTGGGAATCGGCTTGGTGAGTGCACTCATGAGCAGTCTTCCACTCGTTTAAAAGCCTATTTATAACTTACCTACCTGCACACTAATGCTTACTCTGCCTGTTTGTACCCTGTTCCTTGCCTGCTGGCAGCTTGGGGGACCATTTTCTCTGCCCTTCGGTCTCTATGTCCTCTTTCTCCAGGTATGTTTCCTTCGTGTCACACGTCATGTGTAGCTTTTGAAGGTATGGTACCAAAACCCTGTTTCTGCGCTGGGAGGGATTTAACTGATCTCACTCCCCGTGCTAAATCCACTCGTGATGCTTCCCTTGCCCACCAGAGGGACTTCGAGAAGCCTGCATTGAACGACGTCACAGGGGTTGGCTGGCAGAGGCAGCTGGTCCTTGCTGGGGCAATCGCCCTGGCAGTTGGCACACTTCTGCCAATTTGGGATGGACTTGCTGATGACCTCGGTTTTGGCATCGGAAGCCAGCTACTATTCTGATCCTTGCCTTGATAGTCTCATGTAGTCCTCGTCAAGCAATCGTAGGGGGGTCCACCATTGTCCATCTCCATTGAAATGTTATTGTTTCCTTTATTTAACCTAAGCAGGCAGCTTTGAAGCTGCCGCGGAATCCACAAACCAGGTGACTGATCCAATATAAGGACGGACCAGCTGAGCAGGCAGTGCACCTGGTAAAGCAAGCCTCCCAAAGATTCTCTGGACAACCTCAGCTTTTCCCTTTCCTGCCGCAACAAATGCAACCTGATCACACTCACAATCAATTTGTCAGTGAACAAGCAAAGGTGACCGGCTGTGGCCAAAGAACGAGTGTCAGTGGAACGTAAAGAGACACTCACGTTTGAAGCACAGTTGATGACAGGAAGCGTCATGGTGATCCGTTCTGGAGGTGGTTTCGGCGAGTTTGTGACAGGAAGCACCCATCTTGATGTTTCACGCAACAGCGGACTGTTGGGGAAGAGTGAAGCCACGTGGCCATCAGGACCGAATCCAAGAAGAACCTGCAGTCCAAAAGGTCCCATCAGGATTGGCCACTTGTGGGCAATCAAACATCATGGAGTGAAAGGATTCTCACCAGGTCAATACGAGGAAATGGCACACCCTGCGTTGTTCTGAGAACGCCCTCCTCCACAAGCTCTCTGAAAGATTATAGGTTATGATGTTAGTTAGATGAAGGATTCTTTCACACAAGAACAACGTAAGCAACATGCTACTGGAGGCTGGCACGTACTTCGTCAGTTCCTCATAGTCGCTTGCAGCTTCCACAACAGACAATTCATCATCAATAGAGTAAATATGCTCCTCAGGAATGGGAACCTTCGATAGAACCTCGTCCTGCATAGGTGCCAAACCCCCTGAAAGTACATCAGCACCCTCGAATTCAACCAATGACAGCTACCCCAGGTACCCACCATCGCGAGCTTGTAGTTACTGTCAGGGCTCGAAAGCTTCACCGCACGCTCATCCACCCACAGGACGTGCCAATTCTTCCAATCTATTGACGATCTGAAGGGTTCTTCAGTCAGCTTCAGTAGAGCCTGCAACCAGGAACTATGAGCGTCTAAATACACGAATCTGGCGTACCGCTCACGAAACAGAAATAGCTGAGTTGAGACATACATTGACCAGCGAGCCCCCAGATAGCGCAATGGTAAAAGCACCCCTGGCCTTCGTCGCCTCTCCCGAAAGTCGCTGAATGTACTCCGCCACCGCGGAGGCGACCTCGGATGCGGATTCTTCGCGGCTTATGTACACCTTCGCCTCATGGTCAGGGTAAGGAACCACCAGCTTTGACTTCGGGAATGTGACGGTGAGTTCATCTGAGACTCCCACCTCATTGCTGGCCCAGTCGGTTGTTTTCCTTACCCGCTGGCTAAGAAACGTAGCGGGATCTGAAAATCGAACGTTCAGATTCTGGCTGATAAAACAGGATCCAGGGAAGAACGAGGCCTGCAAGAATACGAGAATTTAAGAGTAAGTATCATGTTGCCGCCAAGCGTAGAAACAGCGACATTTGTATACTGCATTGAGACGGTAAACGAGTTCAATGACCTTGGCAGAAAGGCCAGAAACGACGTTGGGCAGACAATAGGAGGCCATGGTTGGTCCACAACAGCAGCTAACTCGTTTCCAGTTGTGAAATTAGGGAGCCATGAAAGTGAAAGAGCAGAAATTCCTATTTGAGTGATTGAAATTTTCGAGTGTCAATTTGTGTTGATGCAAATTGGTGTGGGAGAACTGTTTGCTCTATGCCGTACGTTCCCCTCTTATCCAACGGTGGAACATTGTGTTACAAAACACGTCAACGTTTTTTTTCGCCTGTGTTCTCATTCGGTCGTGAAGCGTCCCAGCCCAGCTGCTTCTGCAATTTTACTCCAGCCCAACCAATGTGCTTCCATCATTTCCTGCCACAACCTGCCAGCAGAACCCACACCCACCAATCCCAGCACACATCTCGTTCCCCTCGAAACCCCACCTTTCACAACCTTCTTTTCGAATCTTCGATTCAAATCTGCATTCCTCTTCTGTTTTCACGTTTCGTTGCTGCTTGTTCTGGCCTGGCTCTACCACTTTTTGGAAAGCCTATCCGCTGGTTCTTATGGCGATGCCCGTGCAGTCCTCGCCCTATTCCGGGAATGTTATTACCACTGAACTTATACAAAAGGTATGCATTTCTTCGCTGTCTTCGGTTGCTGATTGATCCTCAAGCCAACATCTCGCAACTTACTCGCTTCTTGGTTTGAGCAGTATTTGGACGAGAATAAGCAGCTGATTCTTGCGATCCTCGACAATCAGAATTTGGGGAAACTTAATGAATGCGCACAGTAAGTTGTGCACATGCGATTTGTTTTACAGAGGAGGAACTGTTGCACGTGCATATGGCTAACAAGATTGTTCGTGTGTTACAGATACCAGGCTAGGCTGCAGCAAAATCTTATGTATCTAGCTGCGATCGCCGATGCGCAGCCTCAAGTTCCTCCTCCTCAGGTATTAGACTACAATAATCATCAACTCATTTCTGCTTTTCAACAGCCTTCTAGCATATTTACTCTGATATCATGTTATTTATGGCTTGCAAATGGCACTTTTTGCGCAGGCTCCAACGGTTCAGCCAGGTCAGGCGTACACACAACCTTCAGCAGCGGCGCAGCCTGTTCCAGCAGCTCAAGTTCCAGGCCAGCAGGTTCAGTACCCTCAGCAACAACAGCAAGTGCAATATCAGCCATCACAGCAGCAGCCTACCGCCCCTGCTCAACAGCAGCAGCCACAGCAGCAGCAGCAGCAACCCGCGCCACCGCAGCAGTACCAGCAGCCGGCGCAGCCAGCACCACCACCGCAGCAGCAGCAGCAACCGCAGCAGCAGCAATATCAGCAAGCACCGCAGCAGCCTCAGCAATCCCTTCCTGCCCAGCAGCAACCGCAGCAGCAATACCAGCAGTCGCCGCAGCAGCAGTTCCAGCAGCAGGCTCAGCCACAACAGTACCAGCAGTCCACACAGCAGTACCAGCAACCAGCGCAGCAGTACCCTGTTCAACAGCAGCCACAGCAGCCACAGCCACAGCAACAGGCGCTGCAACCCCAGCAGCAGCCTACGTATCAGCAGCAGCCGCAGCAACAGCAGATGCAGCAAATGCAGCCCGTTCAGCCAGCTCAAGGTATCCAGCAGCCACTTCAGACGCCGCAACAACCCTTGCAAATGGCCCCACAGCAGACTGTCTCTGTCTCCCAGGACCAACAGCAGGCATATTCTCAGGGCCAGCAGATGATGCAGCAGCAACAGATGGCTCCAGCTGCATCTCAGCCAGTTGTTGCCAGCGCTGTGAGCGGCGCTGGCAGCGAAGCCTCTGCAGGAGGAAACGGTGCTCCTGTTGGCAGTTTTGGCGACTATGGGCAGGCACAGGTTGCTCAGCCACAGGCACCTACAGCACAACCAGCAGATACGAACATGGCCATGCCAAGTACAGGAATGTAGATACTTGTTGTTTTCTTTCTTGTTTTCACGGTACTGATACAGGGATTCACAGTAGCTATTTTCTGGGAGTAGGTTAACGTCAGACATGATAAAAACTCCCTTAGTCTCCCTCACTTTCTTTGCATTCCTCCATTGTCTTGCTGATAGCTGGTACCGTAGATCGTGCTTGACTTCTCTATTGTAGTAGCTCCTGAGCTTTGCATCAGCTATGGTATAACTAATAATGCTGCTTCTTTTAAGTGCTTTTTGTATCCACCATTTCATAGCTGTTATCCAGTTCGGATGGGATAACAGATTCTAAGTTGATACAGTCCTGTATCGTGTTCCAGTGAAACGGATTAGTGTACTGTATAAAGCACCAAAGCCCAGCCCAACAACGTCTGCGCCGCAATTCGAGAACAGGGGGCAAAATGCTATCCAAACCGCAAGCCCACTCGGCCACGTCACTCACACAGACCATCAGTTACGGTGTACACCCTGTTTCGCGCTACACTGTTAATGGCTATACGGACCAATCGGATGTACACACATCAATGCGTCCAGGATGGTCCATGCACATACGATATAAGCACTTTTGCTCGCACTCAACCGTACTCAAAAGCAAGTTTTTTTCTGAAAACCGTTGTGTACCGTTTACCAGGAGTCCATTTGCCCGTCACTACCTGCAGTTGGGCTGTAAGCACAAGACCGCTACGTTCCAAGCAACAGTACACACTGTAGCCTGTGAATCTCATTGTCAGTGTAGCGCGAAAGAGGGTGTACACAGAACCGCCGTTATGATGAACCGGGGCATCATTACTGTACGTGTCGGTGAAAATGGAAAACTCTCCCTCGCGCAGCCCTCAGTCGAGCGGAAAACGTCTGGTCAGTTAGGGCAAGGTAGATTGTATACGACAAATACAGTTAGTTGTGGAATTGCTCTGTGAAACAGCGGAATGAGGAGTGCAGGTGATCAGATGGAACCTGATCAGGAAATCCGTGCATTACTACCTGGAATGGGAATGCCTGTTATCCTGTCTGTATATCAAGCAGCCCATTTTTTAGCTGTCAGACATTCTCTCAGTGAAAGCACAGGCTTTCAAACCCACTCTTACAGTTGTGTTAGTCACCCACCGCGCCCTGGTCTTGTTCCCTGAATCCAACATAGCATTGCAATTGACTGACTGAGAGAATGAGGCCGGTCGTACTCCTACTGTTGCTGCACGCATGTCTACTATCTTCGCATCGCCTCGCCACAGCACGCACGCCTCTCGCCGAAGCGGACGGCGCCGCAAGTAGCAGCAGCCGTCGCGAGCTGCAAGGTCAGTGCGCCCGTCCTTCACACGGCATTGCCGTTGCGGATTCCACGGGCCGGACCGCCAAAAGAAAGTTCAGCGTCGAGCTTTCAGAATCTCGCCACGAACAGCCTCAATTGTGTCGTTTCCCCTCCCGCCAATCTGATTTCGAGCCTTGCACCGCCCCGCGCGCCCGTGCTCCCCCTCCCCCTCCCCAATTTCCCTCATCCAGCGTCGTGCCCCGCGGGCGTGGTGTGTCCGACGGGCGCCACGTGCGTGGTGGACGGCAGCGGCTACCCCTTCTGCAAGTGCGCGGCGGGGCAGGCCATCATCAACGGCGTCTGCGCGCCGGCCGCCAGCTGGGCAACCGTCGGCACCAACGTCGTGCTCTACAACCGCGCGTCGTACACCAACTACCCGAAAACACTCGCGCCAGCCGTGCTGCGCGGCGCGGCGCCGAACTCGAGCGCGTGCGTGAACCTGCCGGCAGCGTTCAACGGGACGGTGGGGTCGGTGCGCATCATGTGGAACGTGAACGACGGCGTGGCGGACCACCTGGTGTGCGGCAAGCTCTTCTTCTGGGACAAACCCAACTGCTGCTGCTCCGGGTCGGGCTACCAGATCCCCGGCGGGTGGACCGCCGTCAACCCCAACACCTACACCTACACCACCACCAGCGTCAAGTGAGCCGCTCTCCGCCCCTCCACTTCACACGCCTGCGCGCCCTTGCACTCTCGCTGCTCCTCATGCGCCCGCTTCTCTTTCCACCGTTGACACTCCTCCACCACTTCCATGCTTGCCATTGACCGCTTTGACTCACACCCGCGGCGTTGACTGCGTTGACTGCGTGCAGGTCGACGAGCGGCGTCATCGCGGTGGGCAGGTCCATCTCGTGCCAGGCCGCCATCGCCACCAACACGTACCCCTGCGCCACCAAGAACTGCCCCGTCAACGCCGCGTGCTCCGTGGTCAACGGTGCCGCCGTGTGCACGTGCAACGCTGGATACAGCATGGTTGGCGGGCAATGCGTTGGTGAGTCAGCTTTGTGGTCCGCAGTGCTGAGCAATGCACCGTGAGCGCCATGCAACCCGCGTCCTCACTCTCTTTTCTGCCCCTTCTGCCCCTGCTTCCCCTTCTTCCCATTCTCCCCATTCTCCCCGTTCTCCCCATTCTCCCCCTTCTGCCAGCAACAACGTCCAACCCGTGCACGGGGTACACCTGTCCCGCCAACTCAGCATGCTCAAATGTCAACGGTGCTGCCACGTGCACGTGCAATACCGGATACCAGATGGTTAACGGCCAGTGCGTTGGTGAGTTGACTCCCATTCAATCTCGCTTGTGAATATCATCCGTGCTCTCTCACCCTCCCCTCCTCTCTCCTGCTTGGCATCAATCTCTTCTTCACTCCACTCTATCCGCCTCCACCCTCTCCGCTTTGTCCCCCTGCCATTTCTTCTTCCTCCGATTACCCCTCCTCACCTCCTTTTTTCCTGCTGGTCCCCTTGCCATCCTTTCACCCAAACACCAGTGCCCAACCCGTGCACGGGGTACACCTGTCCCGCCAACTCAGCATGCTCAAATGTCAATGGTGTTGCCACGTGCACGTGCAATACTGGTTACCAGATGGTCAACGGCCAGTGCGTGGGTGAGTCACCTCCTTTCAATCCATTTCATTGACCTACCTCTCTTCCTCCCCACCAACTCTCCAGTCTCACCTCTCCATTTATATTCCCCAGGTCTCTCCGCCTCTTCTCCTCTCCATTGCCTCCCTGCATCATGCGCCGTCCTCCCAATCACCTCTGATGTCAATGGTCTCTTGCCAATTCGATTTTATTCTCCTTTGCTCTCTCTTCCCCCAAACGCCAGTGCCCAACCCGTGCACGGGGTACACCTGTCCCGCCAACTCAGCATGCTCCAACGTCAATGGCGTTGCCACGTGCACGTGCAATACCGGATACCAGATGGTCAACGGCCAGTGCGTGGGTGAGTCACCTCCGGTTAATTTCACTTGATTGGCCTTCTTTTCCTCCTCCCCTCCAACCCATAAATCTCTCCTGTTTTATATCTCCCCAATCTCTCCACCTCTTCTCCTCTTCATGCCCCTCCCTCCGTCCATCCTCTCCTCACCTCCGATTTCTCACTTGCCTTTAGCCGATTTTAATATATTTTTCCCTTGCTCTCCCCCCTCCCAAACGCCAGTACCCAACCCATGCACGGGATACACCTGTCCCGCCAACTCAGCATGCAGCAATGTTAACGGTGTTGCCACGTGCACGTGCAATACTGGTTACCAGATGGTCAACGGCCAGTGCGTTGGTGAGTTCCCCTCTCTCTCGCTCCATCAATTTCCCCCTCTCCTCCTTCTCCCCCTCTCTCTCTACCTCCTCTCTCCACTCCATTCCTCTCTCAGCCATTTCCTCTGATTTCTCTCCTGCCTCTCGCCAATCCGCTCAAATCAATTTGCCTGTCCCCTTCCACTCTCCTTCCTTCCCTCCCCCAAACGCCAGTGCCCAACCCGTGCACGGGATACACCTGTCCCGCTAATTCAGCATGCAGCAATGTGAACGGTGTCGCCACGTGCACGTGCAATGCTGGTTACCAGATGGTCAACGGCCAGTGCGTTGGTGAGTTGACTGCCTTCCCTCCCTCTGCAAACCCCCACCTCTCCTTTTCCTTCGTCTCCTGCTTCCAATGCCTCCCCCACACTGTATCGCTCCTCACTCCCTCCCTTTCAACCAGTTGCCCCTGCTTCCCACATTTTTCGCTTCTCACCCCCGGCTTTTTTCTCTGTGTTCCCTTCCTCTCCCCTCCCAAACGCCAGTGCCCAACCCATGCACGGGGTACACCTGTCCCGCCAACTCAGCATGCTCCAACGTTAATGGCGTCGCCACATGCACGTGCAATACTGGTTACCAGATGGTCAACGGCCAGTGCGTGGGTGAGTCCTACTCTTTTCTCTCTTAACTCCTCTCCTCATTTTCCCCCACTCTCTCCACCTCCTGTACCCTCCCCTCCCTTCCTCTCTCAGCCATTCCCTCCTTCCCCCGTTCTACCCTCCTCACCTCCATTTTCTCTCTTGTCTCTTGCTGCAAATCACTGAAAATTGCCAATGCGATTTTACTTCTTTTCTCTCCCCCAAACGCCAGTGCCCAACCCGTGCACGGGGTACACCTGTCCCGCCAACTCAGCATGCTCCAACGTCAATGGCGTCGCCACGTGCACGTGCAGTGCTGGTTACCAGATGGTCAACGGCCAGTGCGTTGGTGAGTCCACTCTCCTCTCTCTCACTAAGTAAATCTCTGCATCTCCTGCTCCCTCCACCTCTCCTTCCGTTATCTCACACCTGCACACACTGAATCTCTCCTCTTTCACTTCCCCTCTCAACCATTCGCCCCACCTTCCCCCATTCTCCGCTTTTGAACCCTATACTTGTTTGCTTCGTGTTTCCCTTCTCCCAAACGCCAGTGCCCAACCCGTGCACGGGGTACACCTGTCCTGCCAACTCAGCATGCTCCAACGTCAACGGTGTCGCCACGTGCACGTGCTCTGCGGGCTACCAGATGACCGCCGGCCAGTGCGTCGGTGAGTCAATCTCCTCCTCGCTCCTCACGCCCATGCCTGCACTGCGTGTAACTTTGACCCGCCGCTCGCACATGCGCGTATACACCCTTCTCCTCCCCTCACCCATCCCCACCAACCCCTCGTTTCGCCCTCCCCCTGGCCCCTGCTGGTGCGTGCAGCAATCACGGACCCCTGCACAACAACCACGTGTCCAGCCAAGGCCACGTGCAGCAGCGTGAATGGAGTGGCCACGTGTGTGTGCGCCGTGGGCTACACCCTCGTCAGCGGCGCCTGCCAGCGTACGTCCCTTTCGCCCTCTCCCTTTCCCCTTCTTGCCCGTCTTTCCCCTCTCGCCCCTCTCGGCCCTCTCGGCCTTTCGTCCTCCCGCCTTCACCCACTCGCCCCTCTTGGCCTCTCCCTCTCCTGCCTCTCCCTCTCCTGCCTCGCCCTCTCCACCTCTGCTCGTCGCCTGCTGCCTCGCCCTCTCCCACCCGCCACTACTTCGCTCGCCAACACACCCCTTCACTGCCACGCGCACCGCACCGCTCGCCTCCCATTTTCCACTCCTAAACCCCCTGCCCTCTTACTCCCTTTCCTTCTTCCCCCTCTCCCCCCCCTCCTCCCACCAGCGGCCGCGCCCTGCTCGTTGGTGAAATGCCCAGCCAACTGCACGTGCTCCTCCGCCAGTGGCGTTGCCAAGTGCGACTGCCCCACTGGTCAGTGCCGCCCCTCCTGCCCCCTCTCCACCCGTCTTCCGCCGTGCGTCCTACGCCCTCTGCTTGTCTGCTCCATTACTTTCTCCTCTCCCCACCCCACGCCCTCATGCTGCCTCCCTTGCTCCCTGCTCCCTCTACCTCCGTCCCTACTTCTTCCCGCTCTTTCCCCATGGCTCGCCAAGCAGATCTGTGCTACGGGGTGAAGTGTCCCGACGTCTCCAAGTGCACCTACATGCTCGGCGCGCCCGTCTGCACGTGCCCTCCGCCCTACACACGCCTCATCGACAACAAGTGCACCAACGGTCCGTGCTGCTCCCATCCTGCCCTCCTCCCCTCCTCTCTTCTTGCCCGCCTGATCTCTTGCCCTCCTGCCATGCTGTCTGCACTGCATTATTCAAAGCCTTTCTTTCTCTCCCTTATCCCTCCGTGCCTCGCCCCTGCGTGCCATGCAGCAACGTTGGCCTTTTCGGACTATCTGGACAACCAGAATGCCGCCAGGGCCGCAGTGGGCGCCATCCCCCTCGTCTGGAACGCCTCCCGTGAGTTCCCTACCTCCTGCCCCTCTGCCTCTTGCCTCCCATGAGTGCCCAACTCCACCTCCACTCCCCTCCTCGCCCTTCCTCATGCATCTGCCTCTTGCCACGCCTCTTCTGCACTTGCTGTGCCGTGTGCATGAAGTGTCGTGCTCACATGCCCCCTTCAAACGGACTGCATGCCCCCTGCCGCCTCAAACTCCAACCCTCACTCCTCCCTCTCAATGTCCCCCCTCCCTGCTCACCTCGCAGTGGCGGCGGAGGCACAGGCGTGGGCGACAACGCTGACCAACAGCACGTACAACTGCGGGCTGTCGCACGGCGGCAACCCCGGCGAGGGGCAGAACCTCTCGGGGGGTGGGCCGGCCGGCTATTACTCGAACGGGGCGGCTGTGAGCTGGTGGGTGGGCGAGGGCGACCTCTACTCGTACGCCGTCTTCTCCGGGGGCTGCAGCACCGGCAACTGGGCTGACTGCGGCCACTACACGCAGGTGAGCACCATGCATGGACAAGAGGATTCAAGGTGCCCATGTTGTGGGAAAGCCTGCTCGCGGGTTGCTGCTTGGAGGGGCACACTATGTGTTGCATCAAGAATCTGTGCTCATCTGGTCTGTGCTCACCTGGTCTGTGGCTGCTGTCCCTGCAGGTCATTTGGAACAACACGCGCACGGTTGGGTGTGGCAAGGCGTCGTGCGGCACGAAAGCAGATGTGTGGGCGTGCAACTACTACCCTCCCGGCAACTACGGCGGCCAGCTGCCCTATGGTGAGCATGGCTCCAATCCGTCTCTGCCCACCCACACCCATGGCTCGCCTCCATTCTGTCCTTTGTACCCACACCTTTCCTTTCCACCCATGCCGCTCCCCACCCTCATCTCAATCTCCCTCTCCTCCGTCCTTGTTCTCCTCTCTCTGCCTTCTCCCCCCCACCCCCCCGGCAGTGCAAGACCCGTGCTACCGGGTGGCATGCCCATCCACGGCCACATGCACGGTGCGGTATGGGCAGCCCATGTGTGTGTGTGGGGCGGGGCAGGTGCTCGTCAACAACGCCACGTGCCAGCCCGACCCCTGCACCACCGCCACCACCACGTGCCCCGGCAACCTCGTCTGTGACGGCTCCTCCGGCTCCGCCCAGTGCGCCTGCCCCACCGGCCTCGTACCCATCAGTGCCAACACCTGCGTCCGTGAGTGCCCCTCTCTTCCCCCCTTCCCTGCCTGCCCACTCTGCCCCCTTCGCCATTCGTCCCTTGTGATTTATCCACCACCCCCTCTCCTCACACCACACCTCTCACACCTTCTCTCCCTCTCCCCTTTGGCCTTCCCTCCCTATTGCTTGCAGCGCCGGCGTGTGTGGGGGCGGTGTGTCCGGCGCAGGCGACATGTGCGGTGGACGGGAGTGGGTACCCGTTCTGCCAGTGCCCCACGGGGTGGTACATGGGCAGCAACGTGTGTGTGCAGGGCGTGCCGGCAGCTGTGGCAGCCACGAGCCTGGCCATCTACAACACGGCGTCCTACACCAGCACGGCGCCCGCGCTGGGCCCCACGCTCGTGCGCACGGGGCTGCCCGTCAACTCGTCGCGCGGCAGCTGTGTGGACATCCCCGGCGGCATCGCGGCGGCGTCGCTGCGCGTGCTGTGGAACGTGCCGGACAGCACGGGGGCGCCCAAGCAGTCGTGCGGGCTGCTGTGGTTCTGGACCAGCGCCTCCTGCTACGGCTCCGCCACCGGCTACTACCGCCCCGCCGGGGACGTCACCAACTTCGCGTCAGTGCCCCGCCCCCCCCCTGTCCCCTGTCCCCTCCCCCTCTGCCCCTGCCCCCCCGCTGAGTTCGTTTTTTCTCAATGCTAGCAGCAGCTGTCTTTTTACTGTGGTGGTCCATTGCCCTCCCTCTCTCCTCAATACTCACCACTCACTGGTGTGCTTTGCCCTTCTCCTTGCTTGCTGTGTGCATGCAGCACCACATCGGGCAACGTGGCTCTCGTCAAGGCTGTAGCCTGCGCCATCTGACCGCCCCCCCTCCTGCTGCCACCTGATCTTACCGCTCCCTGCTGCCATGCTGCACACACGGGGCCGAATTGCACAGCTGCAGTCTTCCCCTCACCTGTGCAAGTGCTGATACTTCTGCAGTGCAGAGGCTTCTTATCTGTACCATAGTTGATTCATTCATTTTATCCCTCTAATTGTGTTGCCCAGCTCCATTTTTGTGACGATCATGTGTATAGTGTGTTTGGCTTGGTCTTGCATTCAAGCATCTTCTGGCATAGTCTAGCCTGGTCGTGCATGCTTTGGGGCTCGCACATGCGTGGACTGGCCTGCTGAGACCTATGTCCTGCTATGCCCAACCAGAAGACCAGTGGAATAAAAGGACTTGTTAAGTAACGGGTCGGTTCGACCATAACCTCCCAGGTCAACGAGCATGCAACCCTTCTCTAGGATTAATTGGGTATCCCCAGTGCTGGTCTTATGATACTCCACCCTCCCTCACAAAAATGCCATAGAACACGAGACATCAACAGCGCCAACATGTGCAGACATAAGGATTAGAACATGTAACCTTTGCTCTAATACCCTGTCAGAATTCCAGCCACTACACCACTCCGATAAAAGGGCTTGATACGGTGCGGTATATACATAACCCTTCTCTGGGATCAATCGGGCCTCCCCAGTGCTGATCTTCTGACAAAAAACGTGTACGGTATGTTCCAGAAGTAATCCTTTATAAAAAAATAAAAATCAAACACAATTTACATCGCAAAAATGAAGCTGGCCAACACAACCAGAGGGATCAAATGAATGAATAACGTATGATACAGATACGGATCCTCAGCAGGGGCCGCAGTTGAGCAGCAGTTGACCAGCTGAGGGCGAAAGGCTGCTGTGTGGTGCCGTAAATGCAGTATGGCACCAGGGGCAGGTCAGCTGGCGCAGGCAACGGCCTTGACGAGGGCCACATTGCCCGATGTGGTGCTGCATGCACAACGAGAGTGGAAAAAGCACAGCAAAGAGCAAAAAGTGTCAGAGAGAGAAAAGTGTCAGAGAGCGAAAAGTGTCAGAGAGGGGACGGCAGAAACACCGCAGGCGAACGACATCATGCAAAAGGAAGCACAGGCGGGGGCAGGGGCGTGGCCGGGTGACTGACTCGAAGTTGGTGACATCGCCGGTGGGGCGATAGTAGCCGGTGGCAGACCCGTAGCAGGAAGTGCTGGTCCAGAAGTACACCAGCCTGCACGACTGCTTGGGCGCCCCCGTGCTGTCCGGCACGTTCCACAGCACGCGCAGCGACGCCGCTGCAATGCCGCCGGGGATGTCCACACAGCTGGCGTGCGACGAGTTGACGGGCAGCCCCGTGCGCACGAGCGTGGGGCCCAGCGCGGGCGCCGTGGTGGTGTAGGACGCCGTGTTGTAGATGGCCAGGCTCGTGGCTGCCACAGCTGCGGGCGTGCCCTGCACACACACGTTGCTGCCCATGTACCACCCCGTGGGGCACTGGCAGAACGGGTACCCACTCCCGTCCACCGCACATGTCGCCTGCGCCGGACACACCGCCCCCACACACGCCGGCGCTGCAGGGAAGGGGGTGGAGGGGGAGGGACGCAGAGTGGAGACAAATTGAGTGGTGTGCAGTGAAGAGGATCAAACACAAAAGGGAGGAAGTAGAGCAAGTGGCAAATGAGCAGGGAAGATCTTTGAGTGAGCAAGGGGAGAAGGGATAAGGGCACTCACGGACGCAAGAGTCGTTGGTGACAGGCACGAGGCCGGTGGGGCAGGCGCACTGGGCGGTACCGGAGGAGCCGTCACACACGAGGTTGCCGGGGCACGTGGTGGTGCCGCTGGTGCAGGGGTCGGGCTGGCACGTGGCATTGTTGACGAGCACCTGCCCCGCCCCACACACACACATGGGCTGCCCGTACCGCACCGTGCATGTGGCCGTGGACGGGCATGCCACCCGGTAGCACGGGTCTTGCACTGCCGGGGGTGGAGAAGGGAGGAGGCGGAGAGAGGAGAAGAGGGATGGGACGAGATGGGGATTGAGGTGAGGGTGAGGTGGGGTGTGGGAAGGGATGGAAAGGTGGGTGGGCCATGGGCATGGGTGGAAATGGATGGATTCATGCTCACCATAGGGCGGCTGGCCGATAATGTTGCCGGCCGGATAGTAGTTGCATGCCCACACATCAGCAGCCGTGCCACACGACGCCTTGGCACACCCCACCGTGAGTGTGCCGTTCCAAATGACCTGCGGGGGGAGAGGAGACACGGAGCAGATGAGCAATCAGCCACCGTCGCATGCTATAACACACAGCATGCCGCTCGAAACAGCGATTCCAGAGCAGCTATCTTTAAGCACGTCCCACATGATAGCAGCATTTTTCCCCTCTATACTTTTTTTCTCCATGCGGCTCACCTGTGTGTAGTGCCCGCAGTCAGAGAAGTTGCCGGTGCTGCAGCCATTCTTCACAGCAGCGAGGGAGTAGAGGGCGGCCTCGCCCACCCACCAGCTGACGGCCTCCGCGCTCGAGTAGTGGCCCGCCGGCTTCCCACCCGCCAGGTTCTGCCCCTCGCCGGGGTTGCCGCCGTGCGACAGCCCGCAGTTGTACGTGCTGTTGGTCAGCACTGTCGCCCACGCCTGCGCGTCCGCCTCCACTGGGGCGAGGAAGAGGGGGGCGAGCAAGAGGGGGGCGAGCAGGGAGGTTGACACGTAGAGAGGGTGGAGTGAGCATTGGGGTTGGAGAGGCGGCAGGGACGGGTGCCGGTGTGGAGAGGTGCCGGGGTGCACACATGCAGTCCGAGCGGGGGGGGAGGCTTGCGAGCTAAGCACGACAACCCAGTGCCAGCACACAGCACAGCAAGCGCGTTGAGAAGCAGGAGGACGCACCCAAGGGCCGTGGCACGAGGCAGACGCACAAACAAGGGCGAGGGGGGCACTCACGGGTGGTGTTCCAGACGAGGGGGATAGCGCCCACCGCCGCCCTGGCTGCGTTGTGGTTGTCCAGATAGTCCGAATTCGCCAACGTTGCTGCATGGCACCCAGGGGCGAGGCACGGAGGGAGTTGCTTGAAGAGGTGAGAACGTGGGGGGAAGAGTGAGGGCATGAGGGACAGAGCAAGATCGAAGAATGCAGCGCAAGCAGCAACAGGAGGGGAGGAGGAGAGGAGAAGAGGGGAGCAGGAGGGCACGGGAGAGGAGCAGCAGCTGACCGCTGGAGCACTTGTTGTCGATGAGGCGCGTGTAGGGCGCAGGGCACGTGCAGATGGGTGCGCCGAGGATGAATGTGCACTTGGAGACGTCGGGACACTTCACCCCGTAGCACAGATCTGCATGTTCCCCGCAGGGGGTGGGGGGGATACAGGGGGGAAGTTGGGAGAAGGAGGTAGCGAGGGCAGTGAGCAAGGGAGGCGGCATTTGGGGCTAGGGTGGAGAGAGAACGAGGCGAGGAGAGCAGGAAGGTACACGGTGGAGGACGAGGGGGGAGAGAAGGGCACTGACCAGGGCAGTCGCACTTGGCGACGCCATTGGAGGAGGAGCATGTGCAGTTGGCCGGGCATGTCACCAACGAGCAGGGGTCGGCCGCTGGTGGGGTGGGGGGAAGAGGGAGCGGTGGATGAGAGGGAGAGGGTGAAATAGGGAGAAGAGGAGCGTCCGGGGGGATGGGGTGCAAAGGGGGCAGGGAGGTGAGCAGGGAACGGGTGCAGAGCTGCGCGCATGGAAAAGAAAAGAGATTGTTTAAGCGGCGTGTGGGAGAGGGCGAGAGGGGCGAGAAGGCAACGACGGGAGAGGGAGAGGGCAAACAAAGGTGTGAGAGAGGGGAGCAGTGGAGGGCGTACGCTGGCAGGCGCCAGAGACGAGGGTGTAGCCCACGGCGCACACACACGTGGCCACTCTATTCACGCTGCTGCACGTGGCCTTGGCAGGACACGTGGTAGACGCACAGGGGTCCGTGATTGCTGCACGCACCAGCAAGGGCCGAGGGGAGGGCGAAACGAGGCGTTGGAAGGGATGGGGATGGGTGACGGCAGGGGAAGGCTCAACGCGCGTGGTATAAGTGACATGCACGCATGGCCGTGGGGAGCGAGAGGACGTTGGGCTTGATAAAACGAGATCGAAGGTAGTTAACACACCAACGCACTGTCCGTTGACCATCTGGTACCCCGCAGTGCTGCACGTGCACGTGGCGACGCCATTGACGTTGGAGCATGCTGAGTTGGCGGGGCATGAGAATCCCGCACATGGGTCGGGCGCTGGTGGGAGGGACAGCAGCGGGAGAGAGGGGGGAAGGCAGGGAAGCCAGCAGATATTCGTGTTGGTCAGAAACAAGGGAAATATCGGAGGTGATGGGAGAAGGGGAAGGATGGAGGGGGGAAATGGAGAGCAGAAGAGGTGGCAAGAGTGAGGAGAGGTAATCGGACAGGAGAGAGTGAAGGTCGGAGGGTGAAGGATAGGAGGAGATTCACAGGGTGAGGTGAAGGGAGTTGACTCACCGACGCACTGGCCGTTGACCATCTGGTATCCGGTATTGCACGTGCACGTGGCGACGCCATTCACGTTGGAGCACGATGAGTTGGCGGGACAGGTGTAACCCGTGCACGGGTCTGCCACTGGTGGGAGCAGAAAGGGCAGAAAAAGGTGAGAAGGCGCTGACGGCGCTTACAGAGAATTCACGCTGCACTGCGGAGCACTGCGGACCAGAAAGCCGACTCACCAACGCATTGCCCGCCGACCATGCTGTATCCAGCGTTGCACGTGCACACGGCGGCACCGTTGACCACGGAGCACGCGGCGTTGACGGGGCAGTTCTTGGTGGCGCAGGGGAACGTGTTGGTGGCGATGGCGGCCTGACACGAGATGGACCTGCCCACCGCGATGATGCCGCTCGCATTGCTGCACGCGGTCAACGCAGTCAACGCAGTCAATGCAGCCAGAGTCGGTCAACGCGGTCAACGGCAAGCACGGAAGCAGACGAGGAGTGTCAGCGGTGAAAAGGAATGCATGAGCGCGCAAAGGCGCGCGGGCGTGTGGAGTAAAGGGGCGGGGCTCACTTGACGCTAGTGGTGGCGTAGGAGAAGTTGTTGGGGTTGGCGTTGGCCCACCCGCCGGGGATCTGGTAACCCGACCCGGAGCAGCAGCAGTTGGGTTTGTCCCAGAAGAAGAGCTTGCCGCACACCAGGTGGTCCGCCACGCCGTCGTTCACGTTCCACATGATGCGCACCGACTTTATCGTGCCGTTGAACGCCGCCGGCAGGTTCACGCACGCGCTCGAGTTCGGCGCCGCGCCGCGCAGCACGGCCGGCGCGAGCGTGGTGGGCGAGTTTGCGTAGTTGGGTTGGTTGTAGAGGACGACGTTGGTGCCGACCTCCGCCCAGCTGGCGGCCGGCGCGCACACGCCGTTGATGATGGCCTGCCCCGCCGCGCACTTGCAAAAGGGGTAACCGTTGCCGTCCACCACGCACGTCGCGCCCGCCGGACACACCACGCCCGCGGGGCACGAGGTTGCGGGAAGCACGGGGAGGGGGGAGGGGGAGCATGGTCGGGGTGGGGCGGAGCAAATCTCGATATTAGAATGGCGCGAGCCAGAACAACTGAGTCTCGTTGGCAAAGCTGGCGTGGCGTAAAGCTGGCGTGGCTTAAAGCTGTCAAGATTTCTCGTTGAACGAACATTGGAGCTCCGAGGAGTCCCGCCCGTAAAATCCGCGGTAGTGCGGGCGTGAAGGACGGGCGCACTCACTTTGCAGCTCGCGACGGCTGCTGCTACCCGCGGCGGCGAGGCGAGGCGAAGCTAGTAGACACGCGTGCAGCAGAAGCAGAAACGCGACGCGCTTCATTCTCTCGGTCCTTTGTCGATTGGATCGCAATGCGGTGGTGGTGTGATGTATGAGTGGAGCAGCTGGTCAGAGTGGCGAGGCGAAGCAGGGAGGACTGTGAGATAAGTGTTGGGAGTGTGTGTGGTTCTCCTTATCACCGCTGCGTGATAAGGTGTGTGATGTGATCAACGGCTGCGTTGGACTGTACCCGTGTGGAGTGCACGGGTGATGGGCAAAGTGAATGGGATGGGATTGGCAAATTCGCGGGCCAAAGTTGACATGGATAGCTGATGCGCTCTGAATTTACACTTCGAAGCGAGTTGGTTGCAGAATCGCAGCGAGTTGGTTGCAGGGATACACTGTACAGTAGTATCACGGTGGAGTGCTTGACAGCCCACTTGGACGTCTTGTGCGCATTCGACGGGGAGAGTGGATAGGGGCAAGGGGTGTGAGCTTTACTGTACACGTACAGCAGCATTGCCTCTTTTTCATACTAACGGCCAGGTCAGACCAACAGACGGCTCCGTTTTTCCTCGCTGCAATCGAGGTTGGATCTCCGCGTTGTGCTTCAAAAAGTGCGGCGCACAAACCATGTGGGTGCGACTCGTGAATTGGCAGATGCTTCTGGCTTTGAGTCGGGTTGGGGTCTGCATGAATTTGGGCGCTGTTCTTTTGGCCAAAAATGGCCTTCGCGGATTCTTCCATCCGCACCAGTGGTGCGTCGGTTCAGGTTGGGCACTGTCCGAAGCTGGGCGCATCAAGAAAACCGAGAAAACATGCAGAACAGCACTTTTGTGACACTGTACTAGTACCGCCCGTTTGTTCCACGCCAATTCCTCGCCAGGCAATTGGTCCGCACCGCTGGTTTGACCTCTTGAGGTGAAATCACCTCCGCACCCCTGATAACGGGGCTGGAACAAAAAGCCAGAAAAATTGCTCAGGGCAGCTTGAACGCCCAACCACCGACCGAAATCAAATTTCAAGAAAATAATTTCTCGAGTCCTTGCTGCTCGAAACCTATGTGGGTGGAGGAAGGAAGGGGGGGAGAGGTTACCCTCCGTTCACATTTTGCCAGACCGGGTTCCCGATGGGCAGACCCGAGTTTGGCTGAGTTGTTCAATGAGAAGTTTACCTCGGTTATAACTGAACCTTCATGTGTTGCCAAGTCAACCAAAAAGGTACCTGAAGTTAATACGAAATTTACTAATCCACCAACGGTGCGGCGATGAGAACTCCAACAGAACAGCACCTTGGTGGTGACATGAAAAACACGAAATATTCGTGGACAGTCTGACCCTCTCCCGGTGACTTTCGCTTATGTCGTAAATAGAGTTTGCGAAAGTCGCAGAATTCTGACCCCTTGAATGACATACTCGTGGTCTGGGGTCGAATCTGCAAATAACGTGAGCACATGTTCAGCAAATCTGCGATACGAGCTAAATAACTGAACAACTCCAAATGCGTGAAAAAACTATGTAATGACCGCTTTCTTCAGCCCCCTTTCAGGTACCACAAGTACTTTCCCATTTTTAATGCTATGAAAATTATTTGAGACCCTTAGTCTTTAATTCAGGGGATTGCGGTACCTAATCTAACCCCCTCAGCGAATTGAATACAGCCCTTTATTACCAATTTGTAAAACACGACTGTACACATCCTTTCTTACAAAAATGAGGCTGGACAACACAACTAGAGCAATTGAATGAATGAATCACGTGTGGTACAGATTACGAGCGTCAAAACATGGATCAACGGTTGTCCAGGAGCGGGGAAGACTGCAGCTGTACAGTGTGGCCCCATGGATGCATGGTGGCAGAAGAAGGCCGTCAGATGGCGCAGGCAACTGCCTTCACTAAGGCTACGTTGCCCGATGTAGTGCTGCATGCACAGAGAGGGGAAACAGCACAGCAGAGAGCGATTTGTGAGAGAGGGGGGAGGGCAATGGAGCACCACATAAAAAGGGCAGCTGTTGCTAGCATTGAGAAAATAAACACAGCGAGGGGCAAGGGGCATGGGGTGCAGGGTTGGGGCACTGACGCGAAGTTGGTGACGTCGCCGGCGGGGCGGTAGTAGCCGGTGGCGGAGCCGTAGCAGGAGGCGCTGGTCCAGAACCACAGCAGCCCGCACGACTGCTTGGGCGCCCCCGTGCTGTCCGGCACGTTCCACAGCACGCGCAGCGACGCCGCTGCAATGCCGCCGGGGATGTCCACACAGCTGGCGCGCGACGAGTTGACGGGCAGCCCCGTGCGCACGAGCGTGGGGCCCAGCGCGGGCGCCGTGCTGGTGTAGGACGCCGTGTTGTAGATGGCCAGGCTCGTGGCTGCCACAGCTGCGGGCGTGCCCTGCACACACACGTTGCTGCCCATGTACCACCCCGTGGGGCACTGGCAGAACGGGTACCCACTCCCGTCCACCGCACATGTCGCCTGCGCCGGACACACCGCCCCCACACACGCCGGCGCTGCAGGGAAGGGGGTGGAGGGGGAGGGACGCAGAGTGGAGACAAATTGAGTGGTGTGCAGTGAAGAGGATCAAACACAAAAGGGAGGAAGTAGAGCAAGTGGCAAATGAGCAGGGAAGATTGTTGAGTGAGCAACGGGAGAAGGGATAAGGGCACTCACGGACGCAAGAGTCGTTGGTGACAGGCACGAGGCCGGTGGGGCAGGCGCACTGGGCGGTACCGGAGGAGCCGTCACACACGAGGTTGCCGGGGCACGTGGTGGTGCCGCTGGTGCAGGGGTCGGGCTGGCACGTGGCATTGTTGACGAGCACCTGCCCCGCCCCACACACACACATGGGCTGCCCGTACCGCACCGTGCATGTGGCCGTGGACGGGCATGCCACCCGGTAGCACGGGTCTTGCACTGCAGTGGTGGGAACGAGGGGAGAAGCGGACCGAGGAGAAGAGACCGATGAGAGAGAGGTTTTGGTAAGGGTGGGGAGGGGCAGGGGTGGAATGGAAAGGTGTGGCGCAGACGAAGGAATGGAGGCAAGCCTTGGGCGAGGGTGGGTGGAGGTGGATGGAGCCATGCTCTGCTCACCATAGGGCAGCTGGCCGCCATAGTTGCCGGGCGGGTAGTAGTTGCACGCCCACACATCTGCTTTCGTGCCGCATGACGCCTTGCCACAGCCGACGGTGCGCGTGTTGTTCCAGATGACCTGGGTGTAGTGGCCGCAGTCAGCCCAGTTGCCGGTGCTGCAGCCCCCGGAGAAAACGGCGTACGAGTAGAGGTCGCCCTCGCCCACCCACCAGCTCACCGCCGCCCCGTTCGAGTAATAGCCGGCCGGCCCGCCCCCCGAGAGGTTCTGCCCCTCGCCGGGGTTGCCGCCGTGCGACAGCCCGCAGTTGTACGTGCTGTTGGTCAGCGTTGTCGCCCACGCCTGTGCCTCCGCCGCCACTGGGATGAGCATGAGAGGGGCCAGCATGAGAGGGACAAGGAGGGGGGTTGAGACATGGAGAGTGCGGAGTGAGAATTGGGGATTGAGAGGCGGCAGGGAAGGGTGCAGGCGAGGACAGCAAGCGCGTTGAGAGGACAGCAAGCGCGTTGAGAGGACAGCAAGCGCGTTGAGAGGACAGCAAGCGCGTTGAGAGGACAGCAAGCGCGTTGAGAGGACAGCAAGCGCGTTGAGAGGACAGCAAGCGCGTTGAGAGGACAGCAAGCGCGTTGAGAGGACAGCAAGCGCGTTGAGAGGACAGCAAGCGCGTTGAGAGGACAGCAAGCGCGTTGAGAGGACAGCAAGCGCGTTGAGAGGACAGCAAGCGCGTTGAGAGGACAGCAAGCGCGTTGAGAGGACAGCAAGCGCGTTGAGAGGACAGCAAGCGCGTTGAGAGGACAGCAAGCGCGTTGAGAGGCACAAGGACCAAGAGGCCAAACCAAGAAGCAGAGGCACAAGGACCAGGAGGCCAAACCAAGAAGCAGAGGCAGCAGGAAGGGCGAGGGAGAAACTCACGAGAGGCAGGAGGAAGGGCGAGAGGCACGAGGAAGGGCGAGAGGCACGAGGAAGGGCAAGAGGCAGGAGGAAGGGCGAGAGGCACGAGGAAGGGCGAGAGGCAGGAGGAAGAGCGAGAGGCACGAGGAAGGGCGAGGCACGAGGAAGAGCGAGAGGCACGAGGAAGAGCAGTGGGCGAGGGGGCCACTCACGGGAGGCGTTCCAGACGAGGGGGATGGCGCCCACTGCGGCCCTGGCGGCATTCTGGTTGTCCAGATAGTCCGAAAAGGCCAACGTTGCTGCATGGCACCCAGGGGCGAGGCGTGGGGGTAGTGGCGGGAAGGAGGGAGTTGCGTGAGGGAGTGAAGGCGCGAGCAGGGCTTGGATGACTGCAGTGCGAGCAGCAGGCAGCATGACAGGATAAGAGTAGGGAGGAGGGCAATGGGGGCGGAGAGCAAGGGGGCAGGAGGGGAGGAGGGAAAGGGGGGAGCAGCACGGACCGTTGGAGCACTTGTTGTCGATGAGGCGCGTGTAGGGCGCAGGGCACGTGCAGACGGGCGCGCCGAGCATGTAGGTGCACTTGGAGACGTCGGGACACTTCACCCCGTAGCACAGGTCTGCTCGGCACCACACGTGGACAAGGGAGGGAGGTGCAGAGGGGAGTGAGCACCGGAGGCGGGGGGAAGGGGCCGGGGCGGGGAGAGGACGAGGCGAGGAAAGCAGCGGAGCAGGGAGGGCGAGAGGGTGCAGGAGGGGCGGCACTGACCGGGGCAGTCACACTTGGCGACGCCATTGGCGGAGGAGCACGTGCAGTTACCCGGGCATGTCACCAGCGAGCACGGCGCGGCCGCTGGTGGGGGGGAAGAGGGAGAGGAGAGGGGGGGAGTGGTGTGCGTGGTGAAACAGGGGAAATCAGAGAGTGTGCAGTGGGGAATGAGACAGGTTGTGGCAGCAGAAAACGGGCAGAGCTGGAGAGAGCAAACGAAGGAAGGGAGAGGGAGAGGGAGGGGGGCAGGAGGGCGTACGCTGGCAGGCGCCAGAGACGAGGGTGTAGCCCACGGCGCACACACACGTGGCCACTCCATTCACGCTGCTGCACGTGGCCTTGGCAGGACACGTGGTTGTTGTGCAGGGGTCCGTGATTGCTGCACGCACCAACAGGGGCCAGGGGGAGGGCGAAACAATGGGTTGGTGGGGATGGGTGAGGGGAGGAGAAGGGTGTACGCGCATGTGCGCAAATGCGGGTACAAGCCAGATGCAGGCATGCGCCTGGGAAGGGAAGTTGACCGCGTTGACTCACCAACGCACTGGCCGGCTGTCATCTGGTAGCCTGCAGAGCATGTGCACGTGGCAACGCCATTGACGTTGGAGCATGCTGAGTTGGCGGGACACGAGAATCCCGCGCATGGGTCGGGCGCTGGTAGGAGGGCGACAGCGGGAGACAAGGCGGCGACAAGCACAGAGGCGGAGATGAGAGAAGGGGGGAGCGGAACAGCAGAGGTACGGAGTGGAAAACAGCCAAAGGAAGAGCAGGAAAGCAGCAGGTGCAGGGGGAGGAGGGCGAGGGAAATGTGACTGACCTACGCAGGCGCCGTTGACCGGGTCAAAGCCGGGCAGGCACGTGCAGGTGGCGGCGCCGTTGACCACGGAGCAGTTGGCGTTGGCCTGACACGTGGTGCTCGCACACGGGTCCGCTGGGGGCAGCGCTGCTCGCAGGGGAGGGCGGAGGAAATAGAGGCGTGCAGGGGAAGGGAGAGGGGCAGAGGGGGAGAGGAAGGGAAGAGCGTCAGGCAGTGGGAAGAGTGGAGGAGGGCGGGAGGAAGGTGCAGCGAACGAGGGGGGGAACGCCGAGAAAAGGGGGAGGGAGGGAAGAAAGTTGGGGAGGGCAGGAAACAGCACCAGCAAAGGTGCAGAAGGGAGCAAGAGACGAAGCAGGGAGCAGGAGAGCATACCGGCGCACTGGCCGTTGACCATCTGGAAGCCCGCAGAGCACGTGCACGTGGCGACGCCGTTGACGTTGGAGCACACCGAGTTAAGCGGACAGTTGGCCGTCGCACAGGGGTCCGGCACTGGCAGGCGACACAGGGGGCGGGGGAGAAAAGAGGAAGAGGGGGTGAGCAGGGAGGGGCAGGGGCAGGCGGGGGACAGACAGCAGCAGGGAAGGTATAGATGTAATGGAGAGGAGGGGGGGGAGCATAGAGGGGAATGGAAATCGCAACGCCCGGGAGGTGATGTATTCACGACGGCACCCGCCATTGCACGTGCTGCAAGGCACTTTCGACGGCAACACTCACCAATGCACTGGCCGTTGACCATCTGGTAACCCGAATTGCACGTGCATGTGGCGACGCCATTAACGTTGGAGCATGCTGAGTTGGCGGGACAGGTGTACCCCGTGCATGGGTTGGGCACTGATGTGGGTGGGGGGAGGAGAGTGCAAGGGGACGGGACAGGCAATAAAGCGCATTGGCGAGAGGCAGGAAGGAGAGAAATCAGAGGTGAAAAAGGGAGAACGGAGGAGGAAATGGCTGCGAGAGGAATGGAGTGCAGAGAGGAGGTAGAGAAGGGGGGGAGAAGGAGGAGAGGGGGAAATCGATGGAGCGCGAGAGAGAGGAGGCAACTCACCAACGCACTGGCCGTTGACCATCTGGTAACCAGCACTGCACGTGCACGTGGCAACGCCATTCACGTTGGAGCATGCTGAGTTGGCGGGACAGGTGTACCCCGTGCACGGGTCAGGCACTGGCGTTTGGGAGAGGGGAGACGGCAAGGGAGCAAGCAGGAGAAAACGTTTTGGGCCAAGGCAAAAGAAAAATTGGAGGTGAGGAGGGACTGGGGGGGGGGAAATGGTTGAGGGAGGGAGGGTGGGAGAGAAGAGGTGAGGATTGATAAGCGAGATTGAAGGAAGTTGACTCACCAACGCACTGGCCGTTGACCATCTGGTAACCAGCACTGCACGTGCACGTGGCGACGCCATTGACGTTGGAGCATGCTGAGTTGGCAGGACAGGTGTACCCCGTGCACGGGTTGGGTACTGGTGGGAGCAGAAAGGGGGGGAAGAAAGAAAAGGGGCAGAAAAGAGTGAGAAGGCGGATTGCAGAGCACTCACGCTACATTGCTCAGCACTGCCGACCATCATGCTGACTCACCAACGCATTGCCCGTTGACCATTGTCAATCCAGCGCTGCACGTGCACACGGCGGCAGCGTTGACCACGGAGCACGAGGAGTTAACCGGGCACGTCTTCGAGGCGCACGGGTACGTGTTGGTGGCGATGGCGGACTGACACGAGATGGACCTCGCGGTAGCGATGATGCCGCTCGTCGACCTGCACCCGGTCAACGCAGTCAACGCAGCCAGAGTCAGTCAACGCAGGCAACGGGAAGCATGGAAGCAGACGACGAAAGCCAGAGATGTGAAGGCGTGCGAGTGCACAGGGAGAGGCGAGCGCGCAAGGGCGCGAGGGCGAGTGGTGGGGCGGGGCGGGGCTCACGAGGCGCTGAAGGTGGCGTAGGTGAAGGTGTTGGGGTTGGCGGCGGTCCACGTGCCGGGAATCTCATAGCCCGACCCGGAGCAGCAGCAGTTGGGTTGGTCCCAGAAGAAGAGCTTGCCGCACACCAGATGGTCCGCCACGCCGTCGTTCACGTTCCACATGATGCGCAGCGATCCTATCGTGCCGTTGAATGAACCCGGCAGGTTCACGCACGCGCTCGTGTTCGGCGCCGCGCCGCGCAGCACCGCCGGCGCGAGTGATTTCGGGGAGTTGGCGTACGAGGCGCGGTTGTACAGAACGACGTTGGTGCCGACCTCCGCCCAGCTGGCGGCCGGCGCGCACACGCCGTTGATGATGGCCTGCCCCGCCGCGCACTTGCAGTAGGGGTAGCCGCTGCCGTCCACCGCGCACGTCGCGCCCGTCGGACACACCACGTTTGCGGGGCACGACGCTGCAAAGAGGAAATGGATAAGGGGAGGGGGGGCACGGGCGCGAATTAAACCACATTGGGTGCTCCGAGAAGTTCCGCCCGTATAATTCGCATAGGTAATGCCGCGCGTAAGACGGGCGCGCTAATCTTGCAGCTCGCGACGGCTACCTGCTTCAGCGATGCGATGTGAAGCTAGTAGTAGACATGTGTGCAACAGAAGTAGAAACGCGACGCGCTTCATTCTCTCAGTCCTTGGTCGATTTGATTGCAATGCGGTGGTGGCGTGATGGGCGCTTGGAGCAGCTCGTCAGAGTAGCGAAGCAGGCAGGACTGGGAGAAGTGGTTGGAGATGTGGAATGTGCTCGTGCTGGACGACGATATGAATAGATAGCACTCTCAATTTACATATGGGATGGGAGGGGAGTTACCGGTTGAAATACGTGCTTCACAGAGCACGGATTTCGCTGTAGAGATGGGTGTTGTGCTGGACAACCCCACTTGGATGTCTCGTCGTGTGTACAGTACTGTATTTCGACGGGGAAAGTGGATAGGGGCAACGGGTGCGAGCTTTCTCACGCACACGTACAGTAACACTGCCCCGTTTCATGAAACGGCCAGGTCGGACCAACAGACGGTTCCGTTTCTCCAGTGTACACTCGAGGTTGTTGGATCTGTGCTCTCCCCTGCGCAGCGCGTACAGTACTGATCGGGTGTGTTGGTGAGGTGATTCGCTACAATTGATGCCCAACCAGTGCACGCGAGTTTGCCTTGTGCCGAATGGAAACGCTGCACCCGAGGTTGTTTCCCCAGCCTGTTGCTCCCACGTTACAAGCGCGTCGCGTGGTTATCAACCAATAGTAACGAACAGACCGAGGTCAAGCTGAAGAGACTGAAGTCAAATAAGGTAACAGATCTTGTTTATAAGCACCTGCGAATCCTTTTTAGCTAGCTGCGAATTGACGAAAATTATGCGAAAGGCAGGTTACAGCTTATACGCCCCCTTCACAAGGCAACCGGGAGGGGCTCAAACAGGCATCAATTGTATTCCGTTGAGGGGCAAATGCTGTTGGCTTCGTGTCGGGTCGGGGACGGGTTGGAGAGAGAGGCGCATTTCGTGGGCGCAAGCAAATGTTTCGCCCTTGAGGAAGGATTGAAAGGGTACGGAAATTCAGGAGCTCGACCCATTTTCCAAAATCCTGACATTTTGTGTTTTTGTACTCTCCGCAACAGTGTCTATGCTTCGCGAAAAACCCAGAGAGGAGGGCAGATTAACAGTTCTGTTTAACCAACCTTTATGTCAATAGATAGGGGTATATCTGCTGACATGAGCGGTCAGCAAAGAAACCCCAGACCCCCTTCGCCAACAGATGTGATCCACACCACATACACCACCATGTGCTGTACAGTAGGCAGTGCACATGTGCGAATTCAATGCCGACTCGTCAGCATAACGTGCATTCCCATGTTCCGTTGCAGCAAGACCTGTAACGCTTGCTGTAGGACGTAAATGGCGGCGGCGAGGCGGATGCTGCAGCAGCAGTTGCTACTTCGACTCAGGGTGGTTGCTCCTGGCTTGTTTTGTGCATGCCCCTAAATGAAACGAATGCCCATTTCAGATGTACTGAATACTTTGTGGTACTGTAATACCCCACCTTCTACCTAATATGCTTACGACCTTATAAACACACTCATACAAACTTCTGTCACACATTCAAGTATACATATTCAAGGACGCATCATCGTGGTTTTAAGGACTAAAACGCCATAGTCACTTACTGAGATAACAAGAACACGCCTGAATGTATCGCTTTCTTTCGCGTGAGGTGTACCTAACCCATAACATGCCTGAATAGAACCACTGTTAAAAGTTAATTCAATGGATTACCGAGCCTTCCTCATTACGGGTCATCATGCTCAATATGTCAAATATATTCCATACAGTAAATTGTAGTATACATTACATTTGCGTGGAAGCCTCGATGAGAGTCAACATGACAATAAGAATGTCAGGACCTAAGCTTCAGACGAAACCACAGTTGCCGCTCTGCTCTGCTCCATGGGGCAGCGCTGCTCGTCCCTTCCTCAAGGTGAGCAGGCGATAGATCGCAGATTTGCAAAGTGACCACTCGTGGTCCTGGAGAGCACAAACATAAGCACACAGCAGCAAGCCCCTTTAGTGGACCACTCAATAACATGTATCCAGAGACAAGCTTTTCGGGGGTGGAGGGGAAAGAACAGGGGAAGGTGCAGAGGCAGAAGCGAGGGCAAGAGGTACTCACTCCAAGGTGGTGAGACCGTTGGCAGCCTTGTACGTGCCGCTGGACCAGCCAGAGCAGTCCGTGTCGTTGTTGAACCACATCAGCCCGCACACCTGCCGCTCTCCCCCCGCCCCGTCTGGCACGTCCCACAGGACTTTGATCGACCCCACCGCCCCTGCGAAGGGCGCGGGCACGTTGACGCAGCCCGCACCGGGCGTTGGGGCTCGGAGCACGGCGGGCGCGAGGGAGGCGGGTGTGTTGGTGAAGTTGGGCGCGTTGTAGAGCACCAGGCTCGATGTCACCGTGGTGTTGGCCCCTGTTGGGGGAGGAGAGAGGAGGGAGGGAGGGAGGGAGGGAGGGAGGGAGGGGGGAAGGGAGGAGAAAGGGAGAGAGGGAGAGAGGGAGGGAGAACAAGACAGAGATACAAAAGGGAGGGAGGGAGGGAGGGAGAGGGCATGAGAGGATGGAGAGGGGTGTTGGGGCATGAGTGTGTGGAAGGTACGCGCGACAAAGAGAAGGGCTTGGTGAGGGGAACTCAGCAGGGCACACAGTGCTTGACAGCCGTGATCGGGATGGTGCTTGTGCTTATGGTGAGAAGCTATAGCGGGATGTGATTGTAACAAGTACCTTGAATGCAGGTGCCGTTGACAAGTGAGTAGGAGAGGGGGCAGGCACAGAAGGGGATGTCGTCGCTGGTGGCCTTGCAGCGAGACGTGGATGGGCACTCTATCCCCACACATACCGGCGCTGCAGAGGGGTGACGAGGGGTGATGAGAGGTGTGGACGGGTGAGGAGGGCTGACGAGTGCATATAATGAGTGAGGATGGGTGAAGTAGGGGGACGCACAAAGAAGCAGGAAGCAGCAGCAGTAGAGTGTGGGTGGCACAGCACACTCACGGAGGCACGTGTTGGGGGCAACGAGCAGCGTCCCCTTGGGGCAGACGCACTGCGCCGTGCCGGTGCTGCCGTCACACACCAGATCGCCCGCCGGACAGCTCACCCCCATGCACGGGTCTGGGCGAGGGGGGGGGGTGTGGGGGTGTGGGGAGAGGAAAGAGTGGAAAGGAAGGAAGGAGGGGAGGGTGCAGGAACAACGTGAGGATGATCCAAGCCCCATGGGGTGGGTGGCGAGGGAGTGATGGTGGGACGGGAGATGGAGAGACATAGGTGAGAGGAGGTGGAGACATGTGATGAAGACATGAGATGGAGACATGAGATGGAGACATGAGATGGAGACATGAGATGGAGACATGAGATGGAGACATGAGATGGAGACATGAGATGGAGACATGAGATGGAGACATGAGATGGAGACATGAGATGGAGACATGAGATGGAGACATGAGATGGAGACATGAGATGGAGACATGAGATGGAGACATGAGATGGAGACATGAGATGGAGACATGAGATGGAGACATGAGATGGAGACATGAGATGGAGACATGAGATGGAGACATGAGATGGAGACATGAGATGGAGACATGAGATGGAGACATGAGATGGAGACATGAGATGGAGACATGAGATGGAGACATGAGATGGAGACATGAGATGGAGACATGAGATGGAGACATGAGATGGAGACATGAGATGAGACATGAGATGGAGACATGAGATGAGACATATGAGGTGCATGAGATGTTAGGGCAGGTGCGCACCTGGAAGGCACTGCGAGCAATGGAGGTAATGTGTGGGGCATGAGGGAGGGGATGTGTGTCAAGTGAGAATGGTGCCATGCGGTGGGATGGGAGGTGGCATGTTGTGGCATGTTGTGGCATGTTGTGGCATGTTGTGGAATGTTGTGGCATGTTGTGGCATGTTGTGCCATGTTGTGCCATGTCGTGCCATGTTGTGCCATGTTGTGCCATGTTGTGCCATGTTGTGCCATGTTGTGCCTCAGGGTGAGAGAATATGCGAGTGGGAGGACTGCCTGGTGGCGATAGTGGCTGTATTGGCAGGTAGAAGCGCAAGGGGTGTTGGGGGCAGGTAGAAGAAGGGTGTTGGGGGCAGGTGCGCACCTGGAAGGCACTGCGAGCTGTTGACGAGCGCCTGACCCGCTCCACACACGCACACGGGCTTGCCGTCCACTGCTGAGCACGTGGAGGTGGACGGACACTGCACTCTGAAGCACGGGTCTTGCACTGCCGGGGGGGACAAGGGAGAGGGGCGGTTGGAGACGGCAAGGGATGGGGAATAAGGTGTGCTGAGAGATATGTGTGCTGACGGGCGAGGGAGAAGAGTACAGCCCATGGGCCATGACTGCAGCACCGCACCGCACAGCACCGTAGTGCACAGCACTGCACTGCACAGCAACACAGGTGAGCGGATCGGTTCCCACGAATCGGCTGGAAATACAGAGGGTTGAAGCTCACATGTGCTCGTGCCTACAGCACCGCCCCACGCCGCAGGACAGCGTTGAGGGGGTTGAGGGGGTTGAGGAACAGGGCGCTCACCATAAGGCTGCTGACCGCCGTAGTTGCCCGGCGGGTAGTAGTGGCACGCCCACACGTCCCCACTCGTGCCGCACGACGCCTTGGCACAGCCCACCGAGCGTGTGTTGTTCCAAATGACCTGCGTGTAGTGCCCACACTTGGCCCAATTGCCACCCTCACAGCCGTTGGGCATGACCGCCAGGGTGTACCACTGCCCCTCGTCCACCCACAGCTGCGCCGCTGCTCCATTCGTCTGGCACCTGCCAGGTTCTGCCCCTCGCCGTCATGCCCGCCGTGCACGAGGGTGCAATTGTACGAGGTGTTGGTCAGCACTGTTGCCCACGCCTGCGCCCTCACCGCCACTGGGAAGAAAAGGGGAGTAGAGGAGTGGCAAGGCAAGGAGAGGCGAGGAGTGGCGAGGAGAGGCGAGGAGAGGCGAGGAGAGGCGAGGAGAGGCGAGGAGAGGAGAGGAGAGGAGAGGAGAGGAGAGGAGAGGAGCGGAGAGGAGAGGAGCGGAGAGGAGAGGAGAGGAGAGGAGCGGAGAGGAGAGGAGCGGAGAGGAGAGGAGAGGAGAGGAGAGGAGAGGAGAGGAGAGGAGAGGAGAGGAGAGGAGAGGAGAGGAGCGGAGAGGAGAGGAGAGGAGAGGAGAGGAGAGGAGCGGAGAGGAGAGGAGCGGAGAGGAGAGGAGAGGAGAGGAGAGGAGCGGAGAGGAGAGGAGAGGAGAGGAGAGGAGAGGAGAGGAGAGGAGAGGAGAGGAGAGGAGCGGAGAGGAGAGGAGAGGAGAGGAGAGGAGAGGAGAGGAGAGGAGAGGAGAGGCGAGGAGAGGCGAGGAGAGGAGAGGAGAGGAGAGGAGAGGAGCGGAGAGGAGAGGAGAGGAGCGGAGAGGAGAGGAGAGGAGAGGAGAGGAGAGGAGAGGAGAGGAGAGGAGCGGAGAGGAGCGGAGAGGAGAGGAGAGGAGAGGAGCGGAGAGGAGAGGAGAGGAGCGGAGAGGAGAGGAGAGGAGAGGAGCGGAGAGGAGAGGAGCGGAGAGGAGAGGAGCGGAGAGGAGAGGAGAGGAGAGGAGAGGAGAGGAGAGGAGCGGAGAGGAGAGGAGAGGAGAGGAGAGGAGAGGAGAGGAGAGGCGAGGAGAGGCGAGGAGAGGAGAGGAGAGGAGAGGAGAGGAGAGGAGAGGAGAGGCGAGAAGAGGCGAGGAGAGGCGAGGAGAGGAGAGGAGAGGAGAGGAGAGGAGAGGAGAGGAGAGGAGAGGAGAGGAGAGGAGAGGAGCGGAGAGGAGAGGAGAGGAGCGGAGAGGAGAGGAGCGGAGAGGAGAGGAGCGGAGAGGAGAGGAGCGGAGAGGAGAGGAGAGGAGAGGAGAGGAGAGGAGAGGAGAGGAGCGGAGAGGAGAGGAGAGGAGAGGAGAGGAGCGGAGAGGAGCGGAGAGGAGCTGAGAGGAGAGGAGAGGAGAGGAGCGGAGAGGAGAGGAGAGGAGCGGAGAGGAGCGGAGAGGAGAGGAGCGGAGAGGAGAGGAGCGGAGAGGAGAGGAGAGGAGAGGAGCGGAGAGGAGAGGAGAGGAGAGGAGAGGAGAGGAGAGGAGAGGAGAGGAGAGGAGAGGCGAGGAGAGGCGAGGAGAGGAGAGGAGAGGAGAGGAGAGGAGCGGAGAGGAGAGGAGAGGAGCGGAGAGGAGAGGAGAGGAGAGGAGAGGAGAGGAGAGGAGAGGAGAGGAGAGGAGCGGAGAGGAGAGGAGCGGAGAGGAGAGGAGAGGAGCGGAGAGGAGAGGAGCGGAGAGGAGAGGAGCGGAGAGGAGAGGAGCGGAGAGGAGAGGAGCGGAGAGGAGAGGAGCGGAGAGGAGAGGAGCGGAGAGGAGAGGAGCGGAGAGGAGAGGAGAGGAGAGGAGAGGAGCGGAGAGGAGAGGAGAGGAGAGGAGCGGAGAGGAGAGGAGAGGAGCGGAGAGGAGAGGAGAGGAGCGGAGAGGAGAGGAGAGGAGCGGAGAGGAGAGGCGAGGGCATGTGATGTGATGTATGGTGGTGGGCAAGCGTGATGTGCATGAAGCGGCACAAACACCACCTGCTCCCTGCGAGGCAGTGGCACGAAATACAGTGGCACAAGCGGAAGTGGTACGAGTGCAAAGCACAACCATCATGCATGCACGCATGCATGCACCCATGCATCACCCATGCATCACTCTCCTCTCACTAGCACTAAAATGCGTCATCCCACACAAACGGCGGAAGCACGAGTGCTAGTGACACCGTTTGCAAGTGCACTCATGCGTCACTCTCCCTCGCAACTCACATGTGTCGTCCCACACTCACATGCATGCATGCATCACTCTCATCTCAATAGCACTCACATGCGTCATCCCACACGAGTGGCACGGCCCCAACAGCAGTGCGGGCGTTGTTGTGAACATCGAGGTAGTCGGAGTGGGCGAGGTCCGCCGAGGAGCACACGTTGTCAATGAGCCGTGCGAAGGGTGCAGGGCACTGGCACACCGCTGTACCGACCTGCACCACACACGTGGCCACGTCCGGACACTTGACTCCGTAGCACGGGTCTGAGTGGAGGGGAGAAAGGGTGGGTGGAGGGTGGGGTGTGGGAGGAGATGTGAGGAAGAGGGGCGAGGAGGGAGGGGACGAGGAAGGAAGCTGGCAGGACTAGACTCGTGTTCACAAGTTTGCACCAATGAGCATCTGTGAGCAATGTGAGCAATGTGAGCAATGTCAAACATTTGACTACATCTAATCACCTGGGCAGGCGCACTTGGCGATGCCAGCAGAAGAGGAGCAGGTGCAGTTGGTGGGGCAGGTGACGATCGTACACATGTCCACCTCTGGTGGGGGGGGAAGTAGGAGAGAGGAGTGGAGGTGGGGGAATGGGTGGCAGGTGGAAGCGAGGTAGGAAAGGGTGGGGGGGAGAAGGAGGGAGTGGAAAAAGAATGAAGGCACAGATGCGTATAATGGGAGAATGAACGGAACAATCCAAATGCTGCTTCCCGTCGCACTGCCCTGTACTCCTCACCCTCGCACTGCCCATTGGCCTTGGTGCGCCAGTGCCCTCCAACACGCAACACGTGTGCATCCCGCTGCACACGCCCCAATGCTACCGCCCCACCTGCCCACGCTGCCACTGCTGCTCCTCTCACCTGTACTGCCGGTGCTGTTTGTGCCGCCCGTGCTGCCGGTGCTGTTTGTGCCGCCCGTGCTGCCGGTGCTGTTTGTGCCGCCCGTGCTGCCGGTGCTGTTTGTGCTGCCCGTGCTGCCCGTGCTGCCGGTGCTGCCGGTGCCGCCCGTGCTGCCCGTGCTGTCAGTGCCGCCCGTGCTGCCGGTGCTGCCGGTGCCGCCCGTGCTGTTAGTGCCGCCCGTGCTGCCAGTGCTGCCGGTGCTGCCAGTGCTGCCGGTGCTGCAGGTGCCGCCCGTGCCGTATGTGCTGTCCGTGCTGCCGGAGCAGGCAATAGATCTCACTGTTGCAAAGTTACCACTCGTGGTCCTGCAGAGCACAACACAACCACAAGCAGACAGCAGCAAAGCGCAGTCAGTGGATCGCTTAATAAAGGGGTATACAACGGCAAGCTCGAGGGGCGGTGGAGAGGCAAGCACAGGGGAGGGGAGGCTGCAAAGGCAGAAGCGCAGGCAGTAGGTACTGACGCAAAGGTTGTGACTCACGCAAAGGCTGTGACTCACGCAAAGGTTGTGACTCACGCAAAGGTTGTGACTCACGCAAAGGTTGTGACTCACGCAAAGGTTGTGACTCACGCAAAGGTTGTGACTCACGCAAAGGTTGTGACACCGCTGTCGGGTTTCCACCAGCCGCTGGACCAGCCAGAGCAGTCGGTGCCGTTGTTGAACCACATCAGCTTGCACACCTGCCTCACCCCCGCCGCCCCGTCCGGCACGTCCCACACGATTTTGATCGATCCCGCCGCCCCTGCAAAGGCTGCCGGCACGTTCACGCAGCCCGCGTCGGGCGTGGCGGCTCGGAACACGACGGGCGCGAGGGAGACGGGTGAGTTGGTGAAGTTGGGCGCGTTGTAAACCACCAGGCTGGTTGTCACTGTGGCAGGGGCCGCTGTGGGACGAGGAGAGAGGGAGGGAGAAGGGAGAGGGAGGGAGGCATGGAAAGAGGGAGAGAGGAAGGGAGGGAGGGAAGGAGAGCGGGAGGGAGGGAGGGCGGGAGGGAGCGAGGGAGAAACGGACAAAAGGGAAAAGGGAGGTAGGGAGGAAGAGAGGGAGAAGGGGCCATAGTTAGAAAATGGGAGGGAGGGAGAGATCACGGACGAGAGTGTCGAAGGTGAGTGCAAAAAATAACAGCGCTCGGTGAGAGGAGGTCAGCAGGGCTTACAGTGCTTGTTAGCCATGAATCGGGACAGTGCGTGTGTGAGCTGATGGTAAGAAGCTATAGCGGATTTGCTAAAAACGAGTACCTTGAGTGCAGGTTCCGTTGACGAGGGAGGAGCAATCAGGGCAAGCACAGAAGGGGATGTCATCTTTGGTGGCTCTGCAGCGAGACGTGGAGGGGCACTGCACCCCCACACATACCGGCGCTGCAGAGGGGTGACAAGGGGTGAGAAGGAGGGAGAAAGGTTGTGGAGGGGTGCAGTGGGTTGTGGACAGGTGACGAGGGCTGACAAGCGGTGATAGCGAGTGAGGAGAAGGGTGAGGAGGGGTGAGGAGGGGTGAGGAAGGGTGAGGATGGAGCACAAGGGTGTGGATGGTGAAGGTGATGAAGCCGGGGTGGGAGCACACTCACCGAGGCAAGTGTTGGGGGCAACGAGCAGCGTCCCCTTGGGGCAGACGCACTGCGCCGTGCCGGTGCTGGCGTCACACACCAGGTCGCCCGCCGGACAGTTCACCCCTATGCACGGGTCTGGGCGAGGGCGGGGGTGTTGGGGGTGGGGGGAGGAAGAGTGGAAAAAAGGGGAAGAAGGGGAGGCACGCGATGAGAGGGTAGGTGGCGAGGGAGTGAAGGTGGGACGGGAGATGGATGGAGAAACATCGAGAGGAGGAGGTGGAGACATGCGATGGGAGGTGCATGGGAGGTGCATGGGAGGGGCAGGTAGAAGAAGAAGGGGTGCCGGGGGCAGGTGCGCACCTGGAAGGCACTGCGAGCTGTTGACGAGCGCCTGACCCGCTCCACACACGCACACGGGCTTGCCGTCCACTGCTGAGCACGTGGAGGTGGACGGACACTGCACTCTGAAGCACGGGTCTTGCACTGCCGGGGAGGTCATGGTGATGGCGAGGGGGGGTGGAGAAGGGAGGGGACGGAAGGAGAGAGATAGAGTGAAGCGTGTGAAGGGTGAAGGAGTAGAGTACAGACGGCTGCTGGGCCGAAATTACAGCACCACACAGCACCGCAAAGCACTGCTGAGCAGCTCGGTAGCAAGGATGGGCTGGAAAAACAGAGGATTGAAGCATCACAGCACAACGGCGCAGTCACCAGCAGCACAGGGCAGCCGAAGCTAACCAAAAAAGGCACAGAAGGAGGCATGGGGAGGGGATGGGGCAAGGCATGGAGCGTTGAGGGGTTTGAGGGGCATGAGGGGCGTGAGGGGCGTGAGGGGCATGAGGAGCGTGAGGAGCGTGAGGAGCGTGAGGAGCGTGAGGAGCGTGAGGAGCGTGAGGAGCGTGAGGAGCGTGAGGAGCGTGAGGAGCAGGGTGGTTACCATAAGGCGGCAGGCCGCGGACGTTCCCCGGCGGGTAGTAATGGCACGCCCACACGTCTGACCCCGTGCCACACGACGCCTTGGCACACCCCAGCGTGCGCGTGCCGTTCCAAATGACCTGCGTGTAGTGCCCACACTTGGCCCAGTTGCCGCCCGCACAGCCGTTGGGGTGGACATCCACCGTGTACCACTGCCCCTCGTTCACCCACCACCCCGACGCGTCGGAGCCATTCTTGACTCCCGCCGGGCTGGCGGAGGCGAGGTTCTGCCCCTCGCCGTCATGCCCGCCGTGCACGATGCTGCAGTTGTAGGACGAGTTGGTCAGCGCTGTCGCCCATGCCTGCGCGTGCGCCGCCACTGGGGGGATAGGCAGAGGGGGGAAGGAGAGGAGAGGTGAGAAACGAGAGAGGAGGGGCGATGGATGGTGGTGGTGGACTGAGATGGGCATGGCATGTGCATTGCCTATTCGCCCGAGAGGCAGTATTAGGAGAGGAGAGCGCAATGATGCATGCGTGCATGTACTCATGCACCATGCACACAGGCACACATGCACTCATGCACTCATGCACTCATGCACTCATGCACTCATGCTCTCATGCTCTCATGCTCTCATGCACTCATGCACTCATGCACTCATGCACTCATGCACTCATGCACTCATGCTCTCATGCTCTCATGCACTCATGCACTCATGCACTCATGCACTCATGCACTCATGCATCGCCCTCCTTTCGCTCCCTCACAGGCACCACAGGCGGAATGAAGCACGAGGAGGCAGTCTGACGATGGGAAAGGGGGGAAAGAAGCCGCAATCACTCTCACTCACCTGCGTCATCCCACACCCACCTGCGTCATCCCACACTCACCTGCGTCATCCCACACGAGAGGCACGGCCCCCACAGCAGCGCGGGCGTTGTTGTGAACGTCGAGGTATTCAGAGTGGGCCAGGTTGGCCGAGGAGCACACGTTGTCTATGAGACGTGCGAATGGTGTGGGGCACTGGCACACCGCTGTACCGCCCTTCACCACACACGTGGCCACGTCCGGACACTTGACCCCGTAGCATGCGTCTGAAAAGGGGGGGGGGTGCGGGGGAGGGATACGGAGGAAGGGGTGTGGGGGAAGGGGTGTGGGGGATGAGGTGTGGTGGAAGGGGTGTGAGGGAAGGAGTGTGAACGAGAACTTGGCACTGCTGCTACTACCTGAGCAGGAAAATTGGCAGTGTAGATAGAAATCACCTGGGCAGGGGCGCATGACCATGTTGCATTGACCTGAGCAGGAACACTCGCCTCTGTTGCAATCACCTGGGCAGGAGCACTTGGCAATGCCAGCAGAAGAGGAGCAGGTGCAGTTGGTGGGGCAGGTGACGATCGTACACATGTCCACCACTGTTGAGAGGGATGAATGGGCAAGGGGGGTGGGGAAACGGGTGGCGGGAGAGGAAGTGGAAGGAGCATGAAGGCACAGGTGAATGGATGACGGGAGAAGAAACGAGACGAGCAACAAGAGAAGGACTCGTGCTGCTCACTCTGACGCTTGGCACCGTAGTAGAATACGTCTGAAAGGGGGAAGGGTGCGGGGGAGGGCTATGGAAAGTGGTGTCAGAATCTCAATTACTAGATCATTAGGATAAAAGGACTTGTTAAGTAGCGGATCATTGCGCCTATAATCCCCCCAAGCTCGCAAGCCTGTAACCCTTCCCTAGGATCAATCGGGCATCCCCAATGCTGGTCTTCTGACAAAAGGGGTGTGAAAGAGCACTTGGCACTGTTTCTACTAACTGGCACTGTATCAATCACCTGGGCAGGAGCGCACGAACACTTGCAAATACCTGAGCAGGAACACTCGGCTCTGTTGCAATCACCTGAGCAGAAGGCTCTGTTGCAATCACCTGGGCAGGAGCACTTGGGAACGCCAGCGGAAGAGGAGCAGTTGCAGTTGGCGGGGCAGGTGACGTTCAAACAGATGTCCACCGCTGGTGGGGGGCGTGACGGGGGACGAGGGGTGGGGAAACGGGAGGTAGGAGTGGGCGTGGAAGGAGCTTGAAGGCACAAGTACATGGATGACTGGGGAAGAAACGAGACGGGCAAAGGGACGAATGAGAACAAGAGAAGGGCCCGTGCTGCTCACGATGACCCGTGCTGCTCACGATGGCCCGTGCTGCTCATCCTGGCACTGACCGTTGACCTTGGTGCAGCCAACCACGCAGTGACACGTGGCGCGAGAGCCCTGGACCGAGTTGGCCAGACACGCCGTCTCACACGCCCCACTGCCATCACCCGTGCTACCCGTACTACCACAGTACCTGTGCCGCCCGTGCCGCCGGTGCTGCCCGTGTTGCCAGTGCCGCCTGTGCTGCCTGTGCCGCCGGTACTGCCGGTGCCGCCCGTGCTGCCCGTGCCGCCCGTGCTGCCGGTGCCGCCCGTGCTGCCCGTGCTGCCTGTGCTGCCCGTGCCACCCGTGCTGCCCGTGCCGCCCGTGCTGCCGGTGCTGCCCGTGCCGCCCGTGCTGCCTGTGCCGCCCGTGCTGCAGGTGCTGCCAGTGGTGACAGTGCTGTCTGTGCTGCCGGAGCAGGCGATGGATCTCACTGCTGCAAAGTTACCACTCGTGGTCCTGCAGAGCACAACACAACCACAAGCAGACAGCAGCAAACCGCAATCAGCAGATCACCCAATAAGGGTAGACCATGGCAAGCTCAAGGGCCGGTGGAGGTGCAAGCACAGGGGAAAGTGTAGAGGCAGAAGCGCAGGCAGCAGGTGCTCACGCAAAGGTTGTGACTCACGAAAAGGTTGTGACTCCGCTGTCGGGTTTCCACGAGCCGCTGGACCAGCCAGAGCAGTCAGTGCGATTGTTGAACCACATCAGCTTGCACACCTGCCGCGCCCCCGCCGCCCCGTCCGGCACGTCCCAGAGGATCTGCAGCGACCCCACCGCCCCTGCCAGGGATGACGGGATGTTGACGCAGCCCGCGTCGGGCGTGGCGGCTCGCAGCACAACGGGCGCGAGGGAGGCGGGTGTGTTGGTGAAGTTGGGCGAGTTGTAGAGCACCAGACTCGTTGCCACTGCGGCAGGGGCCGCTGTGGGGGGCGGAGAGAGGGGAGAGAGGGAGGGAGGGAGAGAGCGAGGGAGAACGAACAAAAGGGAAAAGGGAGGGAGGGAGGAAGAGAGAGAAATTAAAAAAGGGCATGGGGGGGATGGAGAGGGGTGGGGGGGGGAAGAGTGTGGAAGGTAGGTGCAAGAAAGAGAAGGGCTTGGTGAGCAGGGCATGGTGAGCAGGGCATGGTGAGCAGGGCTTACAGTGCCCGATAGCCGTGATCGAGACAGTGCTTGTGGTGATGGTAAGAAGCTATAGCGGATTTGCTAATAAGGAGTACCTTGAGTGCAGGTGCCGTTGGCGAGGGAGGAGCAATCAGGGCAAGCGCAGAAGGGGATGTCATCTTTGGTGGCTCTGCAGCGAGATGTGGAGGGGCACTGCACCCCCACACATACCGGCGCTGCAGAGGGGTGAAGAAGGGTGACAAGGGGTGAGAAGGAGGGAGAAAGGTTGTGGAGGGGTGCAGTGGAGTGTCGACAGGTGAGGAGGGCTGATGAGGCGTGATAGCGAGTGAGGAGAAGGGTGAGCAGGGGTGAGGAGGGTTGAGGAAGGGTGAGGAGAGGTGAGGATGGGCCACAAGAGTGTGGATGGTGAAGGTGGTGGAGCAGGTGTCAGCAGAGAGCAGGTGGCAGCAGAGAGCAGGTGGCAGCAGAGAGCAGGTGGGAGCAGAGAGCGGGTGGGAGCAGAGAGCGGGTGGCAGCAGAGAGCAGGTGGGAGCAGAGAGCGGGTGGCAGCAGAGAGCGGGTGGGAGCAGAGAGCGGGTGGGAGCAGAGAGCGGGTGGCACAGCACACTCACCGAGGCAAGTGTTGGGGGCAACGAACAGCGTCCCCTTGGGGCAGACGCACTGAGCCTTGCCGGTGCTGGCGTCACACACCAGGTCGCCCGCCGGACAGCTCACCCCTATGCACGGGTCTGGCAGAGGGAGGGGGGTGTGGGGGTTGGGGAGAAGAAGAGTGGGAAAAAAGGGAAGGAGGGGAGGCACACGATGGGACGTGCATGCGATGGGACGTGCATGCGATGGGACGTGCATGCGATGGGACGTGCATGCGATGGGACGTGCATGCGATGGGACGTGCATGCGATGGGACGTGCATGCGATGGGACGTGCATGCGATGGGACGTGCATGCGATGGGACGTGCATGCGATGGGACGTGCATGCGATGGCAGGTGCGCACCTGGAAGGCACTGCGAGCTGTTGACGAGCGCCTGACCCGCTCCACACACGCACACGGGCTTGCCGTCCACTGCTGAGCACGTGGAGGTGGACGGACACTGCACTCTGAAGCACGGGTCTTGCACTGCCGGGGAGGTCATGGTGATGGCGAGGGGGGGTGGAGAAGGGAGGGGACGGAAGGAGAGAGATAGAGTGAAGCGTGTGAAGGGCGAAGGAGTAGAGTACAGACGGCCGCTGGGCCGAAAGTACAGCACCACACCACACAGCACAGCACTGCACAGCACCGCACCGCACTGCTGAGTGACTCGGTTTGCACGGATAGGCTGAAGATACAGAGGACTGAAACAGCACAGCACTACACAACGGCGCAGTCACGAGCAGCACAGGGCAGCCGATGCTGACCAAAATGGGAGCAGGCACAGAGGAAGGCATGGGAAGGGGCAAAGGCGTGTGTGAAGGTGAAATTGGATGGAGCGTTGAGGGGCATGAGGAGCAGGGTGCTCACCATAAGGTGGCTGGCCGCGCATGTTCCCCGGCGGGTAGTAATGGCACGCCCACACGTCTGACCCCGTGCCACACGACGCCTTGGCACACCCCAGCGTGCGCGTGCCGTTCCAAATGACCTGCGTGAAGTGCCCACACTTGGCCCAGTTGCCGCCCGCACAGCCGTTGGGGTGGACATCCACCGTGTACCACTGCCCCTCGTTCACCCACCACCCCGACGCGTCGGAGCCATTCTTGACCCCCGCCGGGCTGGCGGAGGCGAGGTTCTGCCCCTCGCCGTCATGCCCGCCGTGCACGATGCTGCAGTTGTAGGACGAGTTGGTCAGCGCTGTCGCCCATGCCTGCGCGTGCGCCGCCACTGGGGGGATAGGCAGAGGGGGGAAGGAGAGGAGAGGTGAGAAACGAGAGAGGAGGGGCGATGGATGGTGGTGGTGGACTGAGATGGGCATGGCATGTGCATTGCCTGTCCCGGCGAGAGGCAGTCGCACGAGAGGAAAGCGCAACCATGCATGCATGCATACATCGCTCTGCTGTCCCTCCTACACAGCCAGCACAGGCGGCATCAAGCATGGGGAGGCAGGCTGACGATGGGACGGAAGAAAGAAGCTCACTCACTCTCACTCACCTGCGTCATCCCACACGAGAGGCATGGCCCCCACAGCAGCGCGGGCGTTGTTGTGAACGTCGAGGTATTCAGAGTGGGCCAGGTTGGCCGAGGAGCACACGTTGTCTATGAGACGTGCGAATGGTGCGGGGCATTGGCACACCGCTGTACCGCCCTTCACCACACACGTGGCCACGTCCGGACACTTGACCCCGTAGCATGCGTCTGAAAAGGGGGGGGGGGTGCGGGGGAGGGATGCGGAGGAAGGGGTGTGAAAGAGCACTTGGCACTGTTGCTACTTCCTGAGCAGGAGAACTGAACTGGCACTGTAGAAATCACCTGGGCAGGAACTCTCGCCTCTGTTGCAATCACATGAGCAGGAACTCTCGCCTCTCTTGCAATCACATGAGCAGGAACTCTCGCCTCTGTTGCAATCACATGAGCAGGAACTCTCGCCTCTCTTGCAATCACATGAGCAGGAACTCTCGCCTTTGTTGCAATCACATGAGCAGGAACATTCGACTCTGTTGCAATCACCTGAGCAGAAACACTCGGCTCTGTAGCTATCACCTGGCCAGGAGCAGTTGGCACTGTTGCAATCACCTGGGCAGGAGCACTTGGCAATGCCGGCAGAAGAGGAGCAGTTGCAGTTGGTGGGGCAGGTGACAATCTTACACATGTCCACCACTGGTGTGGAGGGGGATGAATGGGCTAAGGGGGGTTGGGGAAACGGGTGGCGGGAGAGGGAGTGGAAGGAGCATGAAGGCAGGGGTGAATGGATGATGGGAGACAAAAAGAGACGAGCAATGGGGCGAATGAGAACAAGAGAAGGACCTGTGAAAGAGCAGGGGCAGGGGTGTGAGGAGAAGGGGTGTGAAAGAGCACTTGGCACTGTTGCTACTGCCTGAGCAGGAGAACTGGCACTGTAGCAATCACCTGAGCAGGAGCACATAGCGATGTTGCAACTACCTGAGCAGGAACACTCGGCTCTGTTGCAATCACCTGGGCAGGAGCACTTGGGAACGCCAGCAGAAGAGGAGCAGTTGCATTTGGCCGGGCAGGTGACGTTTAAACAGATGTCTCTCGCTGGTGGGGGGCGTGAAGGGGAAGGGGGGGTGGGGAAACGGACGTGGCACAGGTAAATGGATGTCGGGGGAAGAAACGAGACGAGCAAAGGGGCGAATGAAGACAAGAGAAGGACCCGTGCTACTCACCCTCGCACTGCCCGTTGACCTTGGTGTAGCCAACCACGCAGTTACACGTGGCCCCAGTGCCCTCCCCCACACAAACCGAGTTGGCCGGGCACGCCGTCTCACACGCCCCACTGCCACCACCCGTGCTGGGCGTGCTACGACACCCGTGCTGGGCGTGCTACGACAGTACCTTTGGGGGCGATGGCGGTGAGGCACGACATGGACTGCGCTTTCAGCACCACTCCCGCTGCCACCCTGGTGGACGGGGCACGGTGGACACACGGGCGCGCGGAGGAGAGAAGCAATGGCATGGGTACAGAGGGAGCACAGGGCAATGGCATGGGTACAGAGGGAGCACAAGGCAATGGCATGGGTACAGAGGGAGCACAGGGCAACAGAAGACGCTGGCAGCACATCAGCTGAATGCTGCACACTCACCTCAAGTTGACCTTTGACGTTTTTCAAACCTATTTGATAGTAATAGTTGGAAGGTGTTGGGAGGTGTTGGAAGGGATGGCCAAGTGGAATCCCAGGCTGAAACGTCAACGCAATAGTTGGTCACCGAGTGCCGCTGCACGCTCACTCACTTGCTGGTGGCGGCGTAGGTGGTCACTCACTTGCTGGTGGCGGCGTAGGTTGTCACTCACTTGCTGGTGGCGGCGTAGGTGGTCACTCACTTGCTGGTGGCGGCGTAGGTGGTCACTCACTTGCTGGTGGCGGCGTAGGTGGTCACTCACTTGCTGGTGGCGGCGTAGGTGGTCACTCACTTGCTGGTGGCGGCGTAGGTGGTCACTCACTTGCTGGTGGCGGCGTAGGTGGTCACTCACTTGCTGGTGGCGGCGTAGGTGGTCACTCACTTGCTGGTGGCGGCGTAGGTGGTCACTCACTTGCTGGTGGCGGCGTAGGTGGTCACTCACTTGCTGGTGGCGGCGTAGGTGGTCACTCACTTGCTGGTGGCGGCGTAGGTGGTCATTCACTTGCTGGTGGCGGCGTAGGTTGTCACTCACTTGCTGGTGGCGGCGTAGGTGGTCACTCACTTGCTGGTGGCGGCGTAGGTGGTCACTCACTTGCTGGTGGCGGCGTAGGTGGTCACTCACTTGCTGGTGGCGGCGTAGGTGGTCACTCACTTGCTGGTGGCGGCGTAGGTGGTCACTCACTTGCTGGTGGCGGCGTAGGTGGTCACTCACTTGCTGGTGGCGGCGTAGGTGGTCACTCACTTGCTGGTGGCGGCGTAGGTGGTCACTCACTTGCTGGTGGCGGCGTAGGTGGTCACTCACTTGCTGGTGGCGGCGTAGGTGGTCTTGGCCGCGTCAGCCTTCTTCCACCCGCCCGGCACCTCAAAGGCCAACGAAGAGCCGCTGCAGTCGCTCTGGTTCCAGAACAGCACCTTCCCGCACATCACGCGGCTCGCGCCGCTGCTGCCGTCCTTCACGCTCCACAGGATGCGCAGCGACCCCACGGCACCCGCGCGCGGCGTGGGCAGGTTCACGCAGGTGCGGTTGGGGATGGCGCCGCGCAGCACGGCGGGCGGCGCGGGGGCGTACTTGGCGGTAGCGAATAGCAGCACGCTCGTCACCACCACCTGCCCGTCCACGGCTGGCCGGGGGGAGAGGGGGGGTGGGGGGGGGGAGAGAGGGGGGGGAAAGAGCGGAAGGGCGGAGGGGGGGAGGGGGGAGTGGAAGGGGAGTGGAGGGGGGTGAAGGGGAAGGGAAGGGGAGGGGAGGGCTGATGCAGGCGACGAAGACAGAATGGGGCAGGGTCAGGCGAGAGCGAGAGAAGCGCCGGAGCGCAAGATCATCTTGGAGCCAGTACCGAAGCGCCTACCCCTACGGGGGCCTGGGTTTCCTCCGGGGATCTCCTTAAAGCCCAAAAAAAAAAAAAAAAAAAAAACTTGGAGCCAGCATTGGGAGCTGAGCCATTGATCTCACCCTGGCACACACGAGCCGTTGATCTCACCCTGGCACACACGAGCCATTGATCTCACCCTGGCACACACGAGCCGTTGATCTCACCCTGGCACACACGAGCCGTTGATCTCACCCTGGCACACACGAGCCGTTGATCTCACCCTGGCACACACGAGCCGTTGATCTCACCCTGGCACACACGAGCCGTTGATCTCACCCTGGCACACACGAGCCGTTGATCTCACCTGGCACACACGCGCCGTTGATCAGCGCGAGGGTCCCGTTGCACTTGCAGAAGGGGAAGTTGCTGCCGTCCACGGCGCACGCCGCGTCCTGCGGGCACGACACGTTCATGCACGCCACGACGGCTGTGGCGATCCCGGGCGGGCGCGGACAGGCGGACGGAAGGGCGGAGCGGGGAGAGGAGGGGGATGAGCGCGGATGGGATGAGAGCGGAATGACTCAAGGGATCTCGGAGCGGGAAATTCGCACTCCTTCGGAAAAAAACGGGAGAGGAGGGGGGGGGGGACCCCTCGGAGGGGAGGGGGGCGGTGGGGTGGGGGGAGGAGAGGGGGGAGAGGGGGGGGGGGGGGGGGTGGGGAGGGGAGGAGGTGGGGGGGCGGGGGAAGAAGGGGGGTGCAGCGAGTCACTAGTACAGCACACATCTGCCGGAATGGCGGCAAAAAATATCATCCTTTGAAAGCATGACGGGGGGCGGGCGGGGAACACACGGGATCGAACGCGGCGTACGTGCCGTTATCGACGGTGGCTCACCAGGCGGAAGCTTAGGCAGCGCCGGGGGCTTCTTCGCTAACAGCTTTATAAGCCGCCGATGGAACGGACCGTGCGACACCGTCGCAGGACCCTCTAGTAACCATCGCATGTGCGACCTAATTGCGACAATCGCGTCGCCGAATGTTGAGCGACGGTCGATGGCGAGAGTGGCCGACGCGGGGTGTTCGGAGAGGAGGGCGGAATGGAGCAGGAGGGCGAGGAGAAGGGGGAGGAGGAAGGGGAGGCGGGTGGGTGCGAATGGAGTCGTCATGCGCGCGGACAGGGGGAGTGATGGGAGTAGCGCTATTTGCGGGGAGGCGACGTTTGCGGGAAAGCGCAGATGGTGGAGACGCGGGAAAGAAGAAGAAAGGCAAAAGCTTCCTGAATTGGTGAGACCAGAGCAGCTTTGCCATGGTTAAATGCCGCAAGATAACTATGGGAATGAGGCAGGCAGAGGTAGGAGTGGCCTCAGTGGTGTGCTGCGTGTGTTGAGTGAACGGTAGGTAACAGAGGGAGGGGATTTGAAAGACTACATTTAGGGTTCCGGATGTGTTTTGAGGAACCCTGCCAGATCCGAGTTGCGACCCTGGTTCACCCTGTCACAGCAGGGTCTCTGGTGTTGTTTTCATATTCCGAACTGGCATGGTCGATTTCTCGGACACTGTGGCAGTGTATTGGGTCTTGTGATGAGTTTCTTGATTTCATGGGTCCGATGCCAGGGAGAATGTGTGGGATCGAAAGAGGTTTGAGACATTTGCTTTCTTGAAGGGGCCGGGTGAATCGACACCAGGCGTTAGCATTTGTCGCGCTCGAAACCCGCAAGGCTCCATATCTGCAAATGCAGGGCGATCCAGACTAAGTCTGTGCCAGGGAGTATCGTCGCTTAAGTCTATTTAATCAGGGTGTTGAATAACCATCTCTAAATCAGGATAAATAGCCCTGACTTCCCTCGGCGATTACTACAATTCGTATGGACTACTGGGATGGATGGATGGAACACGACACCACACACAGGATGGAGACCCGAGCCGCGAGCCTAGGTTCTGATCTGAACCTCACTTCACTAAAGACAGTCGGTGAAAGGGGCAACCTGCACAGTACTGTAATAACAACTGTGTGAAAGGAATCTCGAAATGTCGTTCGTACGACAACTTGTGGACGAAATATCGACGAACAAGATGACATCACGCAGACCACGTAAAGAAAAGACAAGACTTAAGCGTGTCAACAGTAAGAACCGTACGCATTCAACATAAACGCTACAACAACCATAATTTCAGCCAAATGTTGAAATGGAAATCGGTCCGCTGACGTCACAAGAATCTGAAGATAATCTTGCGGCGGCTCGCCATTTGTGAACGGGGCCACGGGCCACCAATTCATTTCCGATTGTTTCAGGCACTCCACAACACTGCACTTTGTCTACAGCTCCATCAGACCAGGCTTTCGGCAGCAGAGATCAGACCTTCCCCTCTCACGAGGATCCCCTAAAGGCTGGCGCGTTTGATGCAAACAGACAGACACCACCATACACCGGCAAACCTGAAGTGACTCAAGCTGTTATCTGAACTCGCTACTGACCGTGTGGATACTGCTTAGAGCACTTGTGCTTGTACTGGCCTAGTTTGTCAACATTGGGCTGCACTTTTCCACGCTCGAGAGTGGATAGACCATACCAATTTGACCCCGGAGTGGCAGAAAACAATCGAAAGGCATGCTACGCTTCAACAAACTTAGATTCAATTGCCCCAAGCTCAATTGTTTGTGCTGTATATTCAATAAATCATAGAGCATATGCGAGTATGGATATAAATTACAATAAATGGAAAGAATCAGGTCCACGTCACAAAATTCTGGATTTTAAGTCCAAGCCTCGAGACTGCTCTGCTTTGGAGACCAGTCACTGCTCTGCTCTGCAAGTCAGTGCTGCTCGTCTCTTCCTCAAATAAATCATAGAGCATATGCGAGTATGGATATAAATTACAATAAATGGAAAGAATCAGGTCCACGTCACAAAATTCTGGATTTTAAGTCCAAGCCTCGAGACTGCTCTGCTTTGGAGACCAGTCACTGCTCTGCTCTGCTCTGCTCTGCAAGTCAGTGCTGCTCGTCTCTTCCTCAAGCCGAGCAGCTGATGGCTCGGAGTGCTGCCACGTCACCACTAGTTGACCTGCAGAGCACAAGCAGACAGCAGCAAACAGCTATCAGCGAATCACTCTACAAAGGGTATCCAGGGACACGCTCAGGGGATGGTGGAAGGGAAAGCACAGGGGAAGAAGCCGCAGTGGCAGAAGCACATGCAACAGGAACTCACGCAGCAGTTGTGACGTTGTTGCCGGGACGCCCCCACCCGGTGGCGTGGCCATAGCAGTTGGCCCCGTTCCAGAACCACATGAGGCGGCACACTTGCCGCACCCCCGCCGCCCCGTCCGGCACGTCCCAGAGGATCTGCAGCGACCCCACCGCCCCTGCCAGGGATGAAGGGATGTTGACGCACCCCGCTGCTCCCGAGGCGCCGGGCGTGGCGGCTCGCAGCACGGTGGGAGCGAGGGAGGCGGGCGAGTTGGTGAAGGAAGGCGCGTTGTAGAGAACAACGCTTGATGTCACTGTGGCGGGGGCAGCTGCGGGGCGGAGGAGAGGGGAGGGAGGGGAATAGGAGTGTCGGAACAGGTAAGCGCAATTGAGAAATGTTGTGGATGGAGTGGTTGCGAGGGACAAGTGCGGCAGGGCTTACAGGGCTTACAGAAGGGGAGCTATAGTGAATGTGTTAATATTGAGTACCTTGAATGCAGGTGCCGTTGACGAGGGAGTAGGAGGCGGGGCAGGCACAGAAGGGGATGCCGCCGCTGGTGGCTCTGCAGCGGGCCGTTGAGGGGCACTCCACCCCCACACATGATGGCGCTGCAGAGGGGTGACAGGGAGTGAGGTGCGGTGGGGAAAAGCGAGGAGGGGTGCGGATGGTGAAGGTGAGAAGGCAAGACGAAACAGGAAGCACAGCAGCGAGTGGGCGAGACAGGGTGCAGGCGAGGAGAGAAACTGGTGGCTTTGAGGAGGCACAGCACAGCACAGCACAGCACCGCACCGCACAGCACCGCACAGCACAGCACAGCACAGCACAGCACAGCACCGCACCGCACTGCACCGCACCGCACAGCACAGCACAGCACACTTACCCAGGCAGGTGTTGGGGGCGGTGAGCAGCAGCCCCTTGGGGCACACACACTGCGCTGTGCCGGTGCTGCCGTCACACACCAGATCACCCGCTGGGCAGCTCACTCCCTTGCATGGGTCTGGCAGGGGAGAAAAAGGGAGAGAGTGGCATGGCAAGGGGGCACGAGGTCGTGAGGACGGTTGGGAGAGCCTAAGGTTGGTGGCGAGGGAGTCAAGGCTTGATGGGAGACGTAGCGACGGAACTGATGGGGACACAGAAGGTGCATGAGGGAAGCGATGGAGTGATAGTGGTGGCACGTGGTGGGAGGGTGTATGGGGTGGGGGCGGGTGTGGGGCGGGACAGCATGCCGGGTGGGAGGAGGGTGTTTGGGTGGGAGGAGGGTGTGGAGGCGGGCGGGGCGGGGGCGGCACCTGGCTGGCACTGGGCGTTGTTGACGAGCACCTGGCCGGCAGCACAGGTGCACACGGGCTTGCCGTCCACTGCTGAGCACGTGGAGGTGGAGGGACACTGCACTCTGAAGCACGGGTCTTGCACTGCCGGGGGGGGGCAAGGAAAGGGGAGGAAGAGAAAAGGGATCCATGAGAAAGAGGAAGCCACGGGCCATGAGTACAGCACAGCACCGCACTGTACCGCACAGCATAGCACAGCACAGCACAGCACCGCACCGCACCGCACCGCACAGCACAGCACAGCGCAACGGGTGGAGTGCTCACCGTAGGGCCGCTGGCCGCCGTAGTTCCCGGGCGGGTAGTAGTGGCACGCCCACACGTCCCCACTCGTGCCGCACGACGCCTTGGCACAGCCCAGCTTCCTGGAGTTGTTCCACACCACCTGCGTGTAGTGCCCGCACTTGGCCCAGTTGCCGCCCTCACAGCCGTCGGGGAACACAGCCACCGAGTACCACTGCCCCTCGTTCACCCACCAGCTGGCCGCCGCTGCATTCGAGGCCCAGCCGGAGGGGCTGGCGCCCGAGAGGTTCTGCCCCTCGCCGCTGTTGCCGCCGTGCGACAGCCCGCAGTTGTACGTGCTGTTGGTCAGCACCGTCGCCCACGCCAGCGCGTGCGAAGCCACTGCGGGTGAGCAGAGCAAAGCGAGGAAGAGGTGGGCGGGGAGGGGCCATGAGCTTAGAAAAGCACGGTGGTTCTTACATGAATGAACGAGCAGGGTAGATGGCGTTAGTTGAGGTGATTGCAGTCGCCCGAGAAGCAGCACAACCATGCACTCATCGTCCCACTCTCACACGCATGCATGCGTCACTCACATGTGTCATCCCACACTCACATGTGTCATCCCACACGAGAGGCACGGCCCCCACAGCAGCGCGGGCGTTGTTGTGAACATCGAGGTAGTCGGAGTTGGGAAGGGCAGCAGAGGAGCACTTGTTGTCGATGAGCCGCGTGTAGGGCGCGGGGCACTTGCACACGGGCGTACCGCTCTGCACCACACACGTGGACACGTCCGGACACTTGACACCGTAGCATCGGTCTGGAGAGCGGAGGGGGAGAGGGGGGGGGAGGTGGGTGGGATGCCTTTTGAGACGTCTCAAAACACGTCCTGACATTTCACGCCGTACCAACAGTCCGAAGAGCAAAGGGGAACGGGGGGGGGAGGGAGGGCGGTGGGATGTGGAAAGGGGTGCGAAGAACGGGAGGGATGAGGACGGGTGGGACAAAGAAGAGAGATGGCAGGAGTAATCACCCGGACACTAATAAGCACCTGGGGAAAAGCAGTGCTTTGAAACATCTGGATGAACCATAATCACCTGAGCTGGAGCACCTGACTCTGTTGCAATCACCTGGGCAGGAGCACTTGGCAATGCCAGCGGAAGAGGAGCAGGTGCAGTTGGCTGGGCAGGAGACGATTGAGCAGATGTCCATCGCTGGTGGCATGGGAGGGAGGGCGACGGGGAGGCGGGGGAGCAGGTAAGGGAGGGAAGGGCGCTGCTATCAGCATCCACACCATGCCCCACCCAACTCAACCATTGCCAACCACTCTACTCCCCAATGCTGCTCACCCTCGCACTGCCCGTTGACCTTGGCGTAGCCAGCCACGCAGTTACATGTCGTGCCAGAGACCTGGGCCACACACACGGAGTTGGCCGGACACACCGTCTCCTTACACGCCCCGCTGCCACCCGTGCTGCCACCCGTACTGCCGCCCGTACTGCCGCCCGTGCTGCCGCCCGTGCTACCAGTGCTTCCAGTGCTGCCAGAGCTCCCGGTGTTGCCGGTGGGCACGCCTGTGCCGGGCTCCGTGGTGGCAGCAGGGTCGGCAAAGGCCTGGCACGACATGGACTTGGCTCCCGCGACCACCCCGCCCGTTACTCTGATGGGACGAGGGAGAGGGGCGTGGGCGAAGGAGGCGAGAAGGAGGAGAGCAGGTTATGGTGGTGGCATGGGGCACACTGGAAGTACAGGGCAGCACGCCAGTGTGGTGTGGAGGCAGCACAGCCGGAATGAGGCGGGCTCACTGAATGCTGGTGGGCGCGTAGTTGGTCTTGGCGGCACTAGCGGCTTTCCACCCGCCCGGCACCTCCCACCCCGACCCCGAGCAGCAGCAATCCGGCTGGTCCCAGAAGAACACCTTCCCGCACACCACGCGGCTCGCGCCGCTGCTGCCGTCCTTCACGCTCCACAGGATGCGCAGCGACCCGATGGCGCCCGCGTGCGACGCGGGTAGGTTCACGCATGTGCGGTTCGGGATGGCGCCGCGCAGCACGGCGGGCGGCGCGGGGGAGAAATTGGCGGCGGCGAACAGCAGCACGCTTGTTGCCACCACCTGGCCGTCCACGGCTGGCCGTTGGGAAAAGGGGGTGGGGAGGGGCGATGGGGAAGGGGAAGGGGAATGAGGTGGATGCAGGGGAAGAGCGAGAGGTGGTTGTTGAGAGGAATGGGGGAATTTGGGATAGAAGAATCGGGAGCATGAGCCGTTGATCTCACCTGGCAAACACGAGCCGTTGATCAGCGCGAGGGTCCCGTCGCACTTGCAGAAGGGAAAGCCGTTGCTGTCCGCGACACACGCCGCGCCTTGCGGGCACTGCACGCCCTCGCACGCCACGGCGGCTGTGGCGGCGAGCGCGGACGGGCGGGCCGAAGGGGAGTGGCGAGCGGAGAGGGAAGAGCGGAGGGGAAAGGGCGGAGGGGAATGAGCTGAGGGGAATGAGAAAAGCGGGATGAGCGGGAAATGGGAAGCGGGGGAAGAGGAGAGAGTCCCGCTCCTTGGGAAACACGCAGCGAAAGTGCAGAAATGCGGGGCGCACGTGCGCTAGCGCAGGACGCAGTGGCTCACCCGACTGCTTGCCCGCGCCGCCGCTTTTAGGCGGCGGCTTCTTGACGGGCTTCTTGAAAGCGCCGAAAGGGTTCCACAGCCGCCGGTGGAACGGACCGTGCGACACCATTGGGCCCTCTAATCGTCGCCTGTGCGAAGTTCCTGCGACTATTGCGTCGCCAATTATTGTGCGGCCGCCTACGGCGGCGATAGCGGCCGACGCGAGATGGTGGGAGAGGAGGGCGGCATGAAGCAGGAGGGCGACGAGGAGGTGGAATCGGGAGAATGTGAATGGCGTCGTCATGCGCGCGCCGGGGCGCAGTGCGCGGAGTGGCGCAGTCCGCGAGGAGGTGCAGTCACAGGTAAGGCGAACGCGGAGAAGAAAGCAGAAGGTTTTCGTATCGGTGAAAACAGATTCACAATCTGGGAACGAAAGCAGTAAACTTGTCAAGAGAATGACGATAATCAGCCAGAACCTGGAATATGGAGATAATTTAGTGGGAAATACATGTGCTTGTGGTTAGTGGCACCAGAGGTGGGTGTGCTTGAACAAAGGGGAGGGGAGGGAAGGTTGCCTCTGCTCCGCTCCGCATGCCTGCGCCCAGGCAAATTCCATGGGTGCGGTGCGGTGCGGGCATTGGGATTTGGGAAACAGTGCCGACTGTACAGTGCACAGGTGTATTGGCCATGGGAGCCACCTACCACCCACCAACGACAAAAGAATTGCCCGACGTCAACGTCAGCAGCGGTTTCGTTCGAAGTCAGAAGGGAATCGCTAGTTACGTCGTTACTGCACGAGGAATTTGTGAAGGATTTGCCGTTTTGATTCGGCCGTCTTGATTGGCCAATCGTTATTGCCAAAACTGGAACTTTCGGTTACTGCAACCCAGACTCACATTTCGCCAGAAATACGGCTTTCGTCTGGTTTATTCGCGCTAAAGGGTGTACCTCTCGGTGCACAAGTCGGTTCCTCCTCAACACCATTTGTTACAAATATGCAATTCTCAAGTAGTCTCTGCAATTCTAAAGGGGTGATCAAAGTAGTGCACCAGCTCGACGTCGAGGAACGTCGGTGAATTTCAACCCTCGGATCAACGGTTCCAACCGTCACGATTCACCGACATCCCTCGACGTTGAGTTGGTGCAGTACTTTGATCACCCCTTTACTGGATGTAGCGTTCCCGATATTTGAGCTGGAGGAGAGCTTGTCAGTTTTCGGCGTAGCTTGTAGTAGCGGGGATGGAGGAGTCGGATGAGGGCCGCGATTCAGCGCGGCGGGCGCGCGGAGACGAGCGACGATCGCGACACGGGCACGACCGGCACCACCACCGCCACCACCACCACCATCACCACCATCATCAGTCCCCCGCGCACTCCGCGGGAAGCGGATCGAGCGGCGATGAGCGCGATAGGGGGAGGGAGGAGCACGGGAAAGGGCGCGAAGGGCGGAGCGAGGGGAAGCGGAGGTGGGATGAGGGGAAGGAGCGGGAGAGGGAGTGGGGCAGAGAGGGGGACAAGGATGGAGACAGGTTCGGGCCGAAGGAGAGGGATAGGTCCGGAAGCGATCGGGAGAGAAGGAAGGATCGGGAGCATGATGGGGAGAAAGACGATCGCAGGGAGAGAGGAAAGGACAGGGATAGAGAGAGAGACAGGGATAGGGATAGGGATAGAGATAGGGATAGAGATAGGGAGAAAGATCGGGATCGACATAAGGATAGGGATAGGGACAAGGATAGGGGTAAGGATAGGGATAAAGATAGAGATAGGGATAGGGATAGAGGTCGCAAAGAGAAGGAGCGTGAGAAGGAAGGGGAGAAGGAACGGGATGGGGAGAGGCACAGGGAGAGGGACAGAGAACGTGACAGGGAGAAAGGGAAGAGCAAGGACCGGCACAGGGATAAGGAGAGGGGCAGAGAGAAAGACAGGGAGCGGGAGGAGAGAGAACGGGAGGAGCGCGAGAGGGAGGAGCGGGAGCGGGAGGAGCGGGAGCGCGAGCGGGAGAGGCGGAGCGCGCGGCTGGAGTCGCTCAAGGCGCTGACGGGCGGCAAGGGCGAGCGCAGTGACAGGCGCCGCGAGAGGGCGGGCGCGCGAGGGCGCGAGGAGCGGGTGGGCGCGGCGGAGGGCGCGCAGGGGGGCGCGGGTGGCGGGGAAGGGATTCAGGGAGGCGAGGGGGGCGGGGTGGGGGGAGAGGTGGGGGGAGGGGAGGGTTTGGGTGTTAAGGCAGGGGATGGGCTGGGCAGTAAGGGAGGGGAGGAGGCTGCTGGCGAGGCTCAGGAGGCTGGGCTGCGCAAGCTGCGGTTGAAGCTGTCAGGTGCTTCTTCAGGTGGGTGTCAGGTGCTTCTTCAGGTGGGTGTCAGGTGCTTCTTCGGGTGGGTGTCAGTTGCTTCTTCAGGTGGGTGTCAGGTGCTTCTTCAGGTGGGTGTCAGGTGCTTTTCAGGTGGGTGTCAGGTGCTTCTTCAGGTGGGTGGGCAGGAAAGCCGTGGACAGAGAAGTTTAGTTTGGAACAAGCTCACACAGAGGAGAGAGAGAGGTGAGAGAGGAAGGTGAGAGAAGGTGAGCCGGGCTGGTACGTTCTCTGATGCCCCTCTTTACCACCATCCCCCCCCCTTCCCCCCCCCCCGCCCCGCTTCTCCCCTCCCCTCATACCTCTGCAGGCGCGCAAGTGCTCAAGGTGCCGCGCTCACACTCCAAGGGGAGGGCGGGGGGGGCGGGGGGCGGGGCTGTGGGGGGAGGGGCAGCAGGGGGAGCGGAGAGTGGAGGGGGGGAGAGGAAGAGGCGGCACCGACTCATTCTGCAGGTGAGGGGGGGTAGGATGGGGAAATGGGGCCCTTGGGAAGTGTAGGGGGGATGTGGGGTCTGGCGCATGGTGCTTATGCTGCTCGTGTTGCGTGGGGGCATGGGGTGTTGGGGTGCATGCTTGCGCTGCAGCCGTTATTGCTTGAGATTTCTGAGATTTCTCAAAATTCCCGTACACTGCACTGGTTGCTTGCAGCCGAGCAGATGAACGGCGTACAGCTGCGCACCCCTGTTGACGTGGAGTGTAATAATGATGGCTTTGACGCATGTAGACTCTCATCTCCCGCTTTGACGCATGTAGACTCTCATCTCCCGCTTTGACGCATGTAGACTCTCATCTCCCGCTTTGACGCATGTAGACTCTCATCTCCCGCTTTGACGCATGTAGACTCTCATCTCCCGCTTTGACGCATGTAGACTCTCATCTCCCGCTTTGACGCATGTAGACTCTCATCTCCCGCTTTGACGCATGTAGACTCTCATCTCCCGCTTTGACGCATGTAGACTCTCATCTCCCGCTTTGACGCATGTAGACTCTCATCTCCCGCTTTGACGCATGTAGACTCTCATCTCCCGCTTTGACACATGTAGACTCTCATCTCCCGCTTTGCGCTGCAGCCGTTATTGCTTGAGATTTCTGAGAATTGTAAAAATTTTCCGTACACTGCACTGGTTGCTTGCTCTCATCTCCGGCTTCTCTCCTCCTCTCTCTCCTTCTCGCCCCCGCTTCTTCCCTCCGTTTTGCTGGTACCATACAGGATAACTCAGATGAAGAGGAGGAGGAGGATGCTGGTGCTGCTGTTGGGCAGAGAGCAAGAGGGGAGGAGGAGGAGAGGGGGGTGGGTGAGGGTGAAAGTGCGCGACACAAAGCAGTGGGGGAGCTGGGCGAGGAGGAAGAGAGGGAGGAACAAGATGAGAGGGACGAGGAGGAGGAGGAAGTGGAGGAGGAGGGTGAGGGGGGGAATGGAAGGTCCAAGAGAAAGAGGAGGAGGATTCTGGATTTGAAAGTGGAGGAGAGGAGGGAGGCTGACGAAGGGGTGAGGGAGGAGGGCGGAGGTGAGGAGGAGGGCGGAGGTGAGGAGGAGGGGGTGGAGGTGGTAGAGGATGGTGCTGAGGGGGAGGAGGGCAGGGGGGAGGAAGAACCTGGGGCAAGAGAAGGAGAGGAGGAAGAGGAGGAACGGGGGGGGGAGGCGGGTGAGGAGGACGAGGAGGAAGAGGAGGAGGAGGGGGATGCGAAGAGTGTGGGGGGCGCGGAGGAGGGCGAGGGGGAGGAGGGGGAGGGGGACGTGGTGTATGAGAGTGGGGGGTCGCAGCAGGGGGAGGCGTCAGCAGCAGCAGCAGCAGCAGCAGGCAAGGAGAGCCCAAGGGACACTGCTGCTCACCATGACTTCGCCTTGGACCCCTTACAAGGTGACTCGTTACAAGGAGATCACGCTACTAGTATGTGCGCGATTTGTTTCTCTCTCCCCTGCTCCGTTTCGCCACCATCTGCTGAGCCCCTCGGGAGCCCTGTGCCTCACTAACTTCCCCCCTTCTCGCGTTCCTCCTCCCTCCCCCCCTCCCTCCCTCCCTTCTCTCCCTTCTCTCCTTTCTCTCCTTGCTCTCCCTTCTCTCCCTTCTCTCCCTTCTCTCCCTTCTCTCCCTTCTCTCCCTTCTCTCCCTTCTCTCCCTTCTCTCCCTTCTCTCCCTTCTCTTCCCTCCATCCCCCCTCCTCTCTGGCCGCCCATCCCCACCCCCTCAGCCCCCCGTCGCAGCCGGCGCAGCATGAAGCTCCCAGCACCCTCCTCGCCGTCCTCTGCCGCCCACGCCGCCCGGGCGGCAGCGGAGGTGGAGGCGGCGCGGCAGCTGAAGCGAGAGGAGGCCGCCCGGCGCCGCAAGCAGCAGTCGGAGCGGGCGGCGCGCGCCGTCCAGGAGAACGCGATCCAGAAGATTCTCGGGCAGGACGGGTCGAGGAAGCGGAGGGAGCAGAAGATTCAGAAGAAGCGGCAGGAGGAGGCTGAGGTGGGTGGAGGGGGTGGCTGGAGGGGGGTGAGCAAGCATCTGGGAATGAGGGAATGGGGGGGAAGCGTGGGTGTGAGGTTGTGTTGTGAGGTGGATTTTGCTGGGTTTATCCTGCCGTCTGCTGGGTTGCTCCTGCTGCTGCCTGCTGGTAACATCTCTCTACTGGTCTGCCTGTCTCCATGCATTCTTTTCCCACACGTGCAGGAGCGCCTGGCAGCCAGTCAGGTGCCGCCACCTGGCTTCGTACGCATGCGCTTCACAGCAGACGGTGTGACGGTAGCATGGTCACCTGACTCCCAACAGCCCCTCATGTTCCGCCCCCAGCGGCCCCTGCCCCTGTGAGTCTTTATATTCCCTGCCATCTCCCCAGCCCCCCCTGCCCCTGTGAGTCTTTATATTCCCTGCCATCTCCCCAGCCCCCCCTGCCCCTGTGAGTCTTTATATTCCCTGCCATCTCCCCAGCCCCCCCTGCCCCTGTGAGTCTTTATATTCCCTGCCATCTCCCCAGCCCCCCCTGCCCCTGTGAACCCCCTCCTCCTGTGAGCCCCCACTGCCCCTGTGGTTCTCCTTCCTTCGTGCATCTTCGTTCATCTCCCCCCCCTCCCCCCGAGCCTCGCTGTTCCTGTGAGTCACTCACAATGCCTGCTGCATTCTATCAGTCCGCTGCCACTCACCCTTACCGCTCCCATCCCGCCTGCCCATCATATCCCACTCTCAATCTCCCTCCTCATTCGCCCCCACTCAACCACACGGTGCGGCTGCCCCCCAAAAGCCCACAGCCTCGACCTCTTGCATCCAGAGCCGAGCTTGCATGATCCTCAACGTCAACCTCAAACCGCTTGCTTCCCCCCTTTCCGCCCCCTCTTCCCCCAGCCCGCCCCCTCGCCCCCTGTGTGCTGCGCCGGGGTGCCACACTCCCTTCCGCTATCGCGACTCCAAGACCCGCCTGCCGCTCTGCTCCCTGCAGTGCTACAAGACAATCCACGCCGCCCTGCCCGCTGCTGCTGCTGCTGCTGCCGCCCCAGCCGCAGGGAATTAATGTGTATAAGTAGGTAGCTCCTTCGTAGCTATTATTAGGTATGTGTGTTATTATGTGTTGGGCTGGGCGCACATACCGGCCAATTGTATGGCTGGTGGAACTACAGGTGGTTGTAAGGTGCTTCCATCATGGCTGGTTTCGAAATTTCTCAAAAGATATGGTAGGTACTCACTGCGGCTGCTTGCCAATCAGAGTTTTGTGCTGTTAGTTGTACCATACTTCAAATTTGCGTATACTAACAATTCAGGCACAGAGATTCATGCCTTGTTCAACACCATGTGGATTACTGTACGGTACACTACCTCTACACTGCCCCAAGCATCTGAATCCAACCTTAGTGGTTGTTTTGCCAAGAGTGTAATCAGGGTATGTCATGTTCCACGCCCCCTGAGCAGCAGGAGGTTCAGTGGGGGGAAGCATGGGTTGCTCACACGACGCACGAGTGACTCGGTAGCCGCCTCACACCCGCCAGGAAGCTGAAAGGTTATGTTAGAGGCTGAACACTCTTTCCTTCTCCTCATTCCTCCTTTCCCCCATCACTCCTTCGTGACCATCCCAAGGTCCACTGCTGCGCACCTCGCTAGCTCTTCCTCCCTTTCATTCCTCAGTAGCCGCCTCACACCCGCTCGGCCACTCAACTGCTTCTGGGCTGAACATTCCTCCCCCCCGCCCTCAGTCCTCCGTCACTTCACTGTCACCTTCTCTGGTCCACTGCCATGTGCCTCCCTCGCTCTGCCCCCCCCTCGTTTCTCAGTGGCCACGTCACACCCGCTCGGCCACTCAACTGTATCTGGGCTCAACATTGCTCCCCCCCCCCTTCATTCCTCCGTCACTATCCTTTTTTCAGGTCCGCTGCTATGTGCCTCGCTCTGCCTCACCCTCATTCCCAGTGGCCGCCTCACACCCGCTCGGCCACTCAACTGTTTCTGGGCTCAACATTCCTTTCCCTCCCTCCTCATTCCTCTGTCACCGTTTTGGCTTCACTGTTACGCACCTCACTCCGCCTTCCCCCCTCTTTGCTACCTACTCCCCTCCCCGCACTCTTCCCTCCGCCTTTCCTCCCACTCTTCCCTCCTCTCCTCTTCCCACTCTTCCTTCCTCTCCTCCCGCCCTTCCCCTTCTTCCTCTTCCCACTCTTCCCCCCCCTTCCTCTATGCGTCCGTCCACCCATCTGCTCCTCACTGCTCGTCCCTGCCAGCCCACCTCGCCCCTTGCCGCGAACGCCCCTCACACCAGGCCACAATGCCCCTCTCTGCCCTCCCGGTGCCTTTGCCTGACCCCCCGGTGCCTTCCCTGCTCCTGCCCCCACTCCAGGCCCCCTCCCTATAGCTGTCCCTGGCCGTTTCGCAGCGCTCTTTCCTGCCCCTTGATGCTGCTGCCCCTTCCCTGCTGCTCCCCCCGCGCCCTTCTCTCCGCCCTGCCTTCCCCCCGCCCCCATCTTATCAGCCCCCCTCTTGGGGGGAAGCTTCCCCGCGCCTGCACTGCCTGCTTGCACGCCAGGGACCTTCGGTGGGCGGGGGATAGGCCTCCCTCCCGCCCACCCCCCTTTGTTCCCCCTTTGACCCGCCCCCGTGCCACCTTTCCCCACACCACCCGCCCCCGCGCCTGCACCACCTGCCCCCGTGCCATTCCCCCCTCGTTTCACGCCACCACTCCCCACCAACCCACCCGCCCCCCCAGCCTTGCCACTCCGCCCATGGAAGAACCAATCTTCCACCACCTTGGGCAGCTGCCTTCCCAGCACGTCCACCTTGCCCACCCACTCCCCATACACCGCAGAGCAATGCGATGTAGAGTTCATCAGAAACGACTCGAACCACACGCCCTGCTGCCGCTTCACCCGCTGAATCCCCAGCACCGTCCGCGCCAGCCGGCTCTGGTAGAGGTGGAGTGCGGTGCGGTAGGGTGCGGGGCAGAGCGGGCTGTTGTCCATGCACTTTTGGATGCGCACGGAGCCGTTGATGAGGGGCGGCGCGAAGGTCATCTTGACGGCGATCTCGTCCTGCAGGCTGTTGACCACCATGAGGGGCGTACGCAGGAAGGGCAGGTTGTACTGCGGGAGTAGGCACTTCCATGGCTCCTTCGCATGGGCTGTGTGTGGGGCAGGGGAAGAGAGAGGGAAAATGGGAGAGATACGAGATGAGGAGAGGGGATGTGAGAGTGGGAGAGAGAAGGGGGGGGGAGAACCCGAGCGTGGGGGTGTGGGGGTAAGGCAAGGTCATCTTGACGGCGATCTCGTCCTGTAGGCTGGTGACCACCATGAGGGGCGTGCGCAGGAAGGGTAGGCTGTACTGCGGGAGCATGCACTTCCATGGCTCCTGTGCGTGTGCTGCGGGGGGGGGTAAAGAGGAAAAAGAAGAGGGGGGAGAGAAGGGGAGGAGGGGATAGGGAGGGAGGAAGGGAAGAAAGGAACCGTGAGAGAGGGAGAGAGGTGGGGGAAGCCGGGCGTGGGGTAAAGCTAGTGCACGGAGGGGGGGATCTCGTCTTATAGGCTGTTCACCCCCAGGAGTGGCGTGCGCAGGAATGGCAGGTTGTACTGTGGTAGCACGCATTTCCATGGCTACTGCGCGTGTGCTGTGGGGGAAAAGGGAGGGGGGGGAGGAAGGGGAATGCGAAGGGAGGAGGAGGGGTGGAGGGGAGGAGCCGTGAGGGTGTGAGAGAGAGAAGAGAAGCAGGGTGTGGGGTAAGGCAAGGTAATGTTGACGAGCAGCAGCGGGCGGAGGAAGGGCGGGTTGCACTCGTGAGTAAACACTTCAGTGGCGGCTGCACGTGCGCTGGGGGGATGGGAGGGGGAGTGGGTGGAGGAGACGGTGTGGGGTTGGGTAGGTGCAGGGGGGATAGAAGGGAACGACGGAGAGTGGAGGGAAGGCGAGGGGTGAAAGCCTAGCCCCATGCGAGATGACTCGACGATGGGTTCCCACCCACGCGTGCACTCACCTTGCGGGCAGGCGGGCGGGGTGACTTTTGAGTCGACTCAAAAGTCAATGGGTTCCCACCCACGCGCACACTGACCTTGCCCGCAGGCGGGCGGTACGCCCGCCCCATGTGGTGAAACTTGAAGAGCCTCGTATGAGAGTTGTCAAAAGAAGAAAGGAGTAGGGAAATGCACAGGAGCAATGCAGCAGTCCGACCGACTGAATACCCTGTGATGCGACCTTGCACACGCACCTTGGCGGCACGCGGGGGGAATGCCCAGCCCCATGCGGTGGAACTTGAACAGCCAGCCGCTCCACGCTCCGCTCCATGGCAGTGCCATGCCCGCACGCGCACTGACCTATGCGGGGAAGATGGGACTGGTGCCACCACGCGCAATGACCCACGCGCACACGCACCTTGGCGGCAGGCGGGGGGAATGCCGAACCCCATGCGGTGGAACTTGAACAGCCGCTCCACGCTCTGCCGCCACGTCAGCCGCCCCTGGATGTCCGGCGTGTCTGTTGCGCGGGGCGTGGTGGAGGGTGGTGGGCATGGCGGGTGGTTATGGGAAATAGGGCACGACGCATGACGCACGACGCACGACGCACGACGAATGACGCAGGACGCACGACGCATGACGCACACACGCACCGAGGAGGAATCCCGCGTCCATGAGGCACTTGACGGAGGCACCAGGGGCGCGGGAATGGCGCGCGGCACATCAAGACGCAAAGGGGACAAGCAATCAGGGCAAGCAGACAGGGAGGCAGCGCGTACCGAGGAAGAATCCCGCGTCCATGAGGCACTTGACGGAGGCGGACGGCAGCGCGCGCGCCATGGCGTCGCACGTCATCGCCACGGCCTGCGCGCCCGCGGAGCAACCGCTGAACAGCACATTGCGCGCCGAGCCCAGCCCGCGCAACCGCAGGTCTGCGCGCGGACACGGCGGGGATGGCGGGCGAGTGGGGAAGTGATCAGCAAACGCAAGAGTACCGCGAAATGAGGGATGGCGCGCGCAAGAGTGGTCAACGCGTGTACCGCGAATGCGGCGTACCGTGAATGACGCTGGCGAGCGAGGCGTGGCCTTCGATGAAGAACGGTCTCGTCAGGTTGGCGGTGTAGGCGCCGCGCGAGCCGGCGTAGAGTCCGCCGTCGCAGTAGACGACAAGCACGGCGTTCCAGTCGTTGAAGGTGGGGTTCTCGCGCCCCTTGCGGCTCAGAATGCCCGCGAACCCCGCGCCGAACTCGTTCATCTGCGCACACGCACCGCCACCGTCGCGCACGCACGGCGTCATTTAAACTCAGGTCCCTCAAGCACTTGTTTGATTACTCACAAAACCATATCGGAGCTTACCGTAACGAGAACGGCGACAACTCGTTGAAACCCCTAACGGCTTCACACCGAAGGGTTATAACTGTATCGGGACTTACTTTAGCGAAGAAGCTTTTGGAGCCAGGTTCGGGCCAGGGGCGCGTGGATCCGAGGCTGGTCTGCGCGCGCACCATGCACTGGCTGCGCGACGTGCACCAGCTTCCGCCCTGGCGGGAGGAAGGGGGGGGAGGTGCGAGGTGGGGCGAATGAATGCGAGTGGCGAATGGATGAGCGGGGTGGCGAATGGATGAGCGGGGTGGCGAATGGATGAGCGGGGTGGCGAATGGATGAGCGGGGTGGCGAATGGATGAGCGGGGTGGCGAAAGGATGAGCGGGGTGGCGAAAGGATGAGCGGGGTGGCGAATGGATGAGCGGGGTGGCGAATGGATGAGCGGGATGGCGAATGGATGAGCGGGGTGGCGAATGGATGAGTGGATTGACGAAGGAGTGCGATGCGTGACGAAATAATAAATGGACAGATGGAATGTGGCGTACGCGGAGAATGTAGCACTGAGAAGCAAAGCCTCTTCTCGAGGCGCCCCAGATATGAGAAGCGGCGGAAACCGACGAATTCACAGGTGGAAGGATGGATGCGGCGCGAGGCAAGGAGACGAAACTACACGGAAATGAGGCTCGACTGGACGAGGCAACTGATCTGGACATGACGTCAGCATACCATGAGGTGCACGACCCAGTTCTGCGCGCCGCGCTTGTTGCCCTTGCGAATGTAGTACCCCGGCTCGCTGCGCGCACAGGATCCATTTTTTACGGAAGGGGGGAGAAGAGGGCGGGGGAGAGGGGGGGGGGGGGGGAGGAAAGGCGAGAGGAGGGGAGAGATGGGGCGAATGATGAGATTGCAGCAGATGCTGGTTGATGCGTCGCTGTGGATCTCGCTGCGACGCTCGCACGTCGTACAGCCAGCGTTGCGATGAGCTCGGCGACAGGCTCTACAGCTTCATTAGCCTCTCTCACGGCTCTTGTGCTGATGAGCTGATCTGCTGTCTATCTAAACTCTGCTGCGTCGTCGCGTTTGCTCAAAATGCGTAAGATTGTGGGAAAAATATCGAAGCCGTACCTTCCGTCTAAACATTTCCCGTGGTACACGTTGGTCTGGTTTAGTCGGACGAACTGCATCCCGCGCTGCGCGCCGGATATATCAAGAGCGGCGCACGAAAGCGTTTCGCGGCACAGAATCATGAGGACCGCCGGTACCACCATTGCCACCCACAGCACCTGCCGCCGCTCCATGGCGTGAGCTCTAAACTAAAATAACCTGCAAACATTCGCTACTCCACCGAGCTACGCTGGACCATGGCCGCAAGGGACGAGAATTCTACGAGGCACCCAGAGAGACCCTGACGCTGGGCGGCTCTAAAGAGATGTTATTTTCAGCTGAAGTGCTAGCTCGTTGGTTGTGAAGCACGAGACAGTCCTCTGCTGAGACCTTACAGGTAGAAAGTGTGCGGAAAATCTTCTTGTGAGATGGAAGAATTTGGGTACGATTGAACGTCTGCAGAGCTAAGGGAAAGGACACAGACAAGCTCGGGCAGACTTTACCTTCGAGTCGCCCGATTGAATGTCGAATGCGCCTCGCATGTGAGGGAATGACCAACGCGGCCGAAATGGACATTGCCGAACCGAGCTCCCTCGGCTTGCGTTCTGTCCTTGCCCAGGAGTCTGGGACGACAGGCTCGGAAATGGAGAATCTTCGTCGCTGCCCTGCCAGTTTCTTCTGCCAGAGCAAACCAGCCAGACCAAGGCGGCACGGGAAAAGGTTGTGAAAGGCGGGAACGGGCTTTCCCCCTCACAGGTACAGCGGTCGCTCATATGAAAATCTTGTAACAAATTGGTATACTCGGCTTGCAATAGCAAGCAATTCTCGTAGAGAGAACTCTAATGAGCTCTCATGATAGAAAATAGAACAAAGAGAAACACTTGGCAGGGCTAGAGCCAAATCTTAGGCGATTGCTGAAGCTGGTTACATAATCACATCCCTAACCCAATCTCTTCACAACGACAAGCATCAGCAGTGGCCCTCACCTCACTCGTGTGTCAAATGATTTTGCGAAAAGCATTAGGCCATTGGCTGGCGCATCCCCTACGCAGCCGCGGCATTCTCGCCTCTCCCGCTCTCCCGCCTACTCCACAATCCTGCAAAGGCAGGCCGGATGTGAGAGAGGAGAACACAAGTGCGTCCGCCCAATTTCAATCGCAGGGCCTGCTGTGGAAGTTCCAACACTTTTCCTACCCAAATTGCCATGCCTAGCCTCCATCTCTGCCTCGCCGTGCCCCGTAGACTCTCCCTGTTCCTTGCCCCCCCTTGTGGAATCGTCTCACTGCAAATCACCACCACTGCATCAAGCCGCCTCCTTTCCCTCCCCTGCCCCATCTCCTTTTCCTGCCTCCCCATCTCCCTTCCCTGCATGTTCATCCACCCATCCTGCCTCTCCATCTTCTGTTCCCACCTCCCCCCTCTCCTCCCAGCCTCACCATCTCCCCTTCGTGGCCTCCCATCTTTTCTATCCTGGCTCCGGCATCCCCTTCCCACCTCCCTGGATCCCAATCCTGCCTCCCCACCTCATATTATTGCCTCCAGATCTCCTCTCCCTGCCTGCATATCCTTCCTTTCTGCGTTCCCGTCTCCCAACATTTTACATCTGCCAGCTAGCGTACTTGTTGCTTATGACCTACCACAACTGGCACACAAGTGCGATATAGATAGTGCATGTGTAGGGGAACGTCGCAATTTACCAATCAATAACCGAACTATGTGCAGAATTTAAAAAACTCATGTTACGGATACTGTGATTATACTTCAATCCGAGGGGTTACCGCATGCGTTATCGTTCGGGAATTATTTCGATCGAGGTGGTGTTGTAGAAAGATATTTTTGGAAAATCGTATATACTAAATTTTATATTTTTTTTCAGAGGACAAACATTTACTGGCCGGGGGTGAAGTTGGTGGCATAGGCCCAGGCGTTGTTCACGGTGGGGTCAGCCAGGTGGTCGGACAGGTTCTCAAGGGGACCCTTGCCGGTCACGATGGCCTGGACGAAGAATCCGAACATCGACACCATGGCGAGGCGGCCGTTCTTCAGCTCCTTCACCTTCAGCTCAGCAAGAGCGTCGGGGTCGTCAGCCAGACCCAGGGGGTCGAAGGCACCGCCGGGGTACAGGGGGTCCTCAACCTCCTGGAAGCCCTCGAGGCCACCCACGCGGTAGCTCTCAACGGCACCCATGAGGATGACCTGGGTGGCCCAGATGGCCAGGATGGACTGGGCGTGGATCAGGCCGGGGTTGCCGAGGTAGTCGAGGCCGCCCTCGGAGAAGATCTGGGCACCGGCCTTGAACCACACGGCCTCGCCGAACTCGACGCCGTTGTTCGCCAGGAGCTCGGGGGTCAGGCAGCCCAGGGCACCGAGAAGAGCCCAGCGGGCGTGGATCACCTCCAGCTCGCGGTTCTTGGCGAACGTCTCGGGGTCGGCGGACAGACCCGCAGTGTCCCACCCGTAGTCACCGGCATACTCGCCGTTGAGGTACGACGGGGGGGAGGAGAAGGGGCCCAGGAACTGGGGGCGGTCGGGGCCGTAGAAGGAGCTGGCGGGGGCGGCCTTGGCCGTCTTCCTCATGGAGACGCGAGCCTCCACATTGTTGACCTTGGCGGCGAGCTCAGCGCTCTGGCCGACGAAGGTGGACGGAGCAACAGCAGCGTTAGCGAGGGCAGCCATTTCTGTCTGCTTGTATGTTAACTGAAAGATATGTGTGAGTTGGAAGTGCTGCTGAAGCTTGGGGACAGAACGAAAGCTTGTGCCTTTTGTATTACTGCAACCCAGCTCTGAGGTAGTGCCTGGGATTGGGTTTGAGGATTGATGTGGCTGGAGTGGTTGAGTCCCGAGTCGCCGCAATCCTTCTGAAGTATCGCGGCTGCTGGATAGCCATGCGATGTGGCTCGCCGGGATTTTGCGAAACGGTCGTCCTCGCTGCTGATTGGCTTCCCGTATTGCGGGCCACTCGCGCAAGCGTCACGCTTGAGGAAGCCTGACGAGTGGCAGTCCAATTGTCACGGAGCCATACTGAAATTGTGGTCCGCTACACGCTGCAATATTAAACTGGTGTTACGCAAATTATACATTGAAACAGATTACCAGGGACGTCTAACCACACGTCTACTTAGAAACCAAGAGCTGAGTGTGATGTAGCCTATCAATGCCATATCAGACTGCTGTCCAACCAGTTGTATACAACTTCATTATATATAAAGCAGGTGATAATCAGGGTACTTCTGCGCAGAGAGGACATGCCGTATCGCTCGAAAGATATAGAAGCTGAGCAATCTTGTGTCCAGCCAGAACTCGCACCACTGCAGCAGTCAGTCATGTATTGGATACCATTTAAAGACGGTCTCATATTCATATGCCCATGCAAGTCTTGCTGATTGCTCACATCTGATGCCCGTGCTTGTCATCCACCCCACCTGGCAACCCCTGCTCCACCTTCACCCCAACCCCTCCTGCCCCTTCCACCCCCAACACACTCTGCCTCGCCTTCGCCCGCGCCTCGCCCTCACGAATCTCCAGCATAAGCTTCACTCCAACGTACATGGAGAAGACTGTAACGAGTACAAGGAAGGGGTCTGAGAGGAAGCTGGAGAGGAAGCCGCGCACGCCGTCCAGCCCCACCACAAAGCCCACCAGGTTGGCCGTCATGAGCCCGAGAACATTGATGGAGCCGGCTATTGCACAGCACTCACGGTACAGCCACGACTTGCAGAAGCCCTGCAAGGGGACAAGATTGAAGGAGGATGAGGGGGGTGACGTGAGAAGCTGTGGACGCCGCCCAGCCCCACCACAAAGCCCACCAGGTTGGCCGTCATCAGACCGATGACCGGGAACGTTGATGGAGCCGGCTAGTGCACAGCACT